ATATGATCTCGTGCAGTGACTGTTGCCCTCATGCAAACTATCTCTGTGTACTGTGCACACTGTATGACTACAAGTACTTATGCGCAAGTTTACTGGGCCCATGGCATACTCACTCTTGGAAATGCCAGTGGCCCAGCGAGTGGGCTCAGCCGCAGGGGAGCTCTCACTACGGGCACCGCCTCGAATCGTTCTTTGTCAAAGGGCTTTAGAACCTCTGAGCAAGTACAACTTTCCCATTGTCGACCCTTCAGCATCCTTTGGCACGCGTCGGCAAAGGGACAAGTTACGACTTTCCCGAAAACAAACCTCCGTTTCACGCGAAGGGATCCCGAGCGCTGCCCGTCGTGTCTGGGCCTGTGACCATGATGTGGCCTGTTTAGGCAGGTCGGGTAGGGTAGACGCCGGAGAGAAAAAATCCCGCGCGTTCACGGACTTATGCAAGGCGCTGTAGATTGACCGTTGTAAATTTATTTCTCGATCAAGGTCACACAAGATGTTGTTACTGACCATATATTCGGCAAACCGGAAATGGTACATTGATTGAGATTGATTGGAGCATTGGCGGAATATGTGTATGAAAGCTAATCATGTTACTGGTTATAGCTCAGCCATCCTCTTATTAGCCATCGACTGATGGTCGCGGCTGCGTGACGCATCGCACCCTACTCCGTCGTGGTCGACGTGGACGTGGACGCCGAGACCGAAGTCGAAGACGTCACCGAAGTCGAGCCCGACGGGTCCGTCGAAGTGGACGCCGAAACTGAGGTCGAGAGCGACGTGGAGAGCGAAGTCGAGGTGGTCGGCACCGAGGAAGACGACGAGCCCGACGCCGACACCGTCGGGCGGGGGGTGACGACGGACTTGTGCGGCGTGACGGTGGAGTACGGTTTGAACGAGCGGGGCACTGCGACTACCTTGAGCTCGATGCTGGGGTCCGGTGTCACCGTCGAGTGATGCGAGTCGACGCTGCGCGACGGGTAGTGCGGGGCACTGTGGGGAAGAGCTGTGCGATGAATGCGGCATGAGTGTTGGCACTGCGGAGGTTGACGTGATACGACGTACCGATGGCACCACCGACGATGGCACACAAGAAAAGAAGAGTCGAGGACGTGGTGAACGCGACCATATTGATGAAAGAAAGATGATCTGGTGCTGAAGGGTGTGGAAAGGTTTGTATTCTGACTTCCGACTCACCAACCTCCCCTCCCTTATATACCTATCGACCCAGCTCGTATTCACCAGACACTCCACCCCGACCTCACCCATCGCCCACCCGCGCCCGAGCGTCGGACGCAGCCCCGCCTCCTATCCTATCCTATCCACGTCCAGCCAAAGCCGCCGCAGCGCCCGATCGCTCGACGTCGTCCACCGTACGCCCAAGGACGGCACCACAGCCCCCAGTCGTCACCCGGCGGTGCGCATCTGCTTCCGCGGTGCCAGGACTGGGCAACGATGCGCCGTGCGCTCCGAGTCCGCCATGCTACCACCTGCGCATCAGGTCAGGAAAATAGAAATACCACGGCCCGGGACGGAGGGCCTGCAGCACCGACACCATAGGGGCGTCGTTGGGGCCCTATGATGAACGTCGGGGTCCGATGGATCGCCATCGTCGACTTAGATGGACGAGAGAGCATCGCGCGCGGCGGCACACCCGTATTTGGCAGTAGGCATCGCAAACTATTCACGAGCGCTTATGTCCTCCTCGGCTATGGTTGTGTACTACGCGATGTTCGAACACGTCGGGGGCTACCATCAGAGCGCACTCCGTTGCAGTTCGATGGAGCCATGAAAAGAGGAGGCACGCTGACGTTGATCGGCAGATCGGTACAAAGATCACAGCGTCATTCACGGTACAGACATCGACGTTAGAGACACAAAGTTCTGCCGACGGGTAGTACTATTGGGAGCCACGTGAAAATGGCCTTTGCTACGGTACGCCTCCCCATTGAGCACAGGGTGGGATGTTGTACATGTATACGATGAGGTGTGCGACTATGGATGCATGTGTATGTTTGGATGTGAGTATCGAAGAACAGTTTTGGGGGCTAGATAACCTGTCTACGCATATCTAGAGCTCGGCTTCTCCTCGCACTGACTGCTGAGGGTGTGTCCCTAAGAGGTGGAGTTTATGTGCCCATGGGGGATAGAAGCGGAGAAGAATGGAATGAAACGGAGGGCGCGGTGAGGAGCAGGAAGACGAAGCAATGCATAAAAATAAATGGATGAGTGTACGCATATCAGGTGGTCGATTGAGGATGGAGCTATGTTATGTGTATCGCGGGCGCGATGAGAGTGAGAGATGAACAAACCAAACGCATGTACAGTCGAAGAGATGAGATGAGAGGAAGGAGGACGCGGAAGCGGTCCACAGATATGTATGTATCTACCCTACCGGCGAGATCACCGCGACGAGCACCGAGATGTCTGATACCCACGAGGCAGCAGCAGCAGGCGACCCGACGGCACCGGCAAGCGGAAAAGGAAAGAAGAGATGAGCGTCAGCGATCCAGCCTCGTTGCTTGCGGCCCGCGCAGCGCGTCATAGATGAACTCACCGTCCGGCTTGCCGCCCTCGAACAGCTTCCCCTGCTCCTTCGCGCGCTTCGCAAACGGCACGTCCGCCTGCGGCCCCCGGGCCCCGGCCTCGCTCGCGGTCAGCACGCTTTTCGTCGTCGTCGTCGTCGTCGTCGTCGTCGTCGTCGTCGTCGTCGTCGTCGTGGCAGAGGCCTTGCGCGGGCCGCGCGTCTCGGACACGCGCTTCGCGCGCGAGCACAGCGCCTCGCTGAGCATGCCTGCGAGCGTGCTCCTGCGGAACGTCGCGCTGGATGCAGGCGTCGCCGTTGCTGTGTGTGCTGCGGAAGCTGGTGCTGGGGGCGCAGTTGCAAATGCGTCGCCGTCGTTGGGTTTCGCAGGGGGCGTGGTGCCCATGAACGACCGGCGGAAGCGCACGACCTCGTCGAGGATGTCCGCGTCCCACAGGTTGTCGGACAGGCCGTCCGAGGCGAGGATCAGGATGTCGTCCTCCTGCACGGGGATCGTGAATATCCGCGCGTCGTGCGGCTTCGTCGACGACGCCGGGCCGAGCTGCACTGGGGTGTTGAACTACGAAGTCGAGGGTGAGACGGGTTGAGACGAGCTGGCGTGAAACGAAGGGGACGCTTACATTCCACCACATCTCCTCGGTGCGCCAGACGATCTCCTCACCGCGAATCAGCATGCCCATGCAGTCGCCCAGGTGCGCGATGCGGATCACGGCCCCGTCGGTGCTCACCTGCGGCTGTGCCGCTTTGCCCGACGTGGGCGGGGGGCCGAAGAGAGCCGTGTCCGCCTTGGTTGGTCGGGACGAAGCGGGGTGCTCGAGGATGGCGACGAGCGCCGTCGAGGAGCCCTCAAATAACGGAACAACGCCCGGTGGCGACTGGGATTCTGGAGATGGCGTCGAAGCTCGTTTGGGTTTGCTATCGGATGGCGAGGGCGATCGAGAGCCGCTTGATGAAATACCTGTGTCTGTTGGGCGGACGTGGGACTTGAGTGCCTTTTCGTACGCCTTTTCGAGGATCATGAGCACGTCCAGGCCGTCCTCGAGGTCCTCCAACGAATCTTCGAGATCGGCGTACAGGTCGACATCCGCCTCGGAGTACGAGTCGGCGTCAGCAAGACTAGAAAGCAAATGAGTTCACGACCATGGACACAGATTGATGCGAAAGACGCACTGCTGCTCCTCGCTGGCAGCGTCGACCTCCTCCGAGCAATAGTGCATCAACCGCCGCGCGAACAGCGCACTGGGCGTAGGGTCCGCGTACGCTGCACAGGTAGACATGAGAACGGTCAAGCGTCGTCTGACCGGGCTGAGCTGTCAGATTGGACTCACGGGTGCGCCGATGCCTGGACCATCCCCCGACCCCATCCGCGACGCCCATCGCGTTGTCTCGCACGAAGTAGGCGTCCTCGCCAACCTGCACTGCGCGGCCGAGCTCGTCGGAGCCCGAGTCTGCGCGGCCGTCGAATCGGCCGTGCCCATCGCGCCCGGCGACGCAGGGCCCGCGGGAGCGCTTGGGGATGCCGTACGCGCCGACGTCGAGCTGATATCGTGTCCGATGGCGTTTTGTGCGGCTGTCGGGCGCAGGTGCGTCGGGGGATTTTGGAGAGTAGACGAAGAGCGGGGAGAGAGACTGGTAGGGGAGGAAGGGGTTGTAGGGGGAGATGGGGAGGTGGGACGAAGCGTCTGTCTGGCCGAGGGTGAGGGCGAGGGAGTAGGGTAGGTGGCCGGATTGCTGGTGGGACGAGGAGGGGCCCTCGATCTCGGCGCGGACCTCTGCGGCGAGACGGGTGCCGACGATCACGTTTGGGTTGCCGCGGGAGCTGGGGGGCGGGGGTGGGGGCGCGGCGGCAGCGTCGAGGAAGGAGAGATGGGACGCGGTGTAGAGAGTGCGCGGGGAGGAGGCGGAGTTGGAGCGGACGCGGGGGACGAGGGGGAGTTGGGAGGTGGATGCGGTCGCGGAGGCAACGGCGGCCGGGCGGGGGAGGACGGTGTAGAGGCGTTTGTGGATGGTCTTCATGGCTGTCGTCGCCGAGGTCTGTGGGTAGGACGTCGGGTGGGGCAAAGGACGACGATGAGGACGAGGACGGGCAGGCCTAGGCAGGCAGATAGAGACGTCAAGGAGGTGATCGAGTAAAAGAAAGCGGGAGAGGCGAGAGCTACCAACCGAGATTAGCCGAAGACAGATCACGTGCACACAGCGTCTAACCCGGAGCTCAGCCACTGGTAGCGATCGTCGTATTCGCCCCGTTTGGACCGTCCTCGGCGCCATCTCGGGCCGTGCACAGACCGCCTCCCAATGGACAGGCAGCGTCCGCCGCTGGTCACCGAACACGCTCTCTTCTCTCCCACCGACTCGGACCTTGTGCGGAATTCACATGCGCACGTAAAACATGTCCCTCGCCAGGATCCCGCACGCTGCGAGCACACGCTTCGTCTCAAGCTCCGGCTCATAGCTCAATATTGAGGCACTCCCTCATAATATTGGAAGCCGCGCATGTCCGCACGGCGCACGACCATATCTGTACAGTCATACCGCAAACGGCATCAATGTGCCTAGGCTAAAGAAGCCCGCATCCCGATCCCCCCTGCCTCAGGCGGCACAGGCAGATCCCCGCTCCTGTCCGACACAAACGCACTGTATCTGCACATCCACATCCCGTCAGCTTCCGTCCCGGGTCCGAAAGACGTCCGCGCCGCACACACTCACATTCGCCGCAATCGCTCGCGCTCCTCAGGAGGCACAGACGGCCGCGTGACCTTCAGCACACGCTCCAGATCCTCCGGCTTAATCTCATGTTTCTGCAGGGCAAGACACAACCGACGTCAGCATGATAAGCTGCGCAGGAGGCAAAAGCTAGACCTCTCGCCAACCCAACGCGACTTACCGCTTTCGGTTTGGCGTCCGTCCTTGCTCTCGACGACGGGCTCGCCCGGTCCTTGCGCCCGTCCACCGACGGTCCAGACACGATGCGTCGCAGCTGTATGCAGCATCCACATCGACGTCAGTCGTCGTCTGACCACACAAGCGAACGCCACACGCACCCGACGCTGGAACGCGGACTCCTCCGCGCGCGACAGCACCCTGCCCTCGCTCTCGCTCCCAAGAACCGTGTACCTGACAGGCCGCTCCGCATTCTCATTAGCTGCCGTAGACGACGCGCCGTTGATACTAGGCGCGCCGGCCTCGGCAGGCGGGTGGGCGATGGTGTCGTGCACGACCTCCAGATGCGCGTTGTACACCAGCGCCTGGAGGTCCGCGCCGGAGAAGCCCTCCGTCGCGCCCGCGAGCGCTGCGAGGTCCACCGAGCGCGCGAACGCGACTTTCCGGCCGAGCGCGCTCAGGATCTGCGGAGACGGTATTTGTTCGTGAATAGCGGAGCCCGAGAGAAGGGGCGCACGCACCTCCTCGCGTTCTTCCGCGTCTGGCATGTCGCAGAGAAGGGACTTGTCGAGGCGCCCGGGCCGGAGGAGGGCAGAGTCGATCAGGTCGGGTCGGCTGCAGCGCGAGTTCCAACGTCGGGGAGGAGCGGTCAGCTTGGACGCAAGCGCGTGAGGGGAGACGGAGGAGCGGACCTCGTGGCAGCGAGGACGTACACGCCGTCCAGGCCTTCTGCGCCGTCCATCTGGGTCAGCATCTGGTTCACGACGCGGTCCGTCACCCCCGTGCTGTCGTGTCCTCTGCAAGTCCGATTGTCAACACGCTTGGGCCCACGAAACAGGGATGGCCGGTGAGAATGGGAAGGTACCTCTTGGGAGCGATCGAGTCGAATTCGTCGAAGAACAGCACGCACGGCTTCGCCGCGCTCGCCCGCTCGAAGAGGTCACGCACCTATCACACGCGAGGCATAACGTTAGCCTTTTTGCTCGCGAGCGGCGCCGTCCGGTCGGAGAAGCAGGCACTCACCGACTTCTCGCTCGCGCCGATGTACTTGTTCAGGATCTCCGGGCCTTTGATGCTGATAAAGTTCAGCCCGCACTCCTTCGCCACGGCCGAGGCCAGCAGCGTCTTGCCGCAGCCCGGGTAGCCGTACAGCAGAAGCCTGCAGAACGAGTCGTATGCACCTCCGTCTGCGACGAGTAGATAGAAGACGTATGCGTACCCTGACCGCAGCCTCAACGGCGACTGCGCGAAGATCGGCCCGTACTTGGTCGGCCACTCGAGCGTCTCCCGCAGCACCTGCTTCGTCTCCCGCAGACCTGAACGTTGTCGCACGCGGAAACTGTCAGAGTCCGTCTGAGCACTCTGCAGAGAACCACGCACCGCCGATGTCGGCCCAGGCGATGTCCGACTTCTGGAGCTTCACGTCGCGGAGCGAGTGCGGCACGAAGTCGACCTGGGCGGCGGAGAAGTCCGCGGGAGTGAGTGTCGTCTGCGCGAGGTAGTCAGTAGGATAGACTCTCTCGCTCGCACAGATGCCGCGATTGAGCGAACGGAGGAGGGGGACGCACCTGCTGCGGCTCTTCGTGCGTGCTGAGCTGCAGCTCGGACGACCGGATAGCCGCACGATGGACAGCGCGCGCGACGAGGTCCTTGAGGTCCGTCACGGAGTAGCCCTCGGTCTGCGTCGCGAGCGCGGTGTAGTTCAGCGGGGCTGCCGGGTCTTGGGCGATGTTTGATGAGTCCATGTGCTCCTTGACCAGGTGCGCGAGGACCTGTCGGACCGTTGGTATCGAGTCGTCAGGGGACGATGCGGAGAGACAGCGGCGTACCTCTTTTCGGGCATCCTTCGACGGTGGCTTCAGATTCACGACCTCCTGGAACAGGTGAGAGGAATTGAGGAGCGGGTGGAGGGACGCCTGCGATTCGGCAGCGGCGAGGAGGACGACGCCGCTCGCGTTGGGTGCGGCCGAGCGTGCAGAGAAGCCGTACAGTGCCAAGAACAACTCCGTCACGTGTCGCGTATGGAACGAGTCCGCGTGCTGCATATGCTCGACATTCACTGGAGTGGGCGGATGAGAGCGGCGGACAGGACTCACCTCCAGCTCGGTTCCCATCAGCTTGTCGATGTTGTCGAGAATCAGGATGGAGGGCTTGTGCCAGGATACCTTGTCCATCCAATACTTCATTTGGGACCGCACCTTAGCCACTGGTGAGCCGTTGAATCGACTCAGGTCGACGTAGAGCGTGTCTGCATACAACAATCTCTGAGCTCCGTTGCTTTTTGCAGAAGCGAGTACATAGCAACTCACAGGTGAGCGTTCTGGGATCATGTTGCATCGCCTTCGAGACAGCATGCAGCAGAGCCGTCTTGCCAGCGCCGCTTCGCCCAGTCACAAGAAGCCCAGGAACTAGAGGAACGTCGAGCGCTCGTTCAGCTGAAGCAGGAGGGTAGGACGTACCACCTCGTACCCTCTTGTTGAAAGCGTGGAGAGCAAAAGATGTCAAGCAGAACTGCGTGCATTTAGCGAAAGTCTCTTCCACTCCGGCTAAACCGTGCGATGCACTTGTATTCAGCCTATAGCGATCTGTCAGCCTGCGGAAAGCGAGTATGTCCCAGTAACGACCTACTTGTCTGGTACCATCAGGCTCGTCCGCTGATAAGGAGGAATAGGATAGCCGCCATCCTCCTTGATGAATATCAATCTGAATACGATGAGCGTTTGAGGGCACTTGACGATAGTCCATGCATGCGTACCGTATCATATCCCAGTCCTCTGCGTGGTCTAAGACAGGATACAGGACTACATGGCCGTCTGGCACAGGAACGTCCGGGGACCATACCACGACCACCTCATTCTTCGACTCATCAATCAACTTAGGCCCTTTTGATGACGAAGCTTCGCCGTTGGGTACCAGCACTCGCGCCTGAGGGGCTGGAGCCGGAGATGCCGGAGCAGCCTCTCTGTCTGGACCTGCAGGAGGGGCTACGCGCCTGGAAGTCGCTCTCCATCCTTGCAACTGAGATGGAACGCCCTGAGGGTAGAGTGACAACAGCGTCTTATAGGAAACGTATGCGAAACCAGTATCCGGATGAGACGAGGGCGCGTTGGGAAAGAGTCGGTGCGGGAGCAGTCGTAGGGTCCGGGCTTGACGGGGAGCTCTACTCTTCTCTGGTGGGGAAGCCTGCCCAGACCCGTGAGGGACGCCTAGGGCTTTCCCAGTACCACCCTTCGCCTCCGAGGCTGCGTTCTGTTTCGAGCGAAGTTTGGGCGCGATGCTTACTTCCGTATTCGAGGTCAGAAGCAGCGGCTTTCCGGTCGAGGGCTCCAGCGAAACTGGCCGTACAGTGAGCATACCGTCATACGCGAGAATGGATTTGAGGGTTGCCACAACTCACCAACATTGAGTCGTACGCGTGTCCGACCCAACACCCATACGTCAATCTCCTGCCCCACGACGGCGACGCGCACTTGTGAAAGCAGGGTAGACTCTACGTGGGAGGCATGCAATTCCTGTGTGGATAGTCAGCTCTCAAGCCGGGCAGGAAGGGCAGGGGCCAAACGCGCCTGGCTATGCACTGACCAGTATCTCCCAGTCGTCGGACGTGGCGGGTTCGGTGGCTACAGACTTTGCGTAGGCGAGGTCATGGAGCAGACCAATTTCCACCTGACATTGGGTCGTGGAGGGACCGTATGAAAGGGACGTTCGGGAGAGGGAGAAGTGCGGACATACCACATCGCCCGAAGCGAAGCCCAACCCCTCAGCATATTGAGGATCTATCTCAACTGTCTCTAGGCCTCTCTCGCCAGCGTTCCCGGAGTTGAAGTGAGCGAGAGAGGATGACGAGGCGAGCCCTGTCCACCCGACATATGCTTCGGGCTTCTTGGCAGCATCCTTTGAGTTGAACGAAGTCTTGTTGCTGGAGACCAGCTTGAGATGGACTGCAAGCCCTTGGGGTCGCTGCAGAGCGTAGTGTGACCATCGCATCAAGCGGAGGTGCGGGCGAGTGGACTCACGATGCCTCGCTCTACCAGCGGACCATAGAGGGATATTGGGAGATTGACGAGGGAAGAATGGAGGGAGACAAAGTGTATCCGGCAATGACGGGGCATGTCGCGTCTGCGCGGCGATGGAGAGAGTGCCGCGTGGCAGGAGTCGTCCGCGACGTCGAAATTGACCAAGTTGAAGTATGTACTGAGCTTTCAGCCACACCTTGGAAGTGGCCGCTTCACCGGAGACAGGACCCCACGTGAAATCTCAGATCTCTCTTGGGCAGGCGAGCGCCTCTCTGGCATGCCAATCACCCCACCAGTACAACGTGCCGCAAACGGTCGTGTGCTTCCGACTCGAGTCGACCAGCAACAAAGAGATTCCACTGTCATTCGCATCGGGCAACGAACGTAGCAGTCTCATGCACTTAGCTTCAGGAACAACGTCCATGTATACCGGGCTCGGAGAAGGGACTCACCAGTCTGCATGCTCTTCGGAAGTGAGTGTTCTTCACCTGACTTATCTGCACCTGGCTCCGAACTACCACATAATAGCCGCAGACAACGACCGCTGTCTCCTCGCATACTTCTCTTTATCGTCAATCACACATGTTAAGGCCTTCGCAGTCCTTACACGAAAATCACAACAGGTGCCTAAGCAATCTATACCGTAATCCCCATAATCTGTCCGATTCCCTGCGAGCAGGGCTGCTATGTTGCGACACCTTGCTTTTGCACGGTAGCATGCCGCTCCCAGAGCGCCACGTTCTCGCCCTCCGATATCTATGACATCCAGCCATGCATGCCATGGGCGTTGTGATCTCTCCACTCGCTGCGTACAACGGAAACGAGTGCCCTGTGTAACGAATATGTTGCAAATCGTGCGTACCACGTCCGTGTTTATTCTGCGGCGACACGTCGGCTGATTCTCAAACCAAAGTAAGCACCATTCAATAAGTCAATTTTACCAAGACCGTCCGGATGTCGTTCTAGATCTCATTCAGACCCATAATTTGGAGCTAAATTGACAGCAGGCGACGGGAGCAGTTCAACTTCTCATCTGTAGGCAATCCACCTCAGAACAACATGATGCAAAGCTCAGGATGCGTTCATGAGTAGGTGATTGACAGTTCTGCTCACACTGGTTCAGGCCATGGACACAACCTAGAATCTCGTGTTCATCCCCGGTATGCACAGCGGCCCGACTCAGTCTCGTCATGGTTCGCACGGAACCGCTGTACGTCCTCCTGAGTTTCAGTTCACTGAGCTCCTGATTATAGGGCCGTGTACGGCTGTCCTAGCTCACCATCTGCCACATTGGTGGAGTGATTCGAAGGGTTGTGCAGGTGAAAGACGGGCCACCGATCTCCAAAGTCCTGTCGAATCGTCCGAAGATGGCTGTCTATCCTCACGCTCACGGTCAGGCGACTACATCGGTGGGTCGGACGCTCAACGTTGTATGCCCTCAAACTGAAGGCTGCGTTCGTCGCCGATGATTCTAGTAGGCTCGGTTCTATGGTCATAATCGTCATTATGTTGCTTAATTGTTGCAGGAAAGGATGACGTGAACAGAGAGGCGGCAAACTCGAGCAGTTCAGTATGCTCGGGGCGGACAACTCGTGGCGTCCGGACTCTTAGCCGCTGTTCCGGCGGACAGGAGGAAGATCGGCAGATTATCACAACGAAAATAGATAACCACGATCCTCCTGCTGTATGGCGTAGTGCCGGGCCTGGTCCCTGAGGGCGAGGTGCATAGAAGGACGCGGGGTATTTTGAGACCCTGGTTCGGTGCCAATATGCCTTCTTCCAATTCGCCTCCGGTGAGCACGGCTGACTTATATGATGATACAACGCGTTTTGGTCGTCGATATGCCTGATCTTATGGTGGCCATCGTCCCTTGGTTGACATTCTGTGATCAGTGTGGAGCCGGGTGCAAAGAGAACCTAGTAATCATCTCAAAGAGAGCGCGGCCTTGATAAGAAGTGCCTTCGGTATGGGAACCAGGGGCTCTAGAGGTGAGTGCGCTCATGCACATCTCTCTATAATCGCCGCGATTGGCGGGTCCTCACGATACAAGAGCCCGTCTCCTTCATGCGGGACTCCCCTTGTGACCATCTCACCTCCTCGAAGGCCTCAGCTTCCTCGAGCGCAGCTGGTATTTGCCATGTCGTCCGCCACCATCGACGGCCTCACGGTACCTCAATACAGTGAATAGTATGTCAATTTAGAAGTCACCCAACGGATGTCGACGTTGATGTATATGAAGTCTAACGGCTACTCGCATACAAGTCGCAGTAGTGTGTATGTGCTGCAATTCATCGCCACTCGTTGAGTCTCTGACGGATTTTTACTACGTAGGCTTGTTCGTCTACGAATACATCATCACATTTGGCTATGAAGCCAAGTACTTCTGGGGACGCAAGATCAACGGCGCCGCGATCCTACTCTATTTGAACAGATATATCTCTTTGCTCCTCTATCTACTTGACATGCTGAGTGCAATCACTCTTTCTGACGAGGTACGCAAATTGACGTTGCTTCGGCTATGGCCCCTCACGCTTCGTTTTCAATAGAGGTACTCCCCTTTCATTCGGCCTACGGAGGCAATGATACTCATCCTTGCATAGTTGCTTGCTCATGCAAAGGACCCTCCTGTCGATTGAGATGATCCCCTATTTCGTCTTCGCAGGTGAGTGACTTAAAACGTCCTTGGTGGATATGTGAGTGCACAATACTGATCAGCTTCAAGCGTTCTCCGGTTTGCGCGCGTTCGCACTCTGCAACAGTTGGATGCTGTCCACATTCATATTCCTGCTCGCATGTGTCCCGATCGCCATGAACTACGTGCGACATGCTCCCCGTTGGATTGCAAATGCCACGATCGTTGAGCCCCTTACTAGGTCGATTTCCATTTCGACTTTACAGGGGTGAACTTGCCTATCCTCGGTTGCCAATTGTCCGATACCGTCACCCTGCAGCAGGAACGATCGTACGTACCTGACGAACTTCGCTGATCACAAATCAGGGATGCTAACCTTGTCTTGATTCCTAGATGTAAGTCATCGCTTCGCGACTGCTCAGTCGAAGTCCGATTTTCTCTGAACCTTCATCCTTGAAGTTGTGATCGCGTCTCGAACATGTCTGATCGCAGCCGACTGCCTCCTCATTTTCCTGACGTGGCGACGACTGTATAGTCCACGACAGGTGGGGGATGCGGGGAGAAAGAACTCGTTCAGCACGGTCCTCCTCCGTGATGGTGAACATGTCGCGATACCTGTTCATGTCAGGCCAAGAATTACTGATATAATGGTCTTCACAGGAACTATCTACTTCGTGTACGCAGTGCTTGGTTCCGGCAGGTGTCTGAGGTTGACTACATATGGGGCCATTGGCGCAGAGTCATCGGGATCCTCAAGTTCTGCACTTCACGTTGACGCTTCTCTCGGTGAGCTCGTCCCGCCTATTTCAAGAAAGTGAGTCTCCGGGCATTCTCATCCAACAATCTACGTCTAGGAAACCATAGTGCTGCAGGACACCAGCATCGTCACGGAGCTTACAGAGCCGTAAGCACCCTTTCTGGCGCTCTGGCCAACGGCTCACAAGTCGAAGCGGCCAAGATTATGGCTAACTGCAACGTTCTCAGAATGACGAAGATCCTCATCTCTCGCTTCCTGTTTCACTTGCAAGCCGCCGATCGCGCGTCCCTCGACATGGACTCCTCCGACTCGCACGAGGGTCTTCCCGAGACGTCTTCGCGCACGAACATCAGCTCGGTCGTGTTCGACCGTATAGTCGGGTCGCTCTCCGCCGACATCGCGCCAGAAGACTTACTAGGTACGGCCGATGAGGATTCGGAAGACTACGCGGAGAAATCCGACTTTGTGGGCACCACTCAGACGGAATATCTCGAGGAGCCTGTGGAGAAGGGGAAGTCGGTCAACGAGATGCAAGAGGTAAACGCGCTGGACTTTGGAACGAGGGCGTCGTCCAACACGCTGAGGGGTCTGGATACTGTGGAAGAGGTGGTCTAGAGCATATATCTCCAGTGTATCCAGAATGTTGGCGGAACTACTACTTGCGTTATTTCTGTAGAATCGTTGTTAGGAATGCCCGAAATAACGATAAATGCTAGACTTCGGCAGGTGCAACTCGACCGTGTCTCCATCCAGAGAGACTTTGTCCGTCCGGCTCTGGGTGTATGATATCCGTAATATGAGTTCAGGAGGCGCATAAGAAGGTAAGAATGAGCGTAGTTGCTCGGGCAACTTTGACAAAATGGACTGACTCATGAAATTAATGATGTTAAGAAGGTACGGTGCGAGGTGGATTCCTAGTCGCTAGCATTTCAAGGCGCCAGAGGCTCACGCTGCTCTCATCCCTCTCTCGCCGTCTCTGCCATAGAAATTTGATTCTCAAATCAGTCATCGTATACAAAACCCACCAGAAGACGTCAAGCGTGTGTAGCTACAAAATAGCGCTTGTGCGAAAATCTGTCCGCTGAGTCTTCACATACCTCTAGCCATGGGCTTTGATCACGACTATGTGGAGGGAGAGGGTCCATCTTCATCCAGATGGAGACAGAGGTCTCTGGACGGAGACACATTCTCTGTCGAGGTACAGATGGAGTAAAGAGACCGGTACGGAGGGCGCTGCTCCATATCGAGGCTCCACTTTCCGCACCAACATTCTAGTGGACAGAGGCTGTGGCAACTGGGTACAAGCAGAAAGTGCACTGAAGCTCATCAGGCTTACGCTGCTCAATCGGCGGTTGATGTGGCTTGCGCATGCAAGTCCGACACTGTGCCGGTAACCGGGCCCTGGAAGGGCGTGGGACGTTTGCGCTTTGTCAGCCTGACCAAGACCCGTTCTCCGGTCTTTCTGAGTTTGGAAGGTATGTATGTTGAGTGTTTCGACGACACTCGACGACAGAATTCGTTATGTGCGGTCATGGCCCGGCCATAGTCCTTGGCTGATTCATCGTATGAAATTATGGAATAGAGTAGGAGAGGGACCGTGGTATAAAAGCGACGTCCCGAGTAGGGGAGTAGGACCAGTTCTCTCCCGCTAGCTTTCGCATACAGTCAACCTCCCATCTCAGCAAGCTACAAACCTCACCCTTGAGCATGCCTTCTTACGCTGTCTTCGGTGCATCACGTGGTATTGGTGTAAGTATTTGAGCACCATCTCAGGAACGTTACTGACCCTTTCTCTCTCATATGGCAGCTTGAGTTTGTCCGCCAGTTTGTGAGCATTCTGTTCTGTCTCGCATGTCGGAGTCAAAGTGCTGACATGAGCGCAAACAGGCTGAAGACAAAGACAACCAAGTCTTCGCGGTCGTGCGGAGCCCCAACAACTCTCCCCTTCTTGCGGAGGCCATCAAGACTCTCAAGCACAACAACGTGCAAATCGTGAAAGGAGACCTCGCCGATGTAACCTCTATCAAAGTAGGTGCTTAAATTCAACCGCAGACGTTGCCATCCTTACGGAGTCACCCGCAGGAAGCCGCTGCTGAGATTGGAAACGTCACAGGCGGGTCGTTGGATTATCTCATCAACAACGGGGCCTACATATATACGGAGGGCGTTGCCTTATCTCTGCCAGACTAGTAAGCAATAGCGCCTCCATGCTCAGCAAATGACGACTGACAACATTGTCCACAGCCCTAGCGAGAAGCTACTTGAGGACGACCTCCTCAACACCGTACGTCCTCTCCGTCGCTCCTAGCCAGGGGTATGAACTTAACCCCAATCGCATAGTATCGCACGAACGTTGTTGGAGTCGTCCACGCTATCAACGCCTTCCTTCCTCTCCTCCGCAAGAGCGCCATCAAGAAGGTCATCACACTCTCCACAGGTCTCGCTGACCCGGACGTGATCATTCGATCCGGCTTCACCGTAAACCCCGCCTACGCCATATCTAAGGCTGCCGTCAACCTTGTCGTCGCCCAGTACGCAGGCCGCTTGCATGAGGAGGGCTTCACCTTCATTTCCCTCAGCCCCGGGCTCGTCAACACCGCTACTGCGCCGCGTAAGCAGTGTTCAAACCCATGAAGGTCATGGCGTCACGCTAAGTCACTTATACGTGCACAGCGACCCCGGAGCAGATCACTGCCTACCAAGACACGGTCAACAAGTTGAAGAAGCACTCGCCCCACTGGGACGGGGTACCGCTCACCCCGGAGCAATCAGTCAAGTACATGCGCCAGGTGATTGACAAAGTGGGCCCGAAGGATTCGGGGGCTTCCCTTTCGCAATTCGGTAACAAGCAGTGGCTGTAGGAACTGCCGAATATTCACTATAGCAATGAAGTGTATATCAAGGATGTGTGATACAAGTAACTTGTGGTCTGGATTTCCATTCGGTCAGTTGTGCGACCGAGTTTCACTTCAGGGTACATACCATGATACATTGAATTTGGTGGTTCATCTCATACAACTCACCCGCTTTGCTCCTGTTCGCACGGCTTGCTAGTATTCGAACGTCTCACTGAGAGGTCTTGATCTTCATATGCACGGACTTCGCCCTCGTCAGCTGGTCGTAACCTACCACATCCCTTCAGCACCGCAATCAGATTCTCGGAGCCACTTGTGACGCACCGAAGATACTCAAGCTAACCCCGCGTCCGCTCTTCTTCACACCCGTCCACGCGAGCGCAGGGTCGAGGTAGTCGCACCGGTTGAGGAAGACTGTACCCGTCTGCAGCTCATCGACTAAGTGTAGGAATGCCTCCTCCGACTCGGGGTTGTTTTGAGCGTTTGTCCACACAGAAGCGGTCAGACCGTAAGGAGAATCGTTCATCAGCGCAATCGCCTCAACGTCGGAGGCGACCTTCTGGATGCCGATGACAGGTCCGAATGTCTCTTCCTAAAGGGGAGTGGAGAACGCGCGATCAGCAACACTCCTTGCTCTGCTACGTTCCCTTACACACCTTCATAAGTTCCATTGCTGCAGACGGGTATTCAGCAACATAAGGTGTTCAGTCCCGAAAATGATAGACACATACAATGGTCAACATCAATGAGGACCTGTGGCGCCACGAAAGCGGTTCCGCTGATGTAGAGGTGGTGAGGGTAGCGTCTCGAGAGGGAAATAATCTCCCTACGATGTCGCAGCAGGGAACAAGTCCTCTGGAATGAGCGCTTTCGCACCGGCAGCCACTGACATACTCTATATGAGCTCCGCTTTCATCGACGTATCACACGAAACTACTGACCAGCGTCAGCGACCTGTTTGCGAATCCGCTCCGCACTAGCCACACTACACACTGGGCCGAGGTTGTATTCAGGGTCGGTCGGGTCGCCAAGCTTGTATTTCTGGGAGCGTTTCAGCATGATTGGATTGCTTCGATGCCTGACAGGGGTTACCTTGGTGAGCTCTACGAATCTCGCAACGAAGTCGTCGAAGATGGATTCATGAACATAAATACGCTAGGCGCACCATGATGAGTGTTATCTACACAAAGGTGAGTCCGGTCAGGAAGCGATGCGCACCTCGACCGAACAACAGCTCTGTCCGGAATTGAAGAAGGCACCTGGGCAGGAAATCGAAGCTTCAGGACATCGTAGCGGCTACTCTCAAAGGGTCGGACATCACCATCGACCAGTTCAGGGACAGTGTAGTCCAAGTCTGCGTCTGCGCGAACGTACGCTGGATCCTTGCCACCGAGCTATGATATACCACCCATGTTAGCTGACTGGGAGTCAGTCGTTGACTGTCTAGATACCTCGAGGCCGACGCCTTTGAAGCCTTCGGCTTCAGCAGCGGCGATGTCCATGGCGCGACCGCCCGCCACGCTGCCAGTGAATGCGACGAAGTCAACCAGCGTATGCTGGACGGCCCTGGTCGTAAGCTCCGGACTCAAGTGGATGACCTGAAGCGCATCCTTGGGCACGCCGGCATTGTGGAAGGCGGCTGCGAAACGCTCAGCAGAGAGGGGCGTCTGGGGAGAAGGCTTGATGATGACTGAGTTTCCCGCCACGAGTGCTGGAAGGACGGAGTTGACCATGACGAGGTAAGGGTAGCTGCAACACGGACAAGGAGCAGGATGGGAGCGTCAGGATGCTGGACAGTCAAAGACCCCAGGAAGGGGTACGTACTTCCACGGTGCGACAACGAGGACAACACCAAGAGGTACACGCTTGATGTAGCGACGGAAGCCTGGTTGGTCCGTATCGGCTAACGAGACATCCTTGAGGGCCTTCTCGGCGATGGAGAGCATGTAATCCGCGCGCTGAAGTGTACCGCGGACTTCACCGGGAACTTGCTTCACTGGGCTATCATCCTTGATCGCATATAACTACACAAGCTGAAATATATGCGCACGTACCGGCCCATCTGCAGAGTGAGCTCCAGAGGGATCTCCTCTTTCATCTTCTCAAACTCCTCCTAAAGACCCCCAATTCGGCTGAGCTTGCATCGCAGAGCAAGATTGGAACGCACTATGAACTTGCGACCTATCGCGATACGCTGCTTGAGGGGTACGCGGGCCCACTTTTCCTGTGCGACGGCGGCATTCTGAATGCACTTATCCAATTGGTTGAGTGAAGGATAGGTGCGGATGACGAGTGGCTGCTGATTATGGGGGATGAGTGTCGTTTGAGACGAGGGATCGGTATCAGACTGGATGATCGTGCCAGATGGATTCAAAGACATGATGTTTGCCTGTATGTGAAGCCTACTTTGTCCGCACGTGGAGACGGATGAAGGAGGATGGTGATGAGTCTGAGCAGCGCCACACCTCCGAGTCAGGGCCCGCCGAGATCGGGATCTCGCTTGTATGATAGCGTCTATATTACCAAAAGGAGAATATTGTGGCCCGTAGCAACTCCAGAAAACGGATTTTTACGGTTGACGTCCCATTGCACTGAAAAAGCCTGTCCTTACTGTCCTATGTTCTACTGCGCGTCGGAATGACCTGGTTACCTGTCTCTCTACTTGCTGTCATTCAATCCTTCTTGTTGCTTGCCGAGGCTCAACAAAAGCTCTCCTTGGATACCGCCGCCGACTTGAACACGAATAACCTCCCTAGCCCTCCGACACTCAGTGTACCTTCGAACGGGAACCCATTGACAGTCTCTGTTGCGCTATGTGCTACGTCAAGTGACCCTCCGCGATTCTTCGTGACAAACGATACGACAATACCTCAGCCCAGCGTGTCCGATGTTGACAACGTGAACACGTACGAGATTGTGGTGGGCCCGGAGGGTTTTGGGAGCAAGCAACTTGTCTTCATCAATGGTGGGATTGTATCAGTTGTGAAGGGAAGTACGGCAACGCCATTTGAGGTGTTCATCTCCACAAACAGTGAGTCCCTGTGTCTGTTCCCAAATTGCTATGCTAAAAGCTGCTGGAGACGCAACCTCTGAGATATCAAATCCGCTCCTGGGGGACACAACCTCCAATCAAGCCCTTATATTCTCTCCAGCCTTTGATCCGCCGACATTTCAGCAACCCGGCTTCCCCAATTACACCCTCCCCGCCGCCAACTTGTCCATACCTCCAGAGCCTTCATCCCCCACCAATTACACCTTAGTCTTCGCGCCAACCTCTTCAGCGCCGTTCCAGGGTCTGCCACGAACGAGCTGTGCGATCAAATCAAGGTCGACTGCTAAAGGCGTAATCACCCTATCTTCTGTCCAAAGCGACGGTCTTTGGCTTCGGGATATGAATGGTTGGCGGTGGGAATGGTTCTTGGGCGGTCTTACCGCTAAAACGAACTATACGGCGTATACGCTGCAGCAGGGACAACTGGCAGCGTCCAAGCCGATCAACTTTGTGACCAAGTCGCGTATGTATCCTCCCTCTGCATGCCGCCTCGTAAGACAGCTGATGTTCGCTGTCTTCCAGCCACCTTCAACTGCCCTCTCCTTCATCAGCTTCCCTTCTGCCCATCCATATCCTACGCTGTGCCCCTCACACCACCGCAACCACCCTCTTCAGCGCACACGGCGTCCACAATTCCCTCCAACGTCTCCGACACCATCATCTCCTACCTCTCGAATCTCACCACCACGCTCACCACTCTCGCTTGCGGCCGCGACCACTACAGCCCGCTCGTGACCTGCGCCGACTGCCAGGCGGCGTACCGCACCTGGCTCTGCACCGTCTCCTTCCCTCGCTGTACCGAGTCTCCCGAGAACTCTACCACCTCTGGCATCACGACGGTGAGCGGCTCCAGCACGCAGGGCCCGCAGGTGCCTCTGCCCGCCATCAAGTCTGTGCAGGCGAACGCGACCCCGCGCAACCCCACGCTTCCGCCGTTCAACTCGGACTACGAGACGCTCCTGCCGTGTCTGGAGACATGCAACGCTGCGGACCGCGCGTGCCCTGCGTTCCTGGGCTTCAAGTGCCCACTGCCGAAATTCACGGCGTCGAACAGCTACGGGGTCGGCTTTGTGGATAGCACTGAGGACGGCGTCATGGGCGGGGGCACTACCGGAGTTGCGCAGGACGTCTATGGGAACGTGTTCTGCAATGGTAGTTGAGACATCGGATTCACAGCCGCGCTTGAGCTTTTGCATACATAACTTATTGACTTTCGGGACTAATCTCGGACTTTGTGTCGGTTCTTTGCGCAGTGTTACGATAGATCCGTTCGAGATAGAATGGGCTTCTAGGGTATCAGACGTCTGATAGAGGGTACGATGAGGGTACATACTTGACGACGCGCCCTCGCAATAGGCGCAGCATCGCAGTGCGTTTTTCTTGCGTTCTTCCGAACTTTCGATCCCGAACAAAAATATCAACGGGGCAAGTACGGGTGCGAGTTTTATGGGGCCACACTCGGTGCACATTTGGTGATCAGTACTCAATACTACATGACGGCACTGGACATTGGGTTGAAGTCTTTCGGCCGGTGCACACTGAGCAGTGCAACGAATATGGAGTGCGGGGCAGTGGCAACGAAATGGGTTGTGGACTTCACTGTGAGACCGCCAATCAGACGTTATGTACAAACCTCGTTATGATGGAGTTCCCCAGCCCCGGTCGTACTCAAGAGATACGGAAATCCGACATACGAGCGCCTCCGACATCCGGCCAACTCTGAGCGGTACTAGTAATACAAAGAAGAGGGCGGCTCCGGACGCCCTGCCGCTTATCTTGAGGGTCTACCAGCTTCCTGCTGTCCGTCGCATTGCTCCCGTTCGTATTGACAACCTATGTAATTAGCAGACAGCCTACGTTGCGCGCTGACGGAAGATTCTGCTGCTGAGAGAAACTGATTCCCAAGCATATGGCGAACCTCACTTCCATCAGCTTCCGCATACGACTGCCGACCACCCAGCACCTGCCTCTGTTTCTCCCGCATCCTTCTACGTGACTGCACGCAGCAATGGCGCACCAGTTTGTGGACGGAGTCTTCGCGTATTCCTTCCACATGATTAGCTGAGTATGCGGGTTCCCGTGAGTACGTACGGAGAAATAGAAATGCCACCATCACTGCGCCCGTCGCCACTCCGCGCCCTTCTCCTAATGCCCCCTACGTGGAACTGCGACACCTCTCTCCAGCATGTGGCCATTCTCGCCTTCGTATCCTGAAGTGAGCGTCGATGCGCTCCATGAGGAATACGACTACATCATCGTAGGTACGCGTGCATCCTCTCTCATGCCGCAGAAGAACGTCCTGACACGTCGCATGAACCCCTAGGTGGTGGAACCGCTGGGTGTGCCATCGCGAACCGGCTTTCTGCCTCGCCCAACAACCGCGTCCTCGTCGTTGAGCGTGGCCCCCTCGCCGACACATGGGCGTCGCGCGTGCCCCTTTTTTCCTCCGACTTTGCCTCCGACGGCTCGCGCACTATCAAGCGCACAATGGTGCCCCAGCGCGAGCTCATAAGCGCGACGGGCGTGCAGGGAGATCGCGTCGTTGAGGCGTACACGGGAGCGGTGCTTGGTGGAACCAGCAGGATCAACCAGATGCTGTACACGCGAGGCCTCCCCGATGAGTACAATAAGTGGGAGAGCGAGGCGGGCATGAAGGGCTGGGGTTGGGACGTGATGAAGGACTACTTCTTGAAGAGCGAGAAGGCGGAGGACGCGGTCGAGGGCGTGCACAGCCAGGATGGTGTCTGGAAGAACAAGCTGCACACGGCGTTCTACTTCAGAGGCTTCTTCGAGTGAGTCTTGGCGTATCCTCCACGCTTCCTTCCATCTCACGCGCCCCCAGGGCAGTTCAAGCGGCCCAGGCCATCGGTCTTCCCTACATCCCCGACCTGAATTCGCCCACTCATCCTCCTTTCGGATGTGGGCGATTGCATTTCACCATCGACGAGAAGTCTCAACGGCACTCGTCCTACCATGCGTTTCTCCCGAAGGATGTCGCTCTCGCGCGTCGAGAACACCTGCACATCTGCACGAACACAATTGTGGAACGACTCGAGACAGAGAGGACGGCTCTGGGCGAGCTCATCGTCACTGGCATCGCACTGGGACCACGGGAAGAAGGGAAGGGAGGGAGGAGGAGCGTGAGGGCGAAGAAGGAAGTGATCTTGAGCGCAGGTCCGTTTGGGTCACCGCAAATCTTGATGGTGAGGTGAGTGATACTCCATGTTGCGTGGTGCAACAGCCCAGTGTTCACGGGGATACCAGCGGCATCGGACCGGCTGAACATCTCAAGGAGCTCGGTATCACTGTTGTGAAGGATCTTCCTGCTGTTGGGTCCAACTTGGTGCGTTATGCCCTGCACATCCTGAGTTATGGAGACTCATCCTACGATAGCAAGACCACTTTGGCGTGTCCGTAGGCTTCCACATCAACATGTCGGATTCCCTCCTTTCCATCGAAAAAAGGCCCTGGGTATTCTTCCTCGAGCTGATCCGCTACCTCCTCTGGGGCACCGGGCTGCTCCTCGTTCCAGTGCTCCAACTGGCAATCTTCACGCACTCCAAATTGCTAGACAACAGAGGCATCCCCTCCAAGACCGAAAAAGCGTTCGACGAGAAGCTACCTGACATCGAGATCATGCCAGTACGTACCGCTATGTTTCTCCTGGCCACTGTCCGCTCATCTAGTGCTTTGCGACAGATGGCGTACGACAGCACGGACTCCGCAGCGACAGGCGTCTCCATCCCACGTACCGCCGGCACTTACAGCTTCCTCAACGTCCTCCTCTCGCCCGCCTCGCGCGGCACCGTCCGCCTCTCCTCTCCCGATCCGCGTGCACCGCTTGTGATCGATCCCGCTTACCTGTCGAACCCTGCTGACCTCCGCGTGCTCCGCGCGTCAGTCAAGCTCTCTCTGCGCCTGCGCGATGCTATGCGCGAGCGCGGCTACAAGATGGCCGACGCCACCGTGCCGAAGAGCGAGAGCGACCAGGACCTCGACCTCTGGATCCGCCGCGCAAACAGGACGACGTATCACTACTCCTCGACGTGTAGGATGGGGAGGCAGGACGACGCTGAGTGGGATGGAGGCGCGGTCGTTGATGAGAGGCTGCGGGTGTACGGGGTGGGAAGGCTGAGGATCGCCGATTCGTCTATCTTCCCTTGGGTCCCCAGGACGCATACCCAGGCCCCGAGTGTCGCCGTTGGGGAGAAGGCTGCTGACATGATTCTCAGCGACAATCTAGTCTGAGTCCTTGTGCATGTCCATATAATCACTTCTACAGATTGATTGGCGTAAGCCAACAGCTCTCGGCGACCGACTCAACGACATCCCAACGGGCGACATTTGACTACGCAGCCGGCCTCAGAGACCGTGGTAGTGAAACGGAGAGATTCCGTAATACAATGGCACATAATGCACAGCCCCCTGGTGATTGACTCAAGAGAGCGGCGAGTCAACAGTTATGCACTCATGCCTTGACCTCCACCACACCTGCGAAGGGACATAGCAGGAGCCAACAACGGATAGATGCCATCCCGACTACTTCGTCGTGCAGCGCAACTCAGCGCAGTCGCTACCATTCCGCCTGCGTACTTCGCATATCGTACCATCACTCGTCTCGAAGCGAAATACCCTCCCTGTCCCCCGGAGTCGTCTTCGACGCCCGCGCTCCGAACACCTGCAAACCCCGCAACCCAGCACGTTCCTTACGTCGACGTCTACGCTACCCGCGTCCCAGCTCGTGGTTTGATCGACCGCGGCCAGGAGAACAAGTCTGCGAGCCTCGAAGAGGCATGGGCCCACACGTTCCTCGAGAACAAGCTTCTCAGGGCGACCGGGCCCATCATGGGCACCAAGAAGTCATCCGAGCAAACCGACTACGGGGAGCATGGCTTCCACGAGGGCCAGAAGTTGGCCAACGACCTCTTCCTCATCTTGCGCCCACCAGCGCCCGGCTCGCCATTGCTCGTGGACTGGCGGTTATCGGACGGGCCTGTCTCTTTCTTCCGTCGTATCGCCGCTTGGGGATACCCCTGGAGGCTGATGTCGGGCGGCCGGCACGAGTTCGGCGTTGGACCGGTGGACGCGGATGGTACAGTCGAAGTGCGATTTGGGAGCGCGCATGATTACGATTGGGTGGAGGAGGAAGGCGACGCACAGAAGACGATCCCGGAGTGGGTGAAGAGGTGCCACAGGGCATACGCGAGGTGGCTCTTGGACGAACGAGTTGAGGAAGTCGAAAGACGCGCGAGGGTAGTTGACGAGGGAAAGGCCTGAGTGGACTTCGCTAGGGCGGCTCGAGACACAGGATGATAGGAGTTCACTTGTGTCTGCAATAAAGCCTTACTACTATATCACTGCGCTATGTGAGAGAGTTCGTTACGTGAGGGAGCTCATTACGTGAGAGAATTCATTGCATGGTTCTGTGAGTCCGGCTGTGAGGTAAAAATTCCGCAGCGTGGTTCGACGGCTTCACTTGATGACCAGCCTGAGAATCAGTCCCCTAGCCAGGGTGGATTCTGACTACCAAGAAGTCAATACGTTGTATGCTCGCTGCCACAGGGTGTCTGGCCCATCTGAGCCGTCACAACAGCTACTGCACGAGCTCATCACACGGCTGCCGCTATCATCGGGCGACTGCTTCCGAGCATCGCGTCGGCTCTCCCGGACAAGGTCCTATGGGAGACTGTGAGCATACTCTGATGCAGACTCGGCTCATCACCATACCTCGACCGTATCGGCGCTTGGCACTGGTAGTTGTTGGTCGCGGGGTACTCGACGAGGGTCGCTTGTGGCGATCGGAGACCGAGAGCGACGCGGAGCTTTAGACATCTCTGCTATGAATAACTCCGCCACACTCTGGCGAAGTTGTTTCACCTCCTGCTCGGCATCCGTTTTCTTACGAGCAGAACTGAGCCGACAGAATGGTCGATGAGTGGAGACAGTATGTTCAGAAGTAGCAGATACGTACCCAACCGCGCGAGGGACAATCGCATGACCGTCTTCCTCTTCCCCGACCTGACTAGGCGAAACATGAGCGCCTTATCACAGCAGGAGGCCAAAAAGACCCCGCAACTTACTTGCAGCATGCGACTTCATAAGCCCAAAGCCTTATCCGCTCGTCAGATTCCTTACCAGACGCCGCGAATTTCGACCCGAGATATGTGTCAGCCCTCCATGCCCTTCCGCCTTGGGACCCATGACCGTTCCGACACGTCTTCGCACGGAGATATTCAGCATGCGGGCCTAGCGATGCCAGAAATTGCACAACACAGAAGGCGTTATATGGTCGTTCCAAGTCAAAGACCGTCAGGATCCGCGACGATATCCCTCTGGCACAGATATGGACCCTGGGCTGCGTAAGCCTCAGCGTTACTGAGAGGAAATGACCAATCGATGGGAACACACCAATATCCGCCCGGGCCGCAGCTCCTTCTCGATCCACCCAAATAGGACTTCACATGTTGAGCCCGTCCTCGGTAGCAAGATCCCCACCACAGACGCGTCCAGCCCAAGTGCACGTCTCTGATGAAGGGCGCTACACATGAGCGGGATGAGGTCCGACTCGTCCGCGACGCACAGAAGAGGCGCCAGCGGTCTCGGGTGGAAAGGGGAAGGGAAGAGGTGCAGTTCTACGTCGGAGGAAGAGCACAGATCGTCGTACAGGTCCGAAGGCCGCGCGCGACGCTCGGACCCGCTAGTGCTGCCACTCCAAATTGAGCACCATTCCAGCGGGGCGGTGAGGAAGTGAAGGATGCCGCGGTACTTGAGGTCGACGGCAGCGATGACCTTGGAGTCGACAGGGCGAGTGATGTTCTCGTCGGCGATGTACACCGCTTTGCGTTTTAGCGCGGATGCGTCCTCGATCTCAACCCACTTGCTGAAATCCGAACCATCGCGCTCCTCGACGTCGTGGAGTGTAGCATTGGATGCAGAGCCGGCGTGCTCGAGCTGTACAGTGAGACACTCATTCTTTCCCTGAGCCACGGGTGTCTTGAGCGTCGCCAGTGCGGGGTTCTTGCCGTCGTCTGAGAGGTGTCCATTCACAGCGGCAGGTTCCTCCGTGCGTCGCTCCTCCGCAGCTACGATGACATGGCAATGATCAGTAGGCACGACGAGGCATATTGCTCAACGACGGACCCATGCAGTCAACCTCCAGAAGAACAAGCAACGAAGCCTTCCCTCTAAGATTGAAGAGACTCTTCTGTCTACCAAACACTTGCGCGGTCGACGCTTCGGGCCTTGGCATGACAAACTCGCAGTCGAAGCTGCAGCATAACATTTCCGTCAGCAGCTTCGCAACTATGATAAGCTTCGATGAAACACCATACTACGTCGTGACATCCGGGATTACCTCTTCCATGAGCCCCGCGAGTATATGCGCCCACGGGAACTGCTCTCCTTGGCGTGTCTTCTCCCACTCACGGGCGCTAGCACATACGGTGTTGACGAACTCCAACCGTCGTGCTTCGTCTTCAGGAGAGGCCGAATCTGTGTGGCTGCCATCACCTACAGCCAACAAGCCTGCGATGCCAGCGACCTGTGGGGGCCAGGCCTCCCTGTCCCCCAGAAAGTCCAGGATGACGTTGTGGCCGGCCAGCCAATGGCACAACGCATCGTCAATCTGCAGGAGTGACATTCCAGATGCCAGATCACGGTCAGCGATAGCGGATGGGATGGACGCAAGCAAAGGTCACTTGCCTTCGCTTTCCGGCGTAAATAGTGATCCCTGCCTTACACTGCCAGCAGGCATCGTGCCCGCCGCGCGTCCTCGTACGTATATGACCGTGGGTCGGAAAACGTGCCTCCAGCGCTTCGGCTTCATAACCACGATCTACTTCCCCTTCACGGTGGCGAACGATTCCGCGACGGCACCTCTCGCCCTCACGGGTTTCCGAGTAGGCCACGCAGTTCGGTTGCAGTTTGCGAGCGTGTTATGGATTCAATACAATTACAATCACACTACACACACCTAAAGCGTTCGCTCCCGTCCTCACGCACATCTAGCTCGTGTCCATCGCCTCGCCCTCGGTACCCCTGCCCCCGGAGATGAACGTGACGTCCTCCTCGACGACGAGCGCGCGGACCTCCTCCTTCTTGAACTCGGTTGTGCCGCGGCGGAATGTGTACGAGCGCTCCTTCTGGACGCGCTCGTTGGGCCTGACGAAGTTGCGGAGCATCTCTGTGTGCGACGCGGTGATCACGCACGCGTCGACATTAGAGCCGGACCCGAGGTCATTGAAGATACCCGCGGAGATCGCGGCGCTGACCAGGTCGAGAGCTTCTGCGCGCTGTGAGAAGAGGGCAATCATAGCGTGAGTAGCATGCTCAGGGACTTGTTGGAAAGTGAAGGCAGAGTGATGTGGGCTTTGCGAATCGGTAGGATGAGAGAGCATAGGTGATACGCTCTTTGCGGGCGACTTGTAGGGGTAGCGGCAGGGTAATAGTGGCGCGGAAGACTTACCTCCAGGTTTGGTCGCCACTTTGCCTCAAAGACTGCCATCGCTGCCAAGCTTCCAGAGCCCATAGTCACGTAAGGAAGCTTGTCCGTTGAACCGTGGGGGTGAATGGTGAAGAGTTGGGGACCGGTGACATCTACCCCACCGAGCACAAGTGCGGCACCAATGTGTCCCTGGTATCTATAGCTAGAGTGAGCGCGGCGCCCAACAGAGACAATGTGTTGTTAGCGTGCCTGAAGAGCATCTGCTTGAGCATGGTCATGGCAGTCACTACTCGAGGTTTGCGGCCGGTCGACAGTGCATGGAGCTCCATGTTGGAAGATATGAGGGCGGTCGTGAATTCTGTGTCTGCAGCAGTTCCGGCACCACAGCATCGGATGTTGTCCGTGATATAGTGGATCTATCAAGTAAATATGAGGCCTCTTTCGGTTACGCCGTACGTCCCAGAGCCCACCGTACCTTCTCGCAGTTCTTGTCCGCGACAATGGGTCCCTCAGTCGCACGAGTGTCGGCACCAAGGATGATCCCATCCTTGAACAAGCACCCTACAATTGTTGTACCGGTGCTGGTGGCCTTGGGAAGTGGGATACCGCGCTCGGTCAAGAAGTTGTTCCTGCGTGCATTCGGGTTAATATACGTCGGTGACCGAGTTGCGAACATAGCACGCACCTGATTTCATTGGTGAAGTCAAAACCTGCTCCTGAGTAAACCGATGCCGCTGCCATGGTGTCCGTAGTAGTGAGAACAGGAACAGCGCGGCAGGAGGAGAATGGGAGTGAGAGGCAGGGTTACGCGTCGCGGCTGAGTGCAGCGTCTGAGTCCGCCTCAGTGCACGCGCGTCGAGTCCAGACCCCGGGCACCCCGATCGCGGCGCGGGCGGTACCAGAGCGGCCGCGGCGATATGGCCTGGCTGGGACATAGGCAGCTGCACAGCGTTCATTCCTATCCTTCTCTTCCCTACCTCTCCCCTAATCTCAACGAACTCGTCGCTATGGAGGGCTGGACAAAGCTGCAATCTGGCCTCGCTGGCCTCAACCTCGGCCAGTCCGCGAACAAGCTCGCCAAGGGCTTCCAATCTAGCGTCCAAGCTACCAAGGAACGTCTTGGCCAAGTTGCGCCCGAGGAGATCACTGAGCTCCCTCAGGGTGCGTCCTGACGGTCTCGAAGTGCGTTGTAACAAGCGGCTCATCATTACACTGCGGACATCATAGAGTACAAGGACCTCGAGGCTCGCGTGGACAGTCTCCGCAACGTCCACCTTGCTCTCCTCAAGTACGTGCCGCAGCCTTGGTCGTACTGCAGGCTACTGATCCCACCTTTCGCTCTATAGAGTCACCCGTGTCTACGAGAGCGAAACCTATGACTACCCCACGCAGATCCAAGAGTCCCTCACCGAGTTCGGTTCCACCATCGGCAGCGGCATCACCAACTTCGCCGCCGCGAACCTCAAAGGCACCAACCTCCCCACGCCCCAACCCGTGTCACCCACCACCCCGCAGCACAAGACCCTCCCACATGCGATCGCCCGCGCGGCGACGACCGCCGCCCACGCAGTCCAGACCAGTGCCGGCGAGGACAAGCTCGGCAAGGCACTTGGGGCGTACGCCGGCGCATGGGAGAAGATCGCCGACGCGCGCGTCGAGCAGGACCATGCCGTCAAGGAGCGGTTTCTCCAGCCGTGGCAGACGACGCTCTCCACCAGCATCGCTGTCGCCCTCAAGGCCCGTCAAGCGGTCCGGGTCAGCCGGCTCGAGCTCGACGCGGCCAAGCAGACGTGAGTGCCGATATACCGTGAAAGCACCGCTGTTGACGTGAGCGCGTCTCCTGATTCATATCCGTACGCGACTCTCCGTAGGTTGAAGAACGCCAGTCAGTCGAAGCAGGAAGCAGCAAGGCTCGAGGTCGAGAACGCGGAGGACGATCTCGTCCAGAAGACGGAGGTTGCGATCACCCTCATGAAGACTGTGCTCGAGAACGTACGAAAGAATTCAGCGACCCTCATTCATCTTTCCACAGTACTGATTCTTTGTCTTACAGCCCGAACCCTTGAAGAACTTGAATGAGCTCGCCAAGGCTCAGGTCCGTCAGCTGCCTTATCATGTCCATCCGAACGTTTCTTAACTGGCCCCTTTGCAGCTCCTGTTCTACGCTACTGCCGCTGAATCCCTCTCATCCGTACAAGGCGAGATAGAGGAGCTTAGCGTCGCCGCTGAGGGCGAATACCGGTGCGTCTCGTCTTTTGGGTTCCTTTCGATGTTTTCTGACTCCGGTCGGCTCTCTATCGCCATTCTCTCCAGGAAATCGCGCGACCATTAGGGTCCTTGTATTGATTCACCGTTCCTGCATTCTTCCGCCAATGGCTGAATTGACGAATGCGCAAGCAGCTACGCGAACCGCTCGATCTGTATCAACCTTGATCATCTGCTCTAAATACAAATGTTACGGGTAGGGGTGTTACTTTGTGTATTGCAATGATGTCTCTTCTGGAGTAGTGCGTTCGCTTGTGTCTCTCCAAGTTCAATTCTTCTCAGCAGTATCAGACCAATCTTCAACTGGCGAGCTCAGGATCGCTCATATTCCACCGCCAGGTGATCGACTTGGCTGGCGATCTGATGTCCTGGCGTATCCATAAGATTGTGTTTGTTCAGCTGCTCTCCGTCCACTTTGAGTGTGAGTGTCTAGGTGCCTCCCTTGTCTTACATTGGATGATCGCTACGCCGCTCAAAGTTAGATGGAAGGTCATGACTAACCGCATTGGATAGCTGCAACAGACGCTGAGACATTCAGCCGTTCAATTGACAGGATGATTCACAGAGAACCCGGCTTTGCTCGTCAACGACGGGTCCCTGCCTGTTATTGTGCTTAGGGTGAGCGAAAGCGTGATTGGCTTTAAGGTGATTGCGCAGACAGCGGCTTGATCCGCCGTGCGATTCGAACCAATGTCCAATGAAATATTAATCGACCCGATGTCCAGCGCATCCATCAGTGAGAGCCTCCTCGAAACCTTGACGTTGAGTGGTAGGACTAGTATAACCTCTCCATCGTTTCCCTCCTATTTCTCATGAGATCATTTGCGCTTCGCTCTCAAAGAATCGCGGCAATTCAAATGGATAAGGGGGAGCACGGTTGGTTGGATGTTTGCCTGTTCACTGTTGCAGGAGGCACCCCATCTAATCTAACTTACCCTACGTGTCGGATCGCCAGTTTTCCGACCTGATGAATTGCGGCCGTCTTACACGAAAGTGGGATTTGTACAGATGAACGGACCACCACTCGACAGTTGACATCCGATGCCCCGAACGCCGTCTGTAGGGTCCGCATGTCGTCCCCGCCAGAGTTGTCAAACATCAGCCTCCGTTTACTGCCGTTTCTCATGTCGTTGCCGCTGCCGCTTGTTCATTTGAACCATTCCGGGCTTCTCCAGGTACGTAGACCAGTTACATGCGTGCCCTATTCATCCCTGTTTCAGGCTCTGCTATCACTATCGTCGCTTCCTGTACTACCTCCACATTTTCGTCCGCCATTTCATCGCCTCTATCCCAGAAGACATAATCCTCATCCCGTGAGTTCACAGACCATCGCAAAATGTCGTTGTCAGACTGTATGCGCAACTTCAATTCTTCCTGGACTTTCTCGCTTTCAAAACATGTTTTCAACTTCAATGCATGTTCGTAGACGTCCTGTGAAAACTTCAGGAAATCCGAGTAGCTGTCGCTTCGAGAAAAGTCAAAGTGTCTCCCTCCAGGAAGGCGATCCGTGATGCAGACGACCTGTCCGAGATACTCAGCCTATAACTGCCATGATTGCTCATAAGCGACCAAATCATACTTACCTCCTTGTCCTTCGGGCACCAAGCTACGCACGGAAGGCCGTAGCTTCCGTATGTAACGAGGCCGTGTACAGGAAAGTCCCAAATACCCAGAGTGGATAAGAACTTTGCCGCGCTCACGCAATTGAGTCGCAGCAAGTTTCTCGTCGTGTTATCCAAGTTCATCCCATATTTCTGGCTGTTGATGAGGAGGACCGGGAGGAAAAACTCCTCTGTATTGATTGATAGATTCTGGGTGTTGTCGATGTCAACATCACGCTTGTCTATGAATTACGAAGAGAATGGATTAGAGAAACTGACTGAGTAGAAGGATATGCATTTGTCGGAGAGGTACCGGGAAACCAAAGATCCAGGTTCCTCCGCTGCTGCCTTGGGGAGGACATCTTTGACTTTGACAGACAACGCCATGTCACAGAAGCCACTTTTAGGATATTGACTGAGACGTTCCTGGAGTGCCGAAGGATCCATCCAACGATTATCGAGAAACAGCCCCTTCATGAATGTCGTATGATTTTCGATGTACTTCGTTTCTTCGACATCTCTACGTGCGCCGCATATGTTATGCCAATGATCGAGAACATCCGATGAAAACCTCATGTGCGACATCGATACCTGGTCTTCTGAAGAGACTGCAATGATGTCGTCGCACCCAGTGCAGCGTAGATAATTCACTTCAACGCTTGAACCTGAATGTAAGCCCCAGATAGAGAGAGCATAAGGAAGGTTGAAATGTTTCATTACTTACTCCTTCAGGAGTTGAATGGCTGACGGCTTCTGAGATTCATGCCAGCCATTGAGGGCGGCGGCGGCCAAGCCGCTCGGAGCAGCGCCTCGTGTTCCCATAATGATTGTTGGAGAATCTTGGCTGGATTCGACATTGGGACTAAGCTATATACATATATATGAGATTCAATCAATTCCGCGATCCCCAGTCAAGTTGGACAGGACTAAGCACCTTTGATAGAAGGTTGCGGAGTGACTGAGATACCAAGGGTGGAACTAGATCAAGGTTCTTGTGAGGCTCTTCGCCCTCAGACACAGGGATTGTGAGAACACAGTGATCGGTAGACCAGTCAACGATGCTCGGTTCAACAGGCAGTTTTTTACTCCCATCGTCGTCCAAGCCTGTTCTAGATAGTAGGTCTCTAGTGAGTAACCTGTGACCATCCTGTTAACAGTAGTATGATGAACAGCTTGGAATATTCCTACGTAGGGTTGGGGTTCAACACCCAGGACATCCTTCAATTGAGAATCAGTAAATGTACGTGCTCGAAAGGGGACGATTGCCTACTTGGACAAGGTGAATTGAAGGTTCGCCTCCATGTCGCCTTCATGCTTGCTGCTCTACGATTTGTTCCCCAAGTGAGGGGTGATATTAACTACTTTTCTAGCTCATATCGTGCCTCACATACCTCACTGACTTTTCCGAATTGAGCTGTATCTGCTGGGATTGGAGACTCTGAGATTGACTGATTATTCTGATCAGCCATCTGATGTGTCGGAATCACTCCATAACGAGAGCACGTACCATTGAATCAACGCGTTGGGTAACCTCCGTGATACGAACTATCTCATCGGTGTGTGTGCCAGGCATTGCGTCCTCTCAGGAAATAATCTGGTCGGATAGTGAGGGTTTTGATCTGTGAGACGTATGATTGTTAGATGTTGCCTTAATATTGCCCCCAGCGGTGCTCCCTTTTGAAGGCAGTGTAGACGCCCGCTGACGTCTCCTCGCTCATAGCCCTTGCACAATAGTGATGGGAAATACAGAGCGCTGTTCGCGATTGTGGTCAGCCTATGATGAAGACTAGCTTCGTGCCTGATAACAAACTCATCATTACTCAATTCAGGTTCCTAGCACCATTACTGGGCGCGGCGCTCTACAGTCGTTTGCATATCAAAATGCAGTCGTGCGCGCGCGTTGAGCCTATTTGTGTGCACTTGTTCTGCCGTTGGGTGCCGGCTAGAGCGGCCATCCCGGAGCATGCTCAAGTCTGAGGACACAGTATTGCTCTCAATTAGTCCAAGAATGTGACCCAAGAACATATTCACTCCTTGATGTCAGTTTGTAGGCTCGAATCTGGGAATCCAGCGTGGCTTGCTCGGCCGTGGTTGTAGAATGACCGCGGCTGGCCTCAAAAAAGGCATGCAGATGCTGGACGACAACGTTGCAAGCAGCATCGACGTGCGCGCGCCGACTGCAGTTTGACCAAGTGTTTCAGTGAATCGGATGCATCCGTGGCGGTGCCCTACCGTGCACCGGATGCATCCAAGGTACGGTGCACAGTACAGATGCATCCCTAAGTCGGTGCATTTCCACAGGGTACGTCAAGGATGCATCCCAACAACGGTGGGTCACCGCGTAGGATGCATCCCGTTTACTGAAGCTGCTCGTTTGACACGCAAACAACTGCTGAACACAACATAATCCTGAAACGAGTCTCCGTGTCTGTATCAGCTTGCGAACGAGATATCGTCCTCATATGATGAGGTCTCATTGGATGATAGGTATGCTTCATCTGCGAATCACAGATTACCGAGGATGGCGCCGTGAGGACTAGGCCTTAGTGGAACCGCTTAACTGTTGTGGACGCCCGACGCTCGACACGTTGGGAGGCGACTAGGAAAGTGACTGGTGTACTAGTCGTATACGGTAAGGTACCGACCTCATTCCTCGCGCTCGTCATTTTCCGAGGAATCTTCTGCATTCCGGACGTCAGAGGAATATCGATTGCGAGCATCTCTGGGACAAAAGCGTTCTACGTCGATTGGCACCACTTTAGAAGCGGTTTCACAGGCATACTCATTGGCTAGGTTTGCTTAGCTATCTCCTCCGTCAGTGGCTTCTCTGTGTGTTCCGTCCCCAAAATTTTAACGGCCCTAATGATAGTGATAGGATGGACTTCAAAAAGTAAGACACCGTGCGCTACTATGACAGTTATAGAATGGAATGGAAGACATCTATCATTCCTTCGAGGAATCTAATGATACGTACGCTCAATAGTTTCTGATTGTTGATTCAAGAGTAATGTTCACGTTACTCAACAATTTGCTTCTGCTCTGGTGAAATCACTCATGCTGCACGGGTATAAATACAACGGGCCCATCTATGGATGTTGCACCAATTACATGATCCTCGAACAGGTGTATACTCTCGACGATATATCCCTCACCTATTGCTCAGTCATCGCCCACTTATACGCACACCAGAATGACGTCTTCATCCAATGCTCAGTCTTCTGCGGCAGAGAATCCACGTAGGTCCGGTCGGATCCAAGCCTTGTCAATGGATCGGGGCCACGTAGAAACCGCCGTGGTGGCTGAGGATCAGAGGTATTGATCACCGGGGACAATCACTGCGCTCTCAACACTCATCTGTTGAGTACAGACAACAGAATAAGGAACCCAAGAAACCGGGGAACAAATCGTCAGCGGGTCGAGGCACAACTCAAGAGACAATGTAAGTTTGATGTTAATGAAGTACTAATCAATCCGAACTGAATCCTTGAATTTACAAGAGCACAGACACAGAATCATACATCTAGCTCGCGGTATGGCTATATACTGTCCCAAAGGATATCATTCTAATCGGATCATGGACAAATCTTTCTTGACCAGTATTGCAGACGGCAACAGAGCCCGTGCAATCGACTTGGATCACCCTCGTATTGCCGAATGGTGTTTAGATCAATGGGTCATCATATATCCTGCATATTGGGCGCAAACAAGATATATGAACTTCAAGAGAGCCCAAGAGATTCTCGATTTCATCAAGCCCGTCAACCTCACGGCCCCAGTCAGTGGTATTATCATGTATCTCAACTTTTGATCTAGCATGCTAACTGCTTGGGCCTCGTGTTCCTACTCAAGGTGAATCAGATATTGTTGTACAATAAGACCTCTGGCCAGTTCGTTCAATCAAGTGTTCCTCCCGACTGTCGGTCCAGTGGCCAAACACCCAAATCCAACAGCACTGTGGCTGCTTCGGAGGTCCCTACCCTGGTCGAAGAGACAGATCTCATGTTGGCACATCTCACGTCTAGAGAAGAGTCTCATTTCCATAAAATAGTACAAAACGTCGTGGACCGCGCTGTGGAACTTGACGCAGACCCGGACCGGAAGAGCGAAGCTGAATGGACTTGGACTTGGGACTCACTCCTCATCGCCAGTGAAGACTACTGTAACAAACACAGTTCTTTTGATGAGGGAACTGAACCTTGGCCGTCGCAGGGGACGGACTTTGCCAAACTAGAGGTCGGATTGCCCAATACGGAACCTGAGGGACCCAAAGATGAGGACGACCAAGATATTCCTATCACCGAGGCTTTCCTCGAAGACGGATCTCAGGAACCCATATCTGGCTGGATGCGTGAACCACGGAAATATGCCCAGAGGGAACCTCCCGCAATCTATAGGTTAGGACACTTGATGTGGATCCGTATACCACAAAGCTAATATCGATGCTGTGTCAATAGGAAGGAGAGAGTTTTGAAATACCCCCGCTTCCCTGAGTTCGATCGAATTGTCAAAGCGGCGGGCAAGAGCACTGCAAAGCCCATCCATAAGGATTTCGGAACCGCCACCGCGGCTTATATCAAGCGTTTAACGGAGGCTTTACGCAAACCTGAGGCTGTGCAGCATTGCAGGGAAATTCACGAGATTATAACACAAGTACACGAGGTCAACAGCACCGTAGCCAAGCTCGGTCGAGACGATCCTAGTAAAGCTACCAATGCTTTCCGCGACCGTCTCTCAGGGTACCCACCGACTGGCAGATGCGACGGTCTATACATGCTCGTTGATTATCGGCTATTCGAGGACATCAGAGAACAGGACATTAGAAGACACGGGAAAGAAGTCCTGGGCGATGAAGAAATCGAGGACATCCTGAGATCACTCAACTGCGCATCGAGTGGGAAGTCGCGGTCATCTCTAGAGCGCGCAAAGAACGGATGGAAGGTACTCATTCGGGACGACGAAGATGTACCAAAAGAGGAAGAGCGCACAGACAATGGTGCACGGGCCTTCCGCCTTCCTTTCTTCGTCGTGGAGAACAAGACCGACGATGAAGACAAGGAACGTGTCGCAGAGAACCAACGGCTGGAATATTGTGTTAGCATCGTGAGGGCCTTGTCCGCACTGGGTATCCGGGACTTCCCAATATACGGTTTAGCAACAGTAGGACAGTATGGAACGCTTTGCGCGGCATGGTGTAGCTCAAGGCAATCGAAGGTGAGTATCTAGCAGATTTTAGATCAATGACGGTATTGAAACCAGTGCTCACTCGGTATTCAAGATTTGCTATGTGATCCATAGCAACCCTACAGTGGTCTATGACTTAAAGAACCCATCAGACGCCATGCAAATGCTACTATTTCTGATCAGGCTTCGGCGACGGGTGGGGTCGGCCTTGTGGCAAAGATATCAGGAGAAAAGGCCGGCTCTAGTGCAAAGGATCATCAGTGGCAAACAGGCCGGATGGCAACTCGTTGGACAGCTATCAGAACTCCAAATGAAGGACGCGCCTGGAGAAAGGTGACGATCTCACAACACTCAAGTCATATGACTGACTGATCCGGAGCAGGACGAGTGCATAACCACGGCATAGGTCGGTGTCTTTGAGGGGTTGGGCGAGCCCTCCTATATACCTGAATGAATCTATAAACGACGAAGAGCGACTGGTTTGAGATGAGCTAGCATCTACGAAATGTACCGCGTTGTTGGGTTTGTCGATGTCGTGGATCGCTAATACCGCAATTTCGTGAACATTTCTATCGAGTGCTCTAATACTTCTATATCCGCCGCAAGGGTCTTCCTCTACAAGATATTGGTGAATATAGTACCCCACCGGGTCATCAAAACTAGGCATACCTTCTGCTCATTAGCTAAGCGGATGTTCGCGGGAACAGCCAAAAGTTGTAGTCAACGAGACCTGACCTTCTCAATCTTGGACAAGTTCACCTTGGCTAATGTGAGCTTCGTCTAGCATTGATTGATCTCGCCAGCCAGATCTACTTGGCACTAGAACATACGAAGTCCGTTCAGCGAAAACACGACAGCGCAACAGCCACTCGAAGACTCACTCTAACGAGCACGTGCAGGAGCGGCGGTCGGGGTGAGAACTTCAGACCCGCAGCCTTCAGGAGCGCGGTTGATGTCGCGAACTACCTCTAAATATTTCCGGTTTTTCGTGAGCGCACACAATGAATGCAGGGACCTGAGATTCGAACAGCTTTGCCTCAGCATCATTCTCAGCACGAATATACACCGCCCGAAACATTCAATGAATGAATACCAACAAAGAGCAGCTATTAGATCAGAAGCTGACCATGGAGGTTCTGGATGATAGTGTATGATGCAGCAAGAGCACGGGCCGACTTGACGGTGGAGAAGACAAGGTCGAAATCGTGTTCGGTCTGTGTTCAGAATTCGTATGTCTTGTCCTGCATTTCCCAGATATTACTGTTAGCTTCGATGATTGGATGAAGGTCAGCGTCAGCAGACACGTACGAAAGTCGGGTACTTCGAGAGCATGATCGACGGCGTGGGGCCGTTGGGGCGGCGTGGGAGACGCTGCCAGAGCTCCTGCGTTACGAGTGGCATGAAGGGGTGCAGGAGACGAAGACCGTGATCTAAGCACGTGTAAAGCGTCTGTTGTGCAGACTTGCGCGTAGTCTCCGACGCCGACTCGTCCGTCATGGGCTTCATCGCTTCCTGGGGGACGTGGCAAACGATTATAACACAATACACGGAGACGCAGGAGGCGAATCACCATGTGAACGTCGCACAGCTTATGAAGCCAGAAGTTATGCGCCGCGCGGCCCGTCCGGCGGTCCGGGTTAGCCGGAGGCTCGAGCTCCGATGTTTCGTGACTCGGAAAGCACCGCTGTCGACGTGAACGCGTCTCATTGGCCCATACTATCCGTACGCGACCTTCTGTAGGTTGAAGAACGCCAGCCAGTCGAAGCAGGAAGCCGCAAGACTCGAGGTCGACAACGCGGAGGACGGAGACGGAGGTTGCGATCACCCTCATGAAGACTGTTCTCGACGAACATGTGTTATGTTCTCAGCAACTTCGTCAGTTGTCTGCATGAGTGCTCACCAGCTTGTTTTTGCGCCCGGACCCCCTGAAGAACCTGAACGAGCTTGCCAAAGCTCAGTTCAGATCGCCTCTTGTTATCGCCGTCTGGACACCTTCTTCGAATCACTCCTACTAGCACAGCTCTTGTTCTATGCTACTGCCGCCGAGTATCTCTCCTCCGTACAAGGCGAGATCTAGGAGTTCAGCGTTGCCGCTCAGGGCGAATACCGCTTTACCTGCCGTGTTAGTCTATGTCCTGTCATCATTTTAGAAAACATGCTCTGGTGAGTTCACATAACTGCAGCATACAGCGCAGGTCCAAATCAATGGCTTCTTCGTTTGGTGACCGACATGATCCCTTAATGTAGCTTTCGCAGCGGATACTCTTGAAACGAAGAGTCAGCACCCCATGCAAGCTTTCACCGACGCTGACTCTCCAAAAATGTACTGATAGCAGTACTGGATATAGGAAGTTTCTCGGAAGAGCCTCTTACCGACATGTAATCAACTCAGGATGGTATGTAGGGTATCAACAATATTATCTGCGGGCACAGTCACCACTTCGCGCTCTTGTTTTCCGCCAGTATCGACAGGCCGCGCTGGTGTTGGGATACTGAATTTCAGAGCAATCATGCCGACCCAATTCACTTGTTGTACATGTTTAGTATTCGAGCAAACGTCTCACTCCGAGTCCTCCCCGTCTACTTCCGGTGGGACGCCTCCTGGCCACACTTCTTCCAGCTGCATCCGTGAGGTCCAACTGAGCGATGCCCTGCCTTCCTCGGACTTCAGAAGCTCTAACAGCGATGGCTTGGCTTGTTCGAACCGGGCGAGTAGATCTGCCGCGCTCCTGTTCACCATGCCAAAGAAGTTCGCACAACGGAGGATTCCAATTTCTTCAGCTATGTCGAATTCGGTGCCGTCTCGGTCGACATCCACAATAAAGCAGCACTGACGATGTGTGTTATCGCGCTTGAAATACCCTCAGGGAGGATAGACTTACGCCTTCCGATTGTGAGGACCATGTCTGGCAGACCGCGCCTTTTGTACCATACGTCGCAAGGCCATACACCGGAAAGTCGAATATGCCAAGCGCAGCAAGGAAGCGCGTGGCACTGGCACACGACATTCGTTGCTCATTGACGGTGGCAACTTCTAGCTCAGTCCCGTGGCTCTGATGTTTCACGATTAGTAACGGCAGGTGTAGCTTCGAGGACTCCAAGGTAGATCCTATCACGGCCAGCAGGTCAGTTGATACACATCGACGATCATGAGGAGTACTCACCTTCAGATAGTCGATAGAACGAAATAGATTGAAGTAGATTACGAGCTGCTTGGCTTTCGGGCCTCAAATGAACAACCAAGGCAAGCGATGCATCCACAATAGTTCCGATAGGATATTGAGCCAGTCGATTCTTGTACTCTGCCATTCGCTTCCGATACGCATTTTTGAACGCACGAGAGCGACGACGAGCTGCAGCGTAACTGCGCCAAGTGTCCGAGATACTTTCCTCCATCTTGGCCATCACTCTCGAGAAAATCCAAAGACCTCTGACGTCGTGCATACTATGCGTGCTGTCTGCCCCTTCGAGGATCGCATCACGACGTGCATGAAAGTCGTCGCGAACGAGATCTGCATGTCGGGTCATGTTGGCATAGACTGATTGGTAGGGAAGCACTTCATCGCCGAGATCCTTTGTGTCGGTGCTAGCCATTACCAAGGGATACGCTCGAGCTAATTGGTCGTATTCGTTGCTTCTCAGGAATTCAATAGGTACCTCTACGCTGAGATTGTTCAGAAACTTTAGAAAAGATGATCGCTGTCTGCAAACCTACATGTATTCCGTGAAGCTACCCGAGATATCGGGAGATTCGCCGAAAAACCATTGAGCCATATGACGCCACAGTGATGCCCGCTGTTTCTTCGAATCTGGACATTCATCTTCCAGCAGCAAGTGCGTATGGCGCACTACTGTGGCTAGTGATAAGAGATCGTCGTTCTCGTTGCCGCAGGCCTGAAGATCCAAAGTAAGTGGACGCCAAGGGGCAGACAAGAGTGCTGCTCGCCATCATTGAGCTACGCGTTGGATTACGATCACGCATGATATCAACGAAACAAGTCATCTTGTCTCGATGTTCCTCGTATATTGGCCCATCTGAAACCCTGGGCAATGGAACGGGCATGACACTGTGATCTAGCATCCAATCCACAATTCCGGGGTTTGGGGCCACGACCTCCGAGGGAGTCCAATGCACCAGATCCCCGCCCTCTGACTCCTCGCTTTCTTGGGCGGACTCTTGATCGCTCTTGAGGTCATGTTCGAGAAGCCTGATACGTAGTAATTGAGTCTATCTGCTTTGACGAGTTAGAGGAGGAAGCCTACCACAGATTAGATCGTGTCGGCCAACGAAGTCTGCTAGCTATCCTCAGTACGTGCAGACGCGGGACAATGAACATGTCTCACGACTGCCAAGATGTAGGACTCACGAACCCACAATCGAGATGTCCCTAGTTGCACAAGGAAGCTCTAATATGAGTATGTAACGTCAACGCGTCGGTGTGATGAACATCGGAGAGTGAACAAACCTGCAGTCATTAACTTCTCTATTCCACTCTCTTATCCACTCCTCGCTTAGTTGGTCCCCAGACAATGTTTCCAGTATTGGGCCGTCCCTCCAGTGATGAATGCATTCACAGTCAACCCCAGGAACCGCTCGTTCAGGGGGAAGACTTGATGCTATTGTCGCGAAGTGCAGGCCTACTCGGATGAGGAAGTCGGAGAAAGCCAACGTGGATGATTGATCATGAAGATTGAATACGCCGTAATCAGGTGAAGTCCGCATCCCCGCACTAAGCGAAGTTGCAATATGCATCTGTTCCAAACGCACGTCAACTAACTGTCCGTAACCGGTCTCAACGCGCTGGTATTCACCCTGTGTTCGTCCTCATTGCTCTCTGACTCCTCAATCCATCCCACCAGTATCTGGAGCGTGGAGTTCGACTCGATTTGATGTTGAGTGATGCCCAATACGGGAATATCTTCACAGCCAAGCGCCTTGCGTTGATGCATAGCGCTGCACATGAGGGGTACGATGCCAGCACGAGTTGCAATGCATAACATTGGGACTAGGGGAATGGGATATGCTGTCGAAGACGTGAAGTGTGCTTGAGCAATACTTGCTGAAATCTTGTGCAACTCATCGGCCATGGCGGCGTGCGCTGTCTCAGCTGTAAAGCATCTTATCTTAGTATTTGAGTCGATGCACTAGTATGGATGACGACCGACCTAGGATATCAGATAGTCCATCACCAGTTTGGGGATGTGTAGCGGACGATTGAATGCTTGTTGATGTGCCACTGTCAGCGTCTCGAGGCGTCGCGCTATCTGCTGTGTCCGTCAACAAGCAACCGAGGGTACCGCGCAGTCCATCACAATTTTCGGAGACCATAGCAGACGAATGTGCGCTCTCTGAGGTGTCCCTGTGAGCTTCCTGAAGTGAAGGTGCCCTCCATGTTGCGCCGTCTGCTGCATTTGTCAACAGAGCGCACGCCCATAACAGCTCCGTTCGCCTTACTCACCCTTCCGGGTAAACGGAATGAGACCTAGCAGTAACGCCTCGCTGTTCCTTGGCATATTACTAGCACCATCCAGCTTCGGGAGGGCGAATCTACTATTGATACTGCCGTATATCGTGATAATGGCATTAGTGAGCGTGGTCGAGTATCTGACAGCGAACTTACAACACTGAGCAGTTTGGAACAGTCTTACGGAAGACACACGCAATCACCGATAGCCAGAGGGATCCATGACCGCTCAGGGGTTGGAGCTCGGGGTATCGAGACAGATATTTGACGACGGAGTGGATTGACCGGGACAAACTGCTGTGCATTTCTTCCTCACACAGGTAGTCAGTAGCGTTCCGCTTGTGTGCACAGAAATACTTACCGTTCGGATTGTTAGAAAGTGTAGGGTCGGCTGGGATCGATGGATGATTAGCGGGATGTTGCAGCAAACCGGACAGGCTGCGAGCATGTGATGGACATTCTCCAGTTGGTGTTAGTGGGTGGAGAGATACTTGTAGCTTCTCTGCAGTATCGTAGAGCGTATCAGTACAATTCATCGTGAGCGAGGTAATCAGAGTGGGTCGTTATGAATATGGCGGTCTCTGATGGTAAACTTCTCCACTTGAAGCGCTCAGCGCCCACATATCCAAACATTGCAGCGCCCTTGCAAAATGAAAGCCGCCACGCCTGGCCGTCCGTGGGTTACTGCTACCCTACCACCCTCTTTCTCGTCACATCTAGACCTCTTTCCAAACATTGGGATACCATGGAGATCTCGACATGATGTTGAGTTATAGCATTCAGAGTCTGGAATGATTTCTGCGCATTCGAAGAGAGGCAAGCGAAATTGTACTGTGAGCGCTAGACTGCCTCATATGCGAGTATCCAATGGTCTGTTTCAGCATCCTCAAAGACCTGTGAAGTTGCTCCGCGTAAAGAGGAAGGTTCAGGCTATCATTCGAATCTAATTCGAGAGTGACGCCGCAATCCACATTATGAGCACGTCTATTCTATTTGATTCGTGGTGGATGTCTACGACGGGCATCACATTTCACCAACGCCTGAGATGCCTTGTCTCGGGAATTGGAGGCAACATCAGACACTACTCACACTTTAGGATTGACTCGATAGCGCTCAAGAGACCTGCGGGGCGAGGAGAGTACATCCTACGGCAATCTCTATGAATGCTGTCTCCACTGCAAGTCTGTGTTACGGAGCATACCGTAGTCTTGTTCGGCCAATGGCCTGCTCATCATGACTCCTCGCATTTCGTCGCTTAACGATGTGATTAACGCGACAGTGTCTCGAAGGACTTGAGGTAAGCTATGTCGTGGCAATGCGCTTTATTTGACGAGTCAATATGATGAGATTGAGATCAATCCGTCAGTATACGCGACGAATATGCAGCACTGGGATCGACACGCTGGTCAACTAGGACCATAAGAGAAAGACATCCTCCTATTTCATCTTTGTGAACATATCGATTGAATGTTGCAGAAGTTCGACGTCTGCCTGAAGTGTTCTCCTCTACACATTATCATGTCAGAACGTTTCTGTGTACATTTCGCTGACACCAACCTTGTCTCCGTTGGCCAAGCGCACGTTTGCGGGAACAGTCGACTCGTAGTCGGCCTGCGACTCAACCTTCTCGATTTTCGACAAGTTCATCCTCGCTAGTGCGAGCTTCCTTTCGCATTTGTTGATCTCGCCGTCCAGATCCACTTGACCCTAGAACATAAGTCGAATGTTCAGCGAGAACGCAATGAAGCATTAATCACTCTGACACCCACTCTAACCAGCACGTTGACGAAAACAGTCGGGGTGAGGACCTCAGATCCGCAGCCTCCGGGAACGCCGTTGATGTTACGAACGACCTCCAAGGACTTCAAGTTCTTCGTGAGCGCGAGGAATGTCGGGACCTGTGATTGGAAAAGCTGCGCCTCCGTATCGCTCTCAGCACGAATGTACACTAGACAGCGAGCCGTTCAGTTCATAAGGCTGACATAGAGCAGCTAACCGATCAGAAGCTGACCATGGAGGTTCTGGAGGATATTGTATGATGCAGCAAGAGCACGAGCCGACTTGACGGCGGAGAAGACAAGGTCGAAATCGTGTTCGGCCTGAGGGAACTCGTATGTCGTGTCCTACAGTTCCCAAGATCACTTTAGCTTCGATGATTGAATGAAGGTCCACAGACACGTACGAAGGTGGGGTACTTCGAGAGCATGATCGAGGGCGTGGGGTCGTTGGGGCGGCGTGGGAGGCGCTGCCAGAGCTCCTCCGTTACGAATGGCATGAAGGGGTGCAGGAGACGAAGACCGTGATCTAAACACGTGTAAAGCGTCTGTTGTGCAGACTTGCGCGTAGCCTCCGACGCCGGCTCGTCCGTCATGGGCTTCATCGCTTCCTGGGGACGTCGCTTACCAGTGGTAACATGATACATGAAGACGGGCAAGGGAGCGACTCACGATGTAAACGTCGCACAGCTCGTACAGCCAGAAGTTGTACGCCGCACCGGTAGCGTTCATGAAGTTCCGCTCAGCTAGTTGTTGGTTGATCTCTTCTGCAGCGAGATTGAGCTTGTGCAAGATCCACCTCTCGACTAGACTCTCCTTGCCCGTGGGCTGCAATGTCCGCATCTTTCAGTCCGGTGCGTAAACGATCATGACGCATTCAAGACAAACCTTAGCCGTGGGCTCTGGGACGAACGTCTCGTCGAGCTTCAACATCGCGAACTTCGTCGCGTTGAAGATCTTGTTGCAGAACTTACGGTAGCCCTCCACGCGCAGGATCTCTAGGTTGATATCACGTCCTCCACCGGAGTACGCACAGAGCGCAAACCTCAGCGCGTCCGTGCCGCACTGCGGGATACCCTTCGGGAAGTCCTTCTTCTGGCCAGCCGTTGCCTTTGCGATCTCACGCTCGTCCAGGTTACCCTCATACAACTTCCGATGCAAGCTCTCGAGGTCAAGACCCTGGATCACGTCGATGGGGTCAATGACGTTCCCCAGCGACTTGGACATCTTACGTCCATGCGCGTCGCGAATCATCGCATGACAATAGACCTCGGAGAACGGCATCTTGCCGGTGAGATGGATGCCGAGCAAGGCCATGCGCGCGACCCAGAAGAAGAGGATGTCCCAGCCTGTCTCGAGCATGGAGGTCGGGTAGAACAACTCGAAGTCCTTCGTGTTGGATGGCCAGCCCAAGGTAGAGAACGGCCAGAGACCAGACGAGAACCAGGTGTCGAGCACGTCTTCGTCCTGCTCGAGCGTGAACTTCGCGTCGCCCGCAAGCTTCTTGGCATTTGCAGTCGCCTCCTCGAAAGTCCGGCCGACGACCCAGTTCTTGCCATCGTTGCGCTACATACCGTCAATAAGCGAAGACGTCGCGAAGTCTGGTGCTGAATTGCTCACGTCTTGCTCCTGGCCCTCAATGTCCACGAAGTATGCGGGGCACCTGTGACCCCACCACAGCTGACGCGAGATACACCAGTCCTGGATGCCCTCCAGCCAGCGGTACCACTCACTCTCGGACGACTTGGGCTGGATGAGCAGCTCGCCCGCCCTCGTGCGCTGGGTGTCCAATCAGACTTAATGCTCGCACCACCGAACCCAAGACTACGCACCTCGAGCGCCTTCTCAGCTAGCGGCTTGCAGTTCACCCACCACTGGGGCTTTAGTATGGGCTCGATGATATCCCCCGACTTGTTGCATATCGGAATCTGCATCGGGTTGTCCTTCGTCTCGACGTACAGCCCCGCGTCCTTCAGCGCCTGGACAACCTTGACGCGTGCATGGAAGCGCTTCATGCCCTTGAACATGTCCCCCGCGTTCTCGTTGAAAGTTCCGTCGTCGTTCAAGATGTTGATGAACTCGAGCTTGTGCCTCTGGCCAACGTCGTAGTCATTCGGATCGTGCGCAGGGGTGATTTTCACGGCTCCCGTCCCGAACGCCATGTCGACAGCGATGTCGTCGGTGATGATGGGGATGCGGCGGTCGACGAAGGGGTGCTTCGCGAACTTGCCATGGAGATGCTTGTAGCGGGGATCCTCGGGGTGAACGGCGATCGCCGTATCGCCGAGCATAGTCTCGGGACGGGTAGTGGCGACGATGATCTTCTCGTCAGAGCCCTCTATAGGGTACGCAAAGGACGTGATCACGCCGAACTCGAACTTCTCCTTGATATCATATCCGGGCACGTTCAGGAGTGTCCGTCCCTCCAGCTGTTTTTGATCGACCTACGGGAACACTAAGCGATACTATGGATGCAAGGTACCTAGATACTAACCTCGAGATTTGAAAGCGTCGTGTTCAGCTGTACACACCAGTTGACGAGACGGTTCGCACGGTAGAGGATGCCGTCTTCGTGTAATCGACAGAAGGTCTCAACGACAGCTTTTGAGAGGGTCTAAGACGGTGTCAGCAGATACGTCATAATGCCATCTCACTAGAATGACTATCCGAGGTAAGTAGCCGGAAATAGTGGGCTGCATTTTATTCGAGAGCATATGATACAAACTCAAATGAGTTTGAGATCATGCCGCGACGGATGGCAAGGTGATAACAGAACAGCTGAACTCCCGGATGTGAGAGAGGTAGTTAAAGGTGGCGTCTCAATGGAAGGTTCGAGGAAGCGATTCGGTGAGGACGCGAGGGAATCCTGAGGAGCACAGCCCCCAATATACTGCAGCTCGCGATTCTGTGCACTCGATTCCCTCGCCGTAGCGCCCACTGGCCGGCATCTTCAACGGAATCGATTGGAACACGTATAGTCGAGGCTACTACGAGAATCGGCTTCGATCGCCTCTTCTCGGTTGCCTCGGAACCGCTCATCAAACTGTGTAGAATGATTGGCCTTGACTATTCCTCATGTGAACGTGTCCGGCAATCGAGAGGAACCAGTCGTTGAATGTCCGCAGAATGCTTGGAAGATGTCGCGCGTATCTCCTCACACCCCGGTAGTTCCGGCAAGACATCGTAGGGAACGGTGCTCACCTCGTTCATCGTGAAAGCCACGCGGTTCCAGTCAAAGCTCCCTCCCAATCTCCTCATCTGGTTGGTGATGCGACTCTGATAGCTAGAGATAGAACATCAGCGCACCGTAAACAAAGACTCGAAGACAACTGACTCACTCCTCCTTCCACTCCAACACCTTGCTGATGAACGCCTCCCGACCGAGATCGTGCCGCGTCACGCCGGTCTTGTACAACCTCTTTTCGACGACAGACTGCGTCGAGATACCCGCGTGGTCGAACCCGGGCACCCACAGCGTAGTTTTGCCCAGCATCCGATTCCACCGCACCAGACAATCTTGGATAGCGACGGTGAGCGCATGACCGATGTGAAGAGACCCAGTGACGTTCGGAGGTGGGAAAGGCATGACGAAGACGCCCTCGGGCTTGATGTTGCCATCGGGGGTGAGCTGGGGAGAGAAGTAGCCTTGCGCCTCCCACCAGTCGTACCAAGCCGCCTCGACCGCGATGGGGTTGTACCCGCTAGACATGGGTTGGGACAGGTCTTGCGGTCCGTGTCAGCGGGCATTCGTGATGCGAGTGATGCACGAGAACTCACCCTTCTTCTCGCCCTTCGGAGTCGTGTTCACGAACTCGGGCTCCTCCTCCTTGGCCTCCTTCTCTTTCTTCGCCTTCTTGGACTCGCCAGCGGGCGCCGCGGCGGCAGCCTTGGCCGCCTTCGCGGCCTTCAGCGCGAGACGGGCCTCATTCTCTTTCTTCTTCGCAAGCTTCTTCTCTGCGCGCAACTGGTTCAGCACAGACCGGGGTTAGCATTCGATCCCTGATGAGACGTACCTGCGCTCTTCGTGAGCGTAGCAGCACCCTCCGCTGGGGTCGGGGTTACTGCAGGGAAGTCGGTTGAAGCCGCCTGTGATGGCGAATCGGACATTGCGGACAGCGTCGAGTGTAGAAAGCGTCGATAGGGACGATCGGGGAGACGGAGGAAGATTAATCGATGCACTGAGCGGTGCATCCAGCTCTACAGTAGATAAAGTTATTGAGGGCGAGTCACAAGAGATCACAGATCGCTCATCGTAAGTGCCCTCTTATCTAATCTGTTACCTCATTCGGCTATTTGATCATATCTTATGCGTCGCAACCCTGGGCTTGGAGGGCCGCGTCGGATGAATCGTACTACAGGTCGAGTCGTCGACGATGAAAACGCGTCGAATTCATGCAGAGCAATTCAGTACCATTCGGATATCTAGGGCTTAACCACCGCTCGTACAGCATCCCCGAAGATAGAACAACGTGGCTACCCTCTCTCGACCTCCTTTCTCCTGGACGAGCTGCATCTCTATCTGTCCTTCGATATCGCCGCACCACCTCCAGACAGTGAACGACTTCCACGCGCGTACCGCGATCGCGTTCTTCAGCTGCTCCGAAACACCGTCTAGCTGATTTATGGGAGCATGACAATAAGCCGCGTCATCTTCGTACTTGTCTGAGTAGCTGACGCGACCGTCGACGTCGAGCACACCTCTCTCGAGTGCGACAGGGTCGGCGATGTCCTCCATGGAGAGCACCTTCCCGTCGTACTCCCGAGAGCCTGCAACGAGGAGAGAAGGCTGCAGTGATTCCCGTGTGCCAGGCATCAGGAGGAAGTTGACAGTCTGGGAGTTCGCGTTGATCGTATCGACCTACGCAGCAAAGCCGAGTCCTGATGGGCAAGAGGTGGCTAAGAACGACGAAGCGAGCTACGTACGAGCAGGTCCTTCTCCACCGTCACCTTCAACTGGGAGAATATTCGTCTGTACGAGAGCACATCGTCAGGCTGGAGTAACCCGTGCTTCACGAGCGCAGTCAAGTCCAAGCTGGCCTGTGTCTGTTTTCTGCAAGAGATATTATTAGGACTGCACATCCAGACCAACACCTTCGCGTCATACTTCTTCGATCGAGCAGGCGCCCCTGGGGTGTGGTCTTCCTCCCATGTTTCGTCCTTCCAGTCCGCATGCAGAGTACCCTCCCTTGCGCCCTGCTTGAACTTTTCCAGATCGTCGGACGCCTTCTTTCCTAACCAGTTCGACACAAGCTGGTCTTGCCAGGTGTGCGCGGCCGACAGCAAGAAAGGCGAGGAGAACACCATGGGATCAAGGGTCGCAGGGGTACGCCCAGCCGTCTCATCAACGTCCATTCTGTCGACGCTGTCCTGTCCTGCGGAGCGGCCGTCCGGATGTGAGAAACACACGGATGGCACGTATGTCGCGAACGCGGTGGGTGGTAATAGCTCGCACAAACGCGCTTGTGACTCCTCAGACAGCTCTAAAAAGTTATTGTAGTTGATGATGTCCTGCATATAGAGTCATGTTAGTTCGCATATGTACACATATGGCTCAGGTCAGTATCGTGAGCGAGCGATTGCCGCTCACTTCAACTAACTCACAGAGATATCCATGTTCGTCAGCCTACTCTTTGAGTTTGTCAGGTGATATTCCAGCTTTTCGGCAGGGCTTTTCTCTGCATCTCGCGCCTTGCGCTTCCCTCGCGAAGGAGACCCAGGCGTTGCAACTGCAGCTGGCATGGCTGCCCTCGTAGGAGTCTTCGCAGGAGTGCGAGTACTACGGCGGAGCCGTGTAGAGCCGCTGTCTTCGTCCATATTAGTCGGGTATGGGGTTATTTCTGCAAGTGAATACTGTGACCCAAACTCGAGTGAACGCATGGATGTATAATGCCAGTACTGGCCGTTGCCGCAGGTCAATCAACTGCGGGCGCTCGTGTCTGATCGGGAACTGCCGAAAGCACGTCGGCCAGACCAGATGGAGTGCCCAGCACCGATCTCGACCTCGACCACTCATGTGAAGTCTCGTTCGAATCCAACTCGTCTTGCAAAAAGTATATGCAGCCAAAAAATCTGGAGTCAGCTCATAGTCTCGTATGCCCTTCAACTGCGTCTGTGAGAGGACATCTAGGGACTCCAGGTAGCACACTGCATATTCCGATCGGACTGCGACCGGTTCCCGCGACGATGGGATTACTCGTTCCCTGTCCCACTTCGTCCAGCCCACCGGGAACCGTACGCCGTGCGGCACTCCGCACGTACTTCTCGTGCCATTTGTTTGTAGCTATCTGTGTCGACGACCGGATTTACCAGGCTTTGACCTAGTTGGTACGCATAGCAGCTCTAGGCATCTTCAGCGTGCTTACCTGTAGGACAAGTGCAGGAGTCTTGTTTTCTGTGCTTACTTCGTGAGTTTTATCTCTTCGTCATCCCGTATCAATAAGCACTCTACAAGGGTAGCAGCTTGTCGCTAAACTATGGCCCGGGATGGTTTAGGACGAATCCCAACGATAAGCCGGGTGTAGCCGCCGACGGCTGCCTTGAGCAAAGACTATGACGTATACTCTGTTCGCGCGCGAATGCTTACAAGTACTGAGGGGACCGAGCTCGTCCTCCGACCGGCCAACGGCAACTGACCTTCTATTCACACAATGCTCGCGCGTACACTTCAGCCGTTTCCATCGGTGGCTTGTGATGACAGCAGTATAAAGTACGTCCCCTCTCTCATCCCCCATTTCCAGTCACTCACAACATCGCCCACACAGACCCCCAACCCTCCTTACCATCCACCTCAACTACACGCAACATGCCCGCCGCTGAATTCTGGGCTCCCCCTCCCGAGCCGAAGACCAAGCTCGGTCGCCACCGTCTGCTCTCGCCCACCGCAGGGGTTCACGTCTCGCCCATCTGCCTCGGGGCGATGAGCATCGGAGACAAATGGGCACAAGGCGCGGGAATGGGGGCGATGGACAAGGAGTCGAGCTTCAAGCTCCTCGATGCGTTCTACGAGGCCGGAGGCAACTTCATCGACACTGCGAACAACTACCAGGACGAGACGTCCGAGATGTTCATTGGCGAGTGGATGGAGAGCCGTGGAATCCGCGACCAGATGGTCATCGCGACCAAGGTATGTCCGCTACATGAGTCCATCGACGGGACTTGCGCGCTCACGCATCTGGTTTTATGTAGTACTCGACAAACTCGAAACGCGGCCGCAGCGATATCAAGCAGCAGACACATTACGTCGGGAACAGCATGAAGTCCCTCCACATCTCCGTCGAGGAGTCCCTAAAGAAGCTCCGCACGTCTTACATCGACATCCTCTACGTCCACTGGGTCAGTCTTTTCTTCCTCTCGCTCTCCGCTATAGATCGTTGAACCGATCCTAGTATGACTACGTCACGAGCATCGAAGAGATCATGAACGGCCTACACGCGCTCGTCCTCGCCGGGAAGGTCCTCTACCTCGGCGCATCAGACACGCCCTCCTGGGTCGTCGCCTCCGCGAACCGCTATGCGCGCATGTCTAACCGCACGCCCTTCTCCGTCTATCAGGGCGCGTGGTCCGTGCTCGAGCGCGACTTTGAGCGCGACATCATCCCCATGTGCCGCGCCGAGGGTATGGCGCTCGCGCCCTGGAACGTCCTCGCCGCCGGACGCATTCGCACGGACGCGCAGGAGGAGGAGCGCAGGAAGACTGGCGAGAAGGGGCGGATGATGCTGTCCGCGGACTGGGAGCGCACGGAGGAGGAGAAGCGAGTCGCGAAGGTGCTGGAGGAGGTTGCCGCTGAGGTTGGCGCTCCTACCATTCAGGCTGGTGCGCATCCGTCCGTCGCAGGTCCGCGTCTCGAGTCAACCTGATACGTCTGTCCTTCGCTGCAGTCGCGATCGCGTACGTGATGCAGAAGACGCCTTTCGTCTTCCCCATCATCGGCGGACGCAAGGTCGAGCACCTCTACCAGAACATCGCCGCGCTCGACGTCGCGCTCACGGACGAGCATATCCGGAAGATTGAGGCCGCTGCGCCTTTCAACAAGGGCAACATGTACAATCTCTTCGTGCGTGAAAATCGATTTTTCAGGCATCTGTATGAGTATCTCACAGTTCTTGGCGGGTGTACAGGGAGACGGCAGTGACTATGGCTTCTTCTTCAAGAGCGGGGGCAATTTCGATATGTGGCCCACTGCGCCGGCGCTCCGTCCCGCAAAGCAGTAAATTTGTTCCCCGGACGTATTCGGTACCCTCATATTCTTCAAAGGTGCGGTCGATCAAGCGTCACGTTCGATATACTTGATCACATTATCCTGAAAGCTCATTTGATGATAGCTGCCCTGGCACTGGTGTTCATGACACTGTTGTATGTTTGCATTCTTGTATGTACAAGTCCCGATACGGACATGTCTAGACAATAGTGTAGCACTTAGGATTGCTACGCCTGTATCTCTTTTTTCCCTCGTGCGTTTGCAGAGCTTAGGCAAACGCAACACAGTTTGGTTCAGCCGTCGTTGAAACAGGTCCGCTGTTCTAGGTGCCTGTTAGGCAACTGGTTTAGGCAGCTAGCGCTCGTTGGCCGCCCAAGCACTAGTCAACTGGTGAGTACCGGAGTATTCGCACTCTATCCGATGTCTATCGGACGTGCCGTGCACCGCATTCCTGTCACTATCTTCCCGCCTCTCACCTCCTCTGCTTCATCTCCTGCTCGACGACGCGGAAATGCCCCGCCTTCCTCGCGACATCGTCTATGAGGTGATTGACTGGGTAGCTATCACTTCGCCTGACTCGCTCCTTGATTGTGCTCTTGTCTCTCGCCAGTGGCATACTCGAGCGATCCATCATCTCGCACGTATTCACCGCCATCCGAGAATTTACACATCAGACGCACTATATGTCTACTCCAGCGGATTAAGCTGTACTCTCGCCTCGGTCGACTGGCCACGACACTCGAAATTGCTCCAGACTTTGAGGCTAATGGACCGAGTGCGTCCTACATCCCGTTTCATCATCTATCATCCAGCAGACTTTGCAACCTCCGTCGTCTGACCTTGGGAGGCACGCTGCGATGGATTCCGTATCCCCCTCTGTACACCGGTGGTGTCATCGGGCCCTTCTTCGAGCGGGTAGTTGCACTCGAAATCCTTTGTCCCTTCAAGTCTGTCGAAGATCTCGTGCGCTTTGTCAGGTCATTCAGAAGTCTCAACGAGCTCTCTCTACTGCTCCCGGAACCTATCCCACAAGACGCTGTTGAGCAGAGCCGCGATCGTGCTCGAGCACGTTTTCACGCGACATTCAAGAAGCCTCTCCGAACCCTCCACTTGTCGGTGCGGCAGCAGCTTCTGCCATTCGTTGATGATACATCTGACGATGTGCACGTTCACTAGTCGAACGTTCTTGAACAGGTCTTGAATATATGTAGCGACTCAGTGACCTCTCTCTTCATCTCGCTCTGCCCAATCTCCCCCATAAGGCTGCCCCGTATGTTCAGACTGATACCTTGGATAGCTCTACTTATCATTGATCACGAGCTTTGCGACACGAAATCACCAGCCTCTGTGCTTTGCTTCGACGCTCTTGAGACAGTAACCATCAAGGTTCCGGAACCCATCGACCATAGTGACCACGACAAACTACAACGACAAATCCTGCCGTTGATCTCTCCATTCACGAAACCTGGTCTCGTTTTCTCGCTCACCTTTGAACGCTGTTCAGTACACAGTGACCAAGGGTATTGTGTTGAGCCTCTAAGCCGTGGAGACATATTTGAGTCCGTCCGCACCTCGGGGAACATGTTGCATACGTTGCAGGAGACCTCCAAGTGTTCCCACTTGGAACTGGTGCTCGAAGACTTGCCAGATGTGCCATACAAGGATCGTCTGATACCGCTCGAGAAATCGCAGGGCGATCCCGTGTACTTTCGAACGCCAGACCGATCGGAGATATCGCTCCTTGAATGCTTCCAGGACCGTTGCGATACTCTGATTGGAGGTGACAACCCTGTGTACGCGTACGGATTCCCAGCAAAGATATATCTCGATTTTCGTGTGAGTGTCGGCCATCATTACTGGGCGTGAATGCGGGGAGCTCTAACAAATCTGTCGATAGCTTCTCGGCTGTGAGCCCTTCCGCCCGTTGATGTACATTGGCATTGGTGACCCACTGAATCTCTGCACTCTCGCTTGCAACATAGCCAGAAAAATGAGGGTCTGCATGGTCAGTGCCTCAATGTCGAAGCGTCGTAAGCGACTCATGAAAATGCGTGACAGAAACATACTAGAGCAGCCGGAAAGCCGCTCAGGCACCGAGGAAGATAAGTCGACTATGGCTCGCTCTATCTGTGGAAGCTTGAACAGGTCTCACGTTCTACATGGGTTCCCAAGTTTCGAGTGATGACCTGGCAATGGGACAGCCCGGCTTCTTCCTCCGCATCACAGCACGCAGCACGACGGTCGCTCCAGTCAGCAAACGACTTACTCCCTCAGTTGCCTTGGAGGTCTCGCAATCCACGAATCTCTTGTTCAATTCGGGCTACGAACGATCCACTACATACCCCCGGAGTGCATCAATTTTCGCCATGACCCTTCCCCCATCAGACTGTAATCATCCCCTTGGTATGATTTATGATACACAATAGTATGTTCCATCCCATGGCGCATCCGTGGCGGGAGGACCTACGTGCCGCCGACGATTCATCACCGGATACCCACCGTCTACTTCTGAAGCGACGCTTGGATCGCGAACGCTTTCTGTACCGCGTCACGAGCAATGAGCTTCTGGTGCCACCTATCGTCACCCCACCCCGAATTAGCCTGACCTCCGCCAACAAAGCAGCAGAGGTAAACAGCACTCACGCATAGAACGCGGGGTACGCTTTCTCGACGTCCGCATAGTCCTTGATCGCGATATTGATTGCGGCATCATTCCAATTGATGAAGGAAAGATCAGCGATGGTCGGCTTACCACCGACGAGCCAGCCGCCGTTCTCGGGCTTGGAGAGCACAGAGTCGAGGACCGAGAAGACGCGGATTGTCTCTTTCTGGTAGCGTTCAATCGCAGAGGGGACACGCTCGGGCTGGTATCTGATGAACCAGAAGGCTTGACCAAAGTACGGGCTGCTTAAATGGGTGAGCCCACGTCGGTGATGATAAGAGGGATAGGACTCAAGGGGAGAGAAGGACGCAAGGACGGAGACGCACCCTTGGCCGGAGGACTGGAAGAAGAGCCACTGGATGAGGGTGTACTTCTCCTTGTCGCCCGTCACCGTCAGCTTCTTCTCCTTGTCGTATTTATCCGTGAGGTAAAGGAGTATCGCATCGGACTCCCAGATCGTGAAGTCGCCATTATTGTGGTCGATGAGGGTCGGGATGCGTCCATTGGGGTTGTATTTTGTGTACTCTGGCCCCTTCTGCTCGTCCTGAGCGAAGTCGAGGTAGATAGGTTCGTAGGTAAGACCGAGCTCTTCGAGGACAACCACCACTTTCCTGCAGATGCAGTACAATAGATAAGGGTAAGAGAGAAGTGGAATCAGCTGAGAAAGTAAGTAAGGAGAGCAGGGCGGACGTACCAGCCGTTGGGACCGGTCAGTTGAGTATAGAGAGTGAACTGCTTGCCGTGAGACATTGTGCTGGTTCCGCGCCAAGCCGAACACGATGGGTAGTGATGTGATTCTACGTGAGCAGTTGAAAGACCACTCGATGTGGAGAAGGAGATGTAGATTCGTCCAGCTGTTTAAATAAGGACGTGAGACATAGTAGACGCGTCCTGTTTAGTACGCGGTTCACGTACTGAACACGTCGAGTAGTACAAAGAGACCGAGTTCTTCACCTGTTCCCTGATGACCATATGATTGGCATGGGAAGTGGAGCTTACAAAGAGTGAGAACGAGCGATTGAGATGGAAGAGGAGCATGGCTTGGTCAGGGTAGCGTCTACGACAATTCGTTTTTGAGCATGTATATCAGCGAGCGATGCGATGAGAAATCAATGCTTCAACGTAGACCGAGCCTATTGCGATATTCGAAAGGGAATGACTATGATCTAATAGCATGACTAATCGCCGCGAGAAGAGTACAACTGACAGAGAGAGCTGCTAGCCCCGATGACCGACCATAGTCGAGTTCGAAAGATGACAAACGAGTTTCGCTTTTCATCAACCTGCGATTGTCGGTGATGTGTAAGCAGAGGTACTCGATCCATGTGAGAATAATATCGGACCTTGCAGTCGTTTGCATATCAAACCGCAACGATGTCGAGCTACTTGCTCGTGTTTGCTTTGCCGTCGGGTACCGGCGAGACCGGCGTGTCCGTGGGTTGCACCCTCAATGAAAACATGAACTCCCTCAAGAATGTCGTAACCGGTGGATAGTACATAGAATATGGCCACAATCATGGTTGACGGAGGCCCGTCCCAGATAGGCAGAGAGACGCTCGCTCATGGCATGTCGCCCAGCGCATGTCGTGGGCTGCCGGGCGAGTCACCACCCGAAAAGAGGACCGAGCGTACTCGCTCATGGGCGTCTTCGGGGTCACGATGCCTGTCATCTACGGGGAGGGCGGCGAGCAGGCCTTCCTTCGACTCCAGAGGGAGATCATCACCATCTGTCCAGACCAGAGCATCTTCGCCTGGGGTCCAATACATCCTAACTTTCATATCGCCCGCAAGGGCATCTTAGAGTTGGAGCGTGCGGACCCTGCGCCCCAGGAGGGCCTCTCGTGGGCAGACATGGAGTTATGGGACCGTCTCCTTGCGTCCTCGCCAGACCAATTTTCAAGCTCGGCGGACGTCCTGCCGCTCACTCAGTCGGAATATATCGAATTATTTGGCGTCGCCCTCGACCTCAGCTGCACCTTCTCGGCCAACGGTATCACGCTCCGCCTCCCTATCTCCTCTGGATCTATTCCCACCGTACACCCATTCATGTTCGTTCATCTCGCCGCTCTAGCTTGCACTACAACCACAGCCGAGGCTGTCATCCTCCTCTTGTTCCTAACACGACCAGAGGAAATGTCCTCCGGTCCATCGACTGATGCGCCCTCAGAGGTAATCTTCCCTAACGTTGGGCGACCGATCTTAGATGGCAGCGACAGCACCCTGGAGTACTATCGGGGGGCCATCCTGCGGCAGTCCCGGTTCGACTGGGCAAACCGTAGCTCCTGGAATGCGCGTTCCCGCCGATCTCACGTAGATTGGCCGCCTTCGCTTGGCCAGTTCCACCGTCGACAGCTGCGAATTGAGGCCCCCGCCCAACGGCTCGTACTCCCCATCTCGCTCCTGGCACCTGCGAGCCCTGGCCGCGAGTCGCCTGACTTGCGTCTGGATCCTGTCGTCACCCCTTCCGCATTGGTGTTCGAGATCCCCTACTGGGTCTCTCGCGGCCTAGAGAGCCGCCATGGTTTTGTGTATCAAGGTACCGTTCCAGGTCCATCGCAGATCGCGCATGAGGACCGAGGGGGCCTGCGTCGCTTCACCTTATATTGGACCCCGGGCGCGTCTGTGCGAGACAGCCACCCTACACTCACCTTTACATTTGTCAACGCCTCGCACGACGAGACACTCCAGATCTCGTTCGGGGTCGGCTGTGATTGCACAGTGGAGAAGGTCGTGGATGAGAGGTCTGGCACCGAATCGGACATAGACGAGTGGTGAATCAAGGCGTTTCTCTTCCCAGGAATTCCGGATCCTGAATCACAGGCCGAGGGCGTTTTCCCTCCGGGGTCTCAGCTGGTACGCCGAGGTCCGCTCAACACCCCGAGCGGAGTATGGCGCAGTCGAGATTGCTACCACCACCTTGCTAGGGAACAGCAGGATCACGAATTTGAGGTCGCTTCCGTTGACGGAGGGACGGCACGGACGGTGTATATCCGCACTCTATTTGACCGCTTGAGGATCGATCTATTCACACAAGGGAACGTATTGATCCCGCGAGTCACTGTCGTGGTAGATTTGGTATCCACCACCGGTTGGGGACGGTAGGATGACTTGATCACGTAATTTGTATGCTGTGAATGATTGACCAAGACTGTCTTCTAGGGCTGGACGGTTGCCAGACCAAGACACAACGATCCCCGACAAATCCGAACCAAATACACAAGCTCAAGCTTCTTGCAGCGCACCCACCGGCATTGAACTTGACGCAACTCCAGACCGAGCGTCTGGAGTATCTGTTCTGGGTATGTTACGCTGCTGAATCCTGAAGTTGGCGTCGTAATCTAACGTGAAGTCATCGTAGCAGTCGAAGCTCGCGCCGGCAGGTCGAGCTTTGGCAAAGCCGAGGGACAATCCATCCGCAGAGCTAGGTCCCACGAAGCACGCTTGACAAGCTGTCGCCCAGGAGGCCACAAGGTTATGGTGCCCTCAGATTCTCTCACAGCACGGTGAGCTCCGAGCCTTGAATTTTGATGTGGCTACTAGAAGCATTGATGCTGTTACACACAGAAATCTGTATGCGAAGGATTGGGTGATAGCGCATCCTGGAGGAACAGAAGAGAGCTTTCGCGCCGCCTTCGACGTCCTTCCAACAGACGAGAAGAAGGCAAGTCTAGTCATTGGCATACTGCAGTGCCCACGACGTGCTTTAGCATGCTTATCGCCCTTTACAGAGATACATACGTCTGTCTCGCGAATTGGTAAGTCTGGTTCTTGACCGTAAACAGCACGCTGCCCGAGTACTAACGTTGACTTAGATTCTTACAACGTGACAATCTCCTCAATCTCCTCAACCCTCTTGGGGTGATTACGAGAAGAGAGTTCTTCATTGGTACTGCGGGCTCCAATTCGAAGAGTTGTTTTCAGAGAACTACCTATCCCTGAGCTCCAAATGCTCCATTCCTGCGAAAGCGCCAGGTAACGCCCAGCATGGTAACTTCCTACGGTAGTGTATGCGACTTGGGCGGTCCCGCCGGGGAGTTCGAGTTTCTACGGCGATTACGCATACACACAAGCGGTCTCTCAAGTTGTAGCAGCTGAGTATCACGATTAGGATTGTGGGCGTGCATGTTATTGCAGCCATGGAAACCTCAGCGTGCTGAAACTTGATGCGCCCATCTCTCGGAGGCATCAAGGCGGGCAATCGTCATCATTATATCGTGGATTCACATCGTCATCTTGTAACTTCAACGTCAGTACCGTTTTACATCCAGGAGAATGATGACCGCCGAGTATCAGAGTATCATATCTTCGTCTCACCTCAATGCAAGATGGACCCTGGCCTGTTGACGGCCTTCGCGATGAAGGCTGAGCGCTGACGGCACCTCAACAACAGGGAAACATGCAGGCCAGATCCTCCCTTCTGTGCAGGATGAATTTCATGATTAAACGAATGGTCATTCCTGACATTACGGCGTATACACGCCGGTCCTATGGATATGTATCTACGTAGCAAGTGTCCCTGATAGAAAGCGTGTAGTAAGAGCGTCTTTACAGTCCGTAAGAAGTCCGTCCCGTGTCCTGTTCACCAAAGACTTTCGACAGTTTACGGATGGATGGCGATGACCCAACTCCCGTCCTAAGACCGCGACGAAGATGATCACTGCCAGTCAATAGCCGCGCGCTGTCAGAACCGCAACTCCGAAGCTCAGAAGATGAGCTGGAGCTTGACAGGGTAGCACGCGTCCAAGTCGTAGCCTCTGCCCGTCGTCGCATTGTATACGACGCTGACCCGGCTGTTGATGGGGCAGAGCGAGAACGAGTCCGTGTCGCTGTTCACGGCGAGGAAGGGGTGGCCCGTGCCGTGGCCGGCCGGGTCGATGTCAGCCTATCGCAGGGCGGAAGCAAAGACGGTTAATCTGCTGACGTTCTGGGCCCTGACAGTGCGATGAATGGAGGCTTACCACAGCACACCAGATCTGAGCGCCCTGGCTGGGCTGCGCGCTGTTGCTCGCGAGGAAGACAACCTCAGAGCCGGCGGTGACACCGTTCTGGGCGGTTGGCGTGGTACCGGGGCCAGTTGGGAGGAGGCGACCCTCGGAAAGTGCGATCGAGGGGTACTGGTTGAAGGGGAATGACGCGAAAGTCTATGCCGCGATGGACTCGTAAAACACGCATGCTAGAGAACCCTCCCTATGTGCCACTTACCGCAAGGTCCTTCAACTCCGCACCAGAAATCGCACCCGCCGAGCCGAGCACCAAGGGTGCACCGGTGGTGTTTGTGTTGATCCCGGTCGCATTGTAAGCCGCAAGGGTGAAGTTGGACAAGCTGTCGAACGCGCCACCACCGAGACCGTTGCACCACGCGCCTGGGGCACGCTTGGCGGCAGGAAGCGCAGAAGCGACAGCCGCGAGGACAGCAGTGAGGAGGCCGAAAGCAAGCATGACGGTGGCGTGAAAGGGGTTGAAGGAAAGGAGAGACGGGGACGAGGAAGGTGTCGGAGACGGGGGATGGAGAACGAACCAGGAAGCGCGGACTTGGCCTTTATGCAGACTGACACGCCAGGCCTGTGGAAGTATTTAATGGCGCGCTAGAATAACCGGGCGTGGGGCGTGGCTTTGGCCGCCGGCATGGAGGATTCAAGAGAATTCAGTACAGCTTCGGACCTTGACACTCCAACACATCGATCCTTGCATGCCGTCATGGTGGCCGCGGCCAAGCCGAGGCTGTCCAGACTGCACAGGCGAGATAAATCGTAGACTGAACGTCTGCCGTGCGTGTCAACGTTGTAGTAGAGGCTGGATGCAGAAGCGCAGTCTGAAGCGAGAGAATGAGAGAAGCATCATAAGCGAATATTCGACAAATCAACATCCCATCAATATCCACCGGCGACTGCCGTTGTTCTCTTCTGCACTATCCCGACATACACATCTACGGAATCCTGTGCGACTGAAGTAGTGATACGGCCCATAGATGCATATGCGTGAAAGAGTGTCCGACAATAGGAGTCATGGGAAAACGTTGGCGGCCGGCGGGTCCGCAGCGCAGTGGTGCCCCGCGCCGGTGTATCAGGCGTCCTCAGTCAACAGATCGACTGGCCGAACCAGTGCAGTGGCGAGCATCGTGTCATACATAGGCGTGTAACCCTCAAATTGGAAAAAGGCTCACTACGAGATACTACTACAAATCGGAATGACTACAACGTCCAACGCCAGACGTCACCTCTACTTGCCCGCGACGAGCGTCGCGTTGTCCGTGAGGATTTTGTTCAGCCCATCGCGGTGCAAGCAGTTAGAGAACGCGAAGCTCTTTGCGATCTCGTCGATCTCCTGCTCGCTCTTCCCCCGGAAGTGCTCCGCCCACTCCTTGACGAGGAATTCCGAGACGAGGATGTTGCGCGCGAGGCGCCCGATGCGATCCGACAGTTTCCACACAGGGGCGGGGTACAGGTTCTGGTGCTCGGGGAGGACCTCCTTCTTGATCAGGTCAATGAGCGGCTCGTAGATGTGGCGGACCTGCGAGTCGTCCGCACCCCAAGCGTCGATGGCCAGACGGTGCTTCTTCGCGAGGAAGTCCTTGAAGAGCGTCATGTACGGCGTCTCGCGCGAAACGTAGACCATGCCCTGGAAGCCGATGTCTTTGTACAGCCAGATCGACCAGCTGAGACGATCCTGCAATGTGAAAAGTGAGTAATATGCCACAAACGTATGCAGCACAGAAGCGCTAAGCAGAACAACAGCGAACTTAGCCCTGCGATCACGCAATTGCGTCCGGACGAAAATTCACGCCGCTATGGGTCGAAGGAACCAGAGGTGAATGTCATCAGCAACGCACCTTGTTGTAGATCTCAAGTTGATCCTTGAGCACTTTGTATCGCTCTTCGTTGATCGCATCCGTCCGCTCGCCCTCGTACTCCTTCCGGGCATAGACCGGTCCCCACTCGCCGTTCCACACGCAGAGCCCCCGCTCATCCAACCACTGCCGCTTCTTCTCGTAGCTCCGCCTCAGGCGACGCAGCTGCGTCTCGCTGCTCACGTACTGCTCGGGCGCCGACGGGAACCCGAACACCGAGTAGTCGTGGATCGAGTACGCCACGTTCTCCCACCCCTTGTACGCGTCCCCGAAGTGCGAAAAATCGGACGCGAACGTGTTTCCGTCGAGGAAGAGCGCGTGGTGCGGGTCGATGGAGCGGATCGCCTTGTACACCCGGTCGTAGAAGTCGACGACGCGCGTGTGGTACGGGTCCGTGGGCTCGTTGAGCGGGTTGTAGCCCGCGATCCAGGTGTTGCCCTCGTAGTGCTTCGCGAGCTCCTCCCAGAGCCAGACGACGCGATCCTGGAAGTCCTTGTGCTCCCAGAACTTGGCGATGTGGGTGCCAGCGTCTGAATGCCAGTCAGTGTTCTGACCGCCGGGTGCGGTGTGGAGATCGAGGATGGTGTAGATGCCGTGCTTTGAGCACAGGTCGATGACTCGGTCAAGATGCTTGAAACCCTCGGGTTTAAGAACGCGTGGGTTCATGTCGTCTTCGTCAAACGTAGTCAAACAAGGATCGTTCGGCGCAAGAAGGGGGCTGAGAGCTTACCCTCGAAGTGCCTGTAGTTGAAGGGCAGGCGGATGCAGTTGAGGCCCAAGCTCTTGAAGAACGCAGCATCCTCGTCTTGGAAGAAGTACTCAAGGAACTATTGGAACACATCTACGGTTCGATCTATCGCCTGTTTGTCAAAGCTGAGGAACGTACCTTGTCGAAGAACAACTCCGACTTCTCCTTGCCCACAACATCGGCGAGCGCTGCGCGAATCTGGAATTCGCATCCCGGGTACCCTGCATAGAATCTGAGATGTCGATGTCGAGATGTCATGCGACATGCGTAATCACCTACCACTGATGAAGTTTTCCATACTGCAGATCGCGGGCATGTCAGTACGCAGAGGCCAGCGGTGAGCGAACATGGCACGTACTTCATCCATCCACCCAAGCCCGCTCCACGCAGAATGACTTCTGCGCCGTTCTGGTCAACGATCTTGGTGCCTGACACCTTCAAGTACGCCATAGTGGATGTGTATGAACACAAGAGATACCGAGCCGTAAATGCCCAGCAGGGTATATATATGCGCCTTCAGCTGGACCACATACCACGCATCACAGCGCTTTAGGAACACGGGCCGCTGGAGTAGCAGGGACGTCCGACTATTCGCCGAGAAGGCATATCGTTGAGAGCAGCGGTCTCAGGGTAAGAAGAAGCACCGAGGATGATTTAAGGACTTACCCGATATGGTATCCCGATCATTTCATCACGGTCATGAGTCCGTGCCTTCGAGGGCCCGTCGCGCGGCAGGAACACAGCGGTCCGGCGGCACAGGAAGCTTCAGCTCTATTCCTACAAAGGCGGCCGTCGACTTCCTTCCGTATGGGGTTCACTCATATAAGTATATTGAGTGCGACGAAGACTCTCCTTCGCGTCACCCACTCACATCGCCGGGAAACGAACGGAACGATCGCGTCATGGCAGGGTTTCTGAAAGTCGACCAGACGAGGATCGTCGATGAGGAGGGGAAGGAGGTCATCTTGCGAGGGGCCGGACTGGGGGGCTGGATGACGTGAGTAATCGTGCCGTATGCCGAAGTGAGATACCTAAGACTTTGCGTTAGCATGGAGAACTTCATATCAGGTAACACTGGCAAAACAGTTCACCAATGCCCTCAGAAGGCTGAGCTGCAGGAAAGGATATCCTGGCTGCGAGTTCCAGATACGCGAAGCCCTAGCTGAGGCCATTGGGCAAGAGAAATCCGAGTACTTCTTTGACAAGGTTAGTAGCATGGCACTCAACTGCCACCAGGTTGGCTGACGCTTTTGATACAGTTCCTCGAGCATTTCTTTGCGGAGCCCGACGCGGCCTTCTTCAAGTCCCTCGGGCTCAACTGCATTCGCATCGCGATCAACTACCGGCACTTCGAAGATGACCTCAATCCCCGCGTGCTGAAGCAATCTGGGTTCAAGCATCTTGACCGCGTCGTGGCCGCATGCGCAAAGAATGGCGTCTACACCATCCTCGACATGCACACCGTACCCGGAGGGCAGAACGGTGGCTGGCATTCAGACGCCGGCACGCATATCGCCAACTTCTGGATCCACAAGGACTTCCAGGATAGACTCGTCTGGCTCTGGACTGAGATCGCGAAACACTACAAGGACGAAAGGGTGCGTCACCTCGCTAATCGCAAACGGCGTGGGAGCTGAATCGTTCATGGGGGCATCTGGCACTAGTGGATCGCGGGCTACAACCCCATGAACGAGCCAGCCGACCCGCAACACAGCGGGCTCGTCGCCTTCTACGACAGCGTCCACGCCGCGATCAGGTCCGTCGACCCAAACCACATCCTCTTTCTGGACGGGAACACCTACGCCACAGACTTCTCCGGGTTCCCTGATGACGCGGGGACGCGCTGGACGAACACCGCCTATGCGATCCATGACTACTCCGTGTACGGCTTCCCGGATAGCCCGGAGCCATACGCGCGCACAGACGAGCAGAACAGGCGCATGAAGAGGAGCTACGAAAAGAAGCGTGCCTGGATGGACGAAAAGGGGCTCTGCGTCTGGAACGGAGAGTGGGGCCCTGTGTATGCAAGGCAGGAGTACGAGGGCGACGCGACGGACGAAATCAACGAACGGCGCTACAACGTCTTGAACGATCAGCTCCAGCTCTATGCAAAGGCGAGTACGCTGCTTCACAAAACAAACGAACAACGTACCTGACATTCTGCGCCCCAGGATCGACTCAGCTGGTCGATCTGGCTCTATAAGGACATCGGATTCCAAGGCATGGTGTACGTCTCTCCCGAGACGGCGTACAGGCAGCACTTCCGCAGCTTCTTAGAGAAGAAGTATCGCCTGGCTGCCGACTCGTGGGGTGCCGACGACAAACACGTGCGGGACATCTACAGGCCCATCGTGCGGCTGATCGAAGACAACGTGCCGAACGAAGAGCATCGCAAGTTGTACCCATACCCGGTGTGGACAGTGCAGGGGCGCGTGGCACGGCTGGCACGGTGCATGCTCATCAGCGAATTCCTAGTGAGGGAGTGGGCGGACGTGTTCAAAGGCATGTCCATCGAGCAGTTAAACCTTCTTGCGGAGAGTTTCAAGTTTGAAAATTGCATGAAGAGGGAAGGGCTCAACGAGGTGTTGCGGGAGCATGCCAAGCAGGCACAGTCGACCTGAGAGAAGCGCGGAACTTTGTACATTATACATGTATGCTATACTTTTGATGTCGTCCACGCCGAGAGGAGTTCATAGTGCGCCATCTTTCGCTGTGATACTTGCTGATACGACTCGTTGTTGGCTCCCGAACGGCGACGCGACCTTCCTTCGCTCCTGCTCGGTAGGGAAAGGAGAGTGACCGGTTCGCGGAGTCTATCGGAGCGCAGAGAAACGGTCTCTAGCCTTCACATTTCTCCTGAGGTCTTCTTCGCGAAGTTTTGACTCGAGTGCTGAGAACAACTCTCGCGCATACTTCTCACCATCCTAAGCACAAGGTCAGAACGTTCGGTCATAGCAACACGAAAGACACGAACTGTGATGCAAGACTTCAAATATGCGAGGTCCAACTCCCCGGGGCCTAACAGACGTATAGCTTGCAATATCGGCGGAGCGGAAGGAGGAAAAGAGAACATCAGATGCAAACGAAGAGGTAGCGATGCTTCCTCCGTCAGTGTGGCATCGAGCAGGTGAATGGGAGGCAGCTATACGAAGCTCTAAGCTCATATACCCAAGATCAAGGCGTTTACAGTACTAACCAGATTCAGGGTGACGCATATAGGCCATCTCTCCCGGCCATGTAAGACCTCTCCTTCGTCCCAGTAATCAGGGAGCTCAAAATCGGCGGCATCCCTCGCCATGTCTCGTGTATCGAACCCACTCGTGCCCTGGTCGACGTCCATTGAGTCTTGTGTCTCTTTTTCAGTCGCTCTTGAGCTTTCTGGAGCTCGGTATTCCACAGGACGCGTCCTTGGAACCTTCGTATCCCATAGCGCCGCGCGTGCAGCCATAAACAGCGCGTCCACAACGTTCCCGGAGTCAGCAAGAACGACCGCGTCAATGTTGAGCAGCCACGCTTTCCGTCCAGGTATTATCGTGAGATTTGACGGGTGCAACGAACGATGTGCGATCGTTTGTTGAAGGATGACCGTAAGATCATGTTGCAATTCATCCAGCGCGTTGGATGAAAGATGAGAATACGCGGAGGGAGAGCTGTCTTTCGACCACCTAAGCCACATCCACTATGTTCTTCCAGTCTGATACGCACCATGTCACAGAACAAGCGACCCGGCCTCCGTCCACTCCATCCCCAGACTCAACGTCCTCGACTTCGAGCTTCACGGCAGCTAGAACGTCCGTTCCCCCACCTCCTTCACGTGCAACCTTCCCAATGTTCAGCCTCGCGCTCCCGTTTGCAAGGGGAGCGACGCCCGTCTCGAGAAGGACTGTACGAAAGTCGAGCAAGGAACGACCATCGGCGCGTAATGGCGAAGCTGTCTGAAGAGATGTTTTGATATAATCGCGTTCCGACTTGGAGACGAGGGCAGCTGCCATGTCAAGAGACAATATATGCAGAGAGTCAGCTCGCGAAAGGGATGTGAGAATAACAGCAAATACGGAGACAGAAAGTGCCAGTAGCCGAAGGAATCTCGCTTCGGTCCGGCGCTAGAGTTTCCTTTTTGTGTATCGAACGTCTCATCAAAACTCGGCCAGCCGTTGTATTCCGAGTCACCATGAAGCGTTCACACTTCTGAGAGGCACTCTCATATTGTCCAATATGTGGCACTGGGCCTTCGGACTTGCGTTTATGCACCACGTTTCCCAACAGTCGACCCTCCCGCGGTGAGAATAGTACTACTTATCTATTTCGATGTTGCTTGGGCTTAGCACTATAACGAGTATCGCTTGACGAGCCTGACTCCTTCACAAGAGATTTTAAGCTCCTCCGCAGCAAGTATATCTTAATCCTATCTGACATTTGATTCTAGATACGACTACGTCCACCACGGCTGGCCAAATGAGAGGATCATCGCGGCTGCCAGGCTGTCGGTCAGCCTCCTACCCGAGAAGGTTTCCAAGGCCTTCAGGCTGCAGTAGCTCTATACGATTGATCTCACTCACTCCCGCGACATTCTTGCTCAAGATCCTACGCAACCCGTAGCTTCTTCGCATAAATCACCCCACGGATATCTCCAACATGACTCCCGTTGATATTCTTGGGCTCATTTTCGTGCTGCTCGCGTCACTTCTCGCCTCTATCTCATATGGGATATTCTTGACTCGTCGTCGTATCCCTCTCAACTGTACCACTCAGATCGAGGCTCAAGTAGAGGTCGAGAAGGTTCAAGCGTCGCTCGTGACTCCGGCTCCGGCTCCGTCTTCCTGCCTGGCGCTCCCCCTCCCTGCAACCACTGCTACTCGTAGCCCGTCCTCAGGCTTCTTGTTCGACAGTATACTTGGAAAGCTTGCCAGGAAGCCTGCCAACGATGTCGTCAATGTCTCTACCCTCCCTACGCCAGTCGTCGACATGTTCGTCACTCTTCCCCCACGTCGTCGCGACCATGAGCCCCCTGTCAGGACCAAGGAGAGATGGTTCGCCCTTGAATCCGATGCCTCTCTTGAAACATTTGTACAGGATCCACTTGCGGACAAGAGGACTCCCGTTCCTGCCATGCCTCCCAACACCCCATGCGACTCGAACTACCTGTCGGCAGCTTCCACCCCGTCTCTCAGCAGCAGGGTATCCAGTCCCACGAGTCCAGCATCTACCTGGGAGCCATGCACACCTCCTCCGCCGTCTACCCCCCGCACTGCTTTTCCCGTGATACAAGTTGCCTCCGATGTTCTGGATCCTCTAGAGGAGTCAATGATCGTTTCGGAGGCAGAAAACGACGGCACGAGCGATAGCTCAGCTTTCTCCCTCGATATCAAGGATGGTGCGCACCATGTCACCCAGAAGGCGGACGATAATTGTGCTGTTGATCAGCGCTTCACGTCCGAGAAAGGTCGCTCCTCGGGGCCCTGCAAGCCGGTTACCGTCGGTGCTGTCTCTGTCATCCCGTCCAGCCCCTCGGCCTACGACCCCTTCGCCTCGCCTTATGGCACCACACTCGACATGGGCCTCAAAGGCGCCAAGCGCTACGATGGTCTTATTCGTGCCATCTCTGCTTCCTTCTCTGCCTCGAGCCTAGGACTTCCGGACAGCCGACGCAGCTCGTTCACGAAGACCGGTTCCATACACGCGGACGAATCGGACTCTGACACCAGCAACTCTGGGGACAATGACACTGGCGATAGTGACGCCTCCAACGATGCCTCCTGCGACGAGCTCCCCGGATGCGAGTCAAGAACTCTCGGCTTCCACCCGGGCCGCTCGCAGAGCGAGCTTTCCTCCTTCTGCGCGATCTGACTGCGGTCCTGTTCCACGCATCTATCAAGAATCCAGGGAGACTTACTGGCACATTTCCTATCGCAGCTAACCATCTTCCGACGACTGGGCCCTGACTATTCATCACGATATATGGCAATATTTCAAGATCTAGAGCTGACCCCATTCCCCGGCGATATTCCTATTTCACGCAATCTGTCCGTACCGGAGTATTTAAAAACGCTCGCATGTCCACGGGACGGCAGCGTTTGTACGGCATCTATTTTGATAGCTCCATTTAATGTACCTTGGTGATACTGTCTCCCACTTTGTCGATTGGGGACCTATATTTATTTGAACTGATTTATGCCATAGCGGCACTGCGGTGCATGGCCCCGGAAGCAGATGGAGACGGGTCACAGTCCCTTACACAATGTCTCGATACTCCAAACAGCGTAGCCTGGCGCTTGATTGCATGTGAAGTCACAATCTCTTCTCCAAGAGCTCAAGTTTTAGGGGAAGCTCAGAGGTAGAGCTTGTCCTGCCCACACTCGGCCACTGTACCCCCGCGAAGTTCCAACAGATGGGCGCGCCCAGGTTATCGGGAATGGACAGCTTGAAGTTGGAAAGAAGCATCATCAGAACGACCTCTGTGGAAACGTCCGAGATGGATCAGTGCGCAACTAAAGAGACGTCAGCACAATAAAGGCTTTGACGCACTCATTTCCATCTCTGAGAACTTGAACCCGCTGTATGACACATTACGTATGAGCAACGGCATCCGCTCCTGAATAGACAGTGACACTTACATGCACGCCCGACTCCCTCCCAGGAACGTCAGCCTGTAAATACAAGCTAGTCAGCGTCGGCCCGTTGAACGTACAGCTCAAGAGCCCGCTTGGCATACTCACAGATGTGAATATACCCCTGGAATGTGCGCGTCGACGACGGCGTCCGGCAGCTTTGCCCAACGCTCCGGCTTCCACTCATCCACATCGGGTCCCCACAACGCGCGATTGCGGTTCGACGCGAGGATGCTGATCACGACGGATGTACCTCTGGGCACAAGAACCTCGTGCATGAGCGTGCCGTCGCGTCCTTCAATCGGCGTCGAGAGAGGAAGGACGGCGGCCTCAACGGCGCTATTCGAGAGTGAGACATGTGAGTTGCACTCTCTCGAAGAAAGCAGGCGGGAGGATTTCGTACGTGCGAGTGAGGAATACAAGCGGCGGATACCTGGACGTGATCGATGAGCACCTCGGACTCCGCAGCAGAAGAAAGCTAAGTGTACATGCGGAGCGTCTCGCGGCAGACCGCATCGAGCAGCGAAAGTTCCGACAGCTGCTCGTACGACAGCTCTTCGCCGTCATTCTCTCTGCGAGCTTCGATGATCTCCTGTCTCAGGCGCTCTTGCACCTCTTGATGCTCCGAGAGCATGTGCAGGATATGCGCAAGCACGCCCGACGTCGTATCCATAGCTGCGAACACGATGGTCCTATAGAGTCCCCGCTCAGCACCATCTGCGGAGCAAAATAGAGCAACGTACGTGATCTGCGCTATGAGCTGGTCGTCCGGGAGCTTATCCTCCTCAGACGCCATCGTATTCGCCTGCACTGTTCAGGTCCATCAGTCTCAGCTTCAGCCTCTCGCATCGATACATGACTACAGCCACGTACAGAGTTTGCTCATCACGTCGTTGCCCGCGCCGATTTGCTGCACGGTCGCCTCTTCGCCCTTTCGGAGCGCGCTCATCTTCGTGTTGTAGATAGTGTGCGACATCTCGTCCATCGTGTCGATGATCCCGCGGACCTTCTGGAGCGGCGCCCACGGGATGCGCCCGACGGCCCACCGGCGGAGGCGAGGGGAAGTGTACTTGCAGAGGAAGGGGAGGATGACACGGAAAGGCATGAGGGGCATGACGGAGGGCCTGTGAGAGCGCATTGATATGAGCACCTGCGGGACTTCGCGGGTTGATGGAGAGCTGGACTGATGGCTCACATGAGGTTCTTCATCGCTTCGCCCCATGGGTTCGCGGAGTCAGTTGTGAGGGGGTCGAACGAGTATCCGAGGCCGCCTTCCCCGATGAGCTCCAGCGCGATGCGCGTCATCCAGCTCATCATATCCACTGCTTGAGGCCCATTCACGACGCGGTCATTCAACGCTTGCCTGAGCTGAGGTGACCCCTTAAAAATGGTGCCAAACAGGCGACAAACCAGCACGCACCCGATCTGTTACCTGATAGAAGATGGGGAGCATCTGTCGCATGTGTTTGATGGAGAAGACAGGATTCAGCATCTTGCGTTGCTTCCTGTGCGTATCACCTGTGCGATCCTTACCAAACGATCGTTCGAACGTTTCAAAGTGACGCGTACCTAGCACTGAAAGCAGTCCGGGTCCAAAGAGTTGAAGGTCCATCCTGGGTGGGGTTCAGCGAAAGCTCGAAGAAGGCGATGGCTGAGGCTCACTGAATAAGCTGCTCTGTCTCTTCGTAGATATGTTGGTCCTTAAGGAGTACATGATGCAGCGCGAGCGGATCGAAGACAAACAATAATTTGCGCTGAAAGTACGGCGCGATTTGACCAGTTGCGTGCCAGTTATTGGGAACGAACAACATACCCCGAATAGGCCATCCGCAGTGACAATCTGGCCGTATTTATTGTACAGCTCATGCTGGAACTGCCAGCTTTGCCGATCAAACAGTTGCTTGAAGTGCCCTGAAGAGAACGTAAGCATGGCCTTGTGCGGCGTCCGGGTCGACTGGTACGCACCCCACAGCCAGCTTCCGGTCGAGGGCGGGCCACGGATATTGGCCAAGGGTGACGGAATAAAGACACTCTTCACGAGGGACGCGACGATCCAAAGCAAGAGCACGTATAGCGCATATCGCACAGTCTCCGCGAACATGTCCGGCTGGGGGAGCGGGTGGCATAGCAGAGGCACCGGCGTACGTGAAGGGACTATAAGGGCCTTTGGAGCTGAGTCAAGCTTCTTTACGCACCGGGGATGGACTCGCCGCGTTGTCGTGTAGGGTGTCAGAACGTGTATGAACGGGCTTCCTTTCGCGACCCTGGTGCTGCTTGTGCTGCATGCCGTTGACGCATTGCTGAGCAGAGCAACTTCAATATATGAAATATATGATGAGCAGGATCCATCGCGAGCACCGTTCGATTTGCATGCAGCGTCCGCGCTGTCCGGATCCAGCTGGTGTTGCCATTCAGGAAATATCGAACCGAATTGCTGAGGAGCAGTTGCCTGGCCAGAGACCCGGAGAGTGGCCCCGAGAAGTACCCATCACTACTCGGTAGCTTGCACGTTGTGTTTCGTTGTTTGCCCATCCAACTGCCCGTCACGGAAAGTGGCTGCTCGGGACCATCGACAAGCGTAACCTAACCACCCATTTGAGATCGGCCTTGACGAACTATGCCCACATCTCTCCGTGGATCCCACGCTCGGATGCCGGAAGGCATCAGGGATACACCCCGTCGTCCCGCAAGTGAGCAAATGCTGAGGTCGTGCAATTGAACGACCCTGCGAAGTGGAGACATGAACCGACGCAGAGCAAAGCACTGCAAATCTTGGCCGACATCGAGCGAGTCCAAAAGTTACAGAAGACACGACAACGACCTCGCGTATGCCGTGAATTGCGACCTCCGCTGGCCGCGAATCGAAAGGGGTGGGCTGCCTGGTTCATGGTCACAGAAGCGCCGCCGCGGTGACCTCTGGCACAGGGGCCTGAGATATTCCGGCTGAGTCTATTACATGGCTGGGAATGGTCACGCTCAGAGAATGTCAGCTCAAATTTGGTGTGGGTCAATAAGGTCGTAGCGCTATGCCACTGAGATGCCCCGACGACTTCATAAGCTGTCGCCAACAGCCTACGAACCCGACGAAGACAACACGGAGCCATCATGACACCGTACAAAACAGCCACAAGGTCGAGTCTAGGTACTTTGCCGTAGCCAACAGCGTGCAAGCCTGAACAAGAATCGAGACAGGAAAGGGAAAGCCCGATCTGAGCACCTTGCGCCGTTGATGCTTAGACCAAAATTATGCCGGGAGGCTGCAAACGCTTGGCCTTTGCTGCGAGGTTCACCACCTCGCTTTGCATCTCGCGCATCCTTGCGAACATCGTTTGTTGTTCGTCCACATATGCGAAGTACTCCGATTTGAGGGCTGTATGATCGTGGAGGCAGAACGCTAGGTCCGAGAGCTTGCGACGAGAATGAGCAACATGCTGCCAGGAACGCAGTGAAACAGTCAACGTACCCGTCCATGGAACCCATCCGCGCTCTTCCCGTAGTCAACCTCCATCTTCTCGTCGGTCTTCTCCGCGTGCGCTAAAAGGGTTCGAATCTTGTTCCCGTCTTCGTCGTCGACCGCGGCCTCGAGAGAGAGCATGAGCTCGACTTCCTGCTCGTCCGCCAGGTCCTTCTCGGCTTGACCCATGCTCCTCGTGGCTCTTCGTTCGCAAGTCGTGTCCCTCTTTGCCTTCACCTTGTCCGTCGTCCGCGTCGTCCTTACCTTCTGCGCCTCGGAGTGGTCACCGAGGGTAGCCGTCCGGCCAACGAGAGGTGTCTCGGCACTCTGACTCCCACTCTCGAACGCGCTGCGGCTCCCCTCGCCGAGGAAGGCCGGCTCAATAGGAGAAGCACAGGCGTCCCCGTGCTCCTGTACCACAGTAGTCCACCCCTCGTCCGCGACCATCGCATCGCACATCAGAGCCAACTGTTGCGGACACATGCTCTTAGTAGACAAAGGTAAGAACGCATTCAATCACTCCCAACGACAATACGCTCAATGTTGTTTGAGTCTTTAAGCAATGCCCGCAACTACTGTCGGTGGTGAGCCGATGACTTGAAGTAGCCAGAACAGCCGCGGGAGACACCTTGATCAGAAGGACTGTTGAGTTTCTGTCTGTCGAGATTAGAAGCTTCGTTCAGCAATGCGCATACAAGCAGACGTGCGTGGTCAGCACAAAGGAAGAAAAGCAGAGAAGGACTCCTTGTACGTCGTGTACACCCCCAACCATCGCGCGCATGAATTCCAGGTGGAGAGCCGCGCCGATGGATGTCGGTGGGGAGACAGCTGGAATCCATGTGGTAAGGGACTGAAATCCATCCGCTGAGGAATCATGCGGAATCCAACGCCAGCGCGACCGGAATCCATCAGATTGGCCGGTGGAGGACCAAGCGCTGGTGGAATCCTCCTGCGCGGTCGCTGGCTGGCGCTCGGCTCTGGACCGCTCAAGTTGGCGTAGAATCGTGGCCCTGTATGTTGTTGTGCACGATATTGCCTCCCGTCAGATTGACTCTTCCTCTATCACGCCAGAGGGCTTCTTACCTATGTCGTGAACCATATTGCTCTATCATCTGCTGTTCACTTATTGTTCATTCTGTCTAATTCGCTGAAGTACTGAGACTCGGAGTATTATTGCAGGTCAGGTCTGCTACCCATGCTACTGCTATATACGGAGCATCTGCATGAAAAGCGATACTTTTGAACTATATCCGCTGTGATAGGAGGCCCAAGGAGCTTGTAGAGGTAGGGCTTCCTTACAGCTGAGTACTGGTCTGCAGAGGTCGGTAGATGATTCAGTGTGCGAAGTTCTAAGTCCCCTTGAAAGCAAACCCTTGTAGTTGTGTGCATTTGTCAGTATTCCAGGGTGCATTGGCGTAGTGGTAGTGAATGACTTATGGAAGGCGATATCGCGCCTGTTTCAGCCTTATCGGGGTTTTATCCTCCACAAGCCGGCACCCGGGGATCCATCGAAGCGATGGGTGGCATCCACATTTCTCCCCAACCGGTGGAATCCATGTGGTGTTCCACGACTTTGCACCCGCGCGCGTTCCACCTGGAATCCATGCGCGCGATGTTTGTAGAACCGTAGCAGTCGGGCCGTATCACCTGTTTAGATTGCCCTTTCGCAGGCAATCAACCGGCCCAAAATGCCCAGCAGTTGGGCGGTGCGTCGCGGCGGCGGAGATGCAACTTGACCTCATTTCAATCCAATAGAAGGGTATGGACGTCTATTATCTCTGCCTTTCTACTCTTGCGGCAATGGGATTCATGTTCCGTGCCAAATCTGAAGCCTATGACTACATCTCTTTGGGTATCCTGAATCATCACTACCTTTCAAGTCACTGTCATCACCGAGGTCTTTGGGCTACTCTGCCAACGACTTCGATGCAGGTGCAGTACTCCATACTATCACATAGAATAGGCGGGTGGGGCGGTAGATGGTGTCGAATCGCTCATCACATCCTCTGTGTCGTACTGTGGCAATGTTGTCCCCCTATCGCTTTCCCGTTCCGACCGCGGTGGCTCCATGCGATCACGTTGGGCCTCGTTGCGTCGGCGATCTTCAGCTTCTGCACGTAGCTCTGCGTACTTGGGGGGAAGGTTGACAGGATCCGTGTGAAGCGGGCCCTCGCCTCTGCTGATATCGAGGCCACGGCCACTTGAGGATAGTTCGACCTAGCATTCCGAGGAACACTTCAATACTAGTCTTCCCGACCCACCCAATATGTCCTACCATAACAGAGGGCCTCCTATCCTCGCCATACTGCGACGCTTCGATGATAAAATCGATATCTTGTGCAGGCATAGCCGGTGCTGAAGAACCAGGACGGTTCGCTACATAGGTATGACGTCCGGTCGGGACCGCTTGGTCTAATGGTGAGATTGGACGCCTCTGTCCGGTGGAGTCCTCATCGCGGTGATATACTTCTGAGTCTGCTATGAAGGTTCAGTGGGTCATGCAACACTGAATGTTTTGGGCATGACGCACTTGATGTCTTTGAACTCCTTCCCCACACAGAGGCCTTCCGCGATCTACGAAACCAGAAGATAAGGACAGCGACCAGCACTACGAAAAGCGATAGCGCCGGCGCCGATCCCCCCAAGGGCTGCCGCCGGTAAGCTATTGCCCTTTGATCCTCTGTGCGAGATGACGGTGATGGTTGGGCCCGCCACAAGAACTGTGCTGACATCAGATTGTGAGCGACTCTGCACCCCGCTGTGTGATGTGCCAGGAAGGGTAGCTTCAGAGTTCCAAAACTGGGTGGAACTGCGCGACGTAGTCGTCGACGGAGCATTTGGAGTAGTAACGCCGGCCGATGATAGGCAAGAGTCGTCTGAGCCTGATTGAACTGTGAACGATTCATTCTGGACTTCCCCAGTCGAATCTTTGAGCGCAAGGTTCACGTTTGTTCCTGCGGGGACGTTTGTTGACCAGATGAAGGAGTCGCGGGTGAGCCCGGAATACTGTTGCCATGTTGAGGGAAGCGAATCCCCGGGAGCTATTGTAAGAACATATGGTGCTATTCCTCCACTCCATGTGAATTCCGACGGCACACATTGCGTAGGTGGATTCGGTGCGTCCATTCGAAATTGTGCACCAACGATGGGGAGGCCGACGAAGAGCATCACTAAACGAACGCAGAAGTTGACCTCCTTGCTCAGATGGCGGCGAAGTCTTCGATTACTTGGTATCTTGTATTCGATTCTGACAAATACTTTTGTGACTATATGAGTGTTCGAACAATATGGATACGTCGCAACCCTACCATGCCTTGCACGGGGGAAAGGGGAATGTACCGTCTGAGGAAGTATGGCCTTCATCAATGTGACTCGTGAGCTACGGAGGACTGATAACCCCATGCTGAGCTTCAGCAATCTATAGGTCACTGGGATCTGGATAAGCAAGGCCGACTCACCAAAGCGAAGTTACGGTGCTGGTCACTAAGGAAAGCGGTAATATGCTTCACCTGACGGCGATATGTCCCGTCTCAGTTGATGTTTTGAAACTGTGGTGGTGTGGATCACCGACACCGACGTTCACTGTCAACTGCGGGCAAGCAGGATGATCTCAATCATGCGAACGCACCTTACAGCAATGTATTTGAGCGGGACGTCGAGGTTCAATCCTGGATGTACGCGTTTGAAAAGTACTGGCAATGCCACGTCCACCTCCCAAGATGCTGGCTCAATTTTATCTTGGAAGACTGTGAGATGAAGCACAGTCCGTCTCCAGATGATGTGCACGGATTCTATCTGTAGCTGTCGGAAACAGCGCTCTTGACAGATCCCCGTTACAGAGACAGGTTGTCGGTAACGATGAGTTGACAGGGAGAAGAACACTGTGACCGCGCGTGAAATACATAGGCCATGTCATCAAGGGGTAAACAGCCACATAGATGCGACGTTGGTCGATAGAGGAGCTGAAGAGATCTTGACTCACTCATTTACCTCAGTCATTACTGAGCTGCCCACGCGCATATGGCCTGCTCCGGGTTACTTGTCTTTGAGGCATTATCAAGGCCATGTCATAGCATGTCAAGAAATCCCTGCCTGTTTGGTCTCAGTCATCGCAGCATGGAACAAATCGGGATGCATGTGGCTATCGTGGAGAGAACGAGCGTGACGTACAGCTTTGCCAGTGGGCGCCACCTGATGTAGTGCCCCCGAAGGTCCTGAGTGACCGAGCGGACAGCCTATAGAGGATGACAGGCGAAGAGCACGGAGCTGTGCAACAATGCATCCGTGAATTCGATGTGGTTCCCATAGCAAAAACCGTCCGCCTCTAGCATCCATACGATGGTGGACCTGTGGTGCTACCTCAAGAACCTCAGCCTTCTTCTCGGCAGCCTCCCATGTGAACATCGCCGGCAGTTGCTTCAGCCCTACCACATTGATCTCCCCGTCATTCAAAACCAGGTAAATATACTCCGCAACGATCGCCGTCTCCAACCTCCCCCCGTCAGAGTCCGAGCAAAAGTCATCCTCAGATCCAGAACCTCAACGGGTGCGCCCCCTCACGGGGCACAACGGGGACGTCGAGCACATCGGGCATAGCAAGCTTCGTCATGCTCAACTGCACTAGCTCCGGGCAGTGATCAGCGCAGTGCCGGAGGGACGTGAGCGGGGGGCTAGTGTGCGCGCGAAAGGGAGCGTAAGCGATGTGGGGCTTCTCAGGGCTTCTCCACGCGCTTCCAGTCCTTCGCATATGTAGAAATCGACGCCGCCCCGCGGCACGGGACGCTTCGATGTCCGGGCCGCGTTAACGCCCGTGGGTGAGACCGTTACTCGATTGAGACGTTGGACAGCTGGTTTTGCGCTCAAACCACCACCTAGATCGAAGCGATTTGCGTCGGTGAATTGCTAATAAATCGACATATCATGACGCACAAGAAATATCCCGGTATGCGTCAGGTTACGTGCTAAGACGATCCGGATGGTCGACTGACATAGCCGCAAGCCTCTCAGCATGTGCTGAAAACATTCACCAAGCTTATCGAGTTGCTACCTGCCGTGGAACAAAACAAGGTAGATCATGCAGACTACCGACCCTTGTTGCGTTAACTCACACATATTGCAGCCTCAGATAGTTCTTCTGGCGGGAGAAGTGACCCCTTTCCGCAACGACACCGATCGCGAAATGCCTTTCCGACAGGCTAGTAATCTGACCAGATCTGACCGACCGACCAAGTCTAATATCGTTGCTTACTCGTAGGAGTCGAACTTCTTCTACTTGACAGGATGCAAAGTCCCATCGTCCTACGCGCTGCTTACCTTTCAAAGCGGCACATCTCTCGCAAACAAACCCCCTTCGCATCTCTTCATCCCCAAGGCAGAGCTCGCAGATCTCATGTGGTCTGTCCCTCCCCCTTCCATTGCAGAGGCGACCGCGACGCACGATGTCACCAGTATCGACCATCCCGCCGCGCTCCCTGAGGCCATCCAGGAACAGATCAAGGCCTTCCCTGGGGCGATCGTGCACATCCTCCCCACATCGTCTCTGTTTCCGAAGATCCCTGCTCAGTACACCGCTGCTTTTCTAGCTGGAAACGTCAACGTTACTGAGGACTACCTACTTACGGCGGTTCATCGCGCGCGGTTGACGAAGGACGCAGCAGAGATTGAGCTCATCCGCCGCGCGAACCAGATTAGCTCACGCGCGCATGAGACCGTCATGCGCGTTCTCGGGCAGGGTATCCGTGGCCAAATCAAGCGTGGCAAGGGTGCAGGCACAGAGCGCCCTCTCCTCCCCGGCGAATGGCTCATTGAACGGGAATATGAGGCCGAGGCGCTATTCGTGGCATCCTGCCGTAGAGAAGGGTTAGGTCTTCTTGCTACGTCTGCAAATCCAGAGCATGCTGACATGTCACCAGCGCGGAGCACCAGGCGTACTTGCCGATCGTCGCGGCTTCGACGCGCGCATCGACGCTTCATTACTGCTGCAACGATCGCGAGTTCTCGTGGGGTCCCGTTGGTCCGCACGATCACCACAACACGAATGATCTCGCCCATGATCACGAGCGCGTGCTCAACCCGCAGGTGCTACTCATCGACGCCGGTTGCGAATGGAGCTGCTACGCTGCTGACAGTAAGCGAGTCCCCGCATTCCCCCAGTCTCAACTGACTTGGTTCAGTTACGCGCACCATGCCCGTGGGCAACGGAGGGAGGTTCACGCCTGAGGCGCGTGCTATCTACGAACTCGTTCTCGAGATGCAGCGGGTGCGTCCACCTTAGTCTGTCTATCAGACTCACCGACTCACACCCCGACACTCCACAGCTCTCGATGGAGGCGCTCAAGCCCGGCCTGCACTGGGACGCAGTGCAGCTGCTCAGCCACCGCACACTCGTCCGTGGCTTCCAGAAGCTCGGGATCTTCAGGTCGCCGGAATCTCCCGGGTCCGGCTCGTGGAACTCGGAGGAGGCGATACTCGCGAGCGGGATCAGCGCCGCGTTCTTCCCGCACGGGCTCGGGCACTCGCTCGGGCTCGACGTGCACGATGTCCCGAGCGCGAGCAAGCCCGACGTGAACCCGACCATCGAGCACCTGCAGCTGGGCCACGAGTCGTTCTACACGTATCTGCGGCTGAGGCTGCCGCTAGAGGAGGGGATGGTCGTGGTGAGTCCTCTCGCTCTCGCCCGCCGTGCCTGAGGAGGTCTTCTGGAGACGGAGTGAGGCTGACTTGCTGCATAGACTGTCGAACCCGGCTGCTACTTCTCGCCGCACTTGATCGCACCTGTGCGCGACTCGAAGCACATCGACCAAGAGGTCCTCAAGCGGTACGAGAGCGTCGGAGGGGTCCGGATCGAGGACGTCGTACTCATCACTAAGGACGGCTATGAGAATCTGACGACTGTACGGAGCGACCCCGACTGGCTTGAGCAGGTCTGCGCCGGAGAAATATAACAAGTGTGGCGCTGTGTGATGGATGCGGAGTCCGAGGAGGCTCTACCTTCGCCTTGTGCGTGTGTGCGATTTGCAGGTTTCGATAGCTGTTGTATGATTATGATAGGACAGCACAAATGAATGAATATTGCGAAACTCGTGAGTGACGAAGGGAGACCCACATATGGAGGCCACAGTGTTTATACATACAGCCATACATATAGCACGGAAAGCATCATGAACGTGATGGTCCCGAAGTTTTGTTGGCGGGGCGCTGAGCTGAACCCAGACCGCATTTCAGAGCGTACATCGCCTTGATGATATCTGCGGCTGCGACTGCGACGACCGGAATGGTTGGGTGGCTCAACAAACAGCCAGGGAACGCCATGTACGCGCAGGTCGAGGAATCCGTACGTTGTAGGCGGGGCATTCGTCTCCCAAGCGTTTCGACCTCCGCTGTGACGTCTCTGTTCAGCACTGCGTCTCGGAAAACTGGCAGGTCCAGTAGAAGGCGATGACTGCTTCTAGCCGAAGTCTGCACCTATATAGCCGCTTCACCCCCTCCTGTTATGCTCTGTCCCTTTGGTTATCAACTATGCTCGCCTCGCGTACACCCGAGTTTTCAGTTCTATGAAGGGATCTATGTGTAGTGTATTGACGTCTAAGAGTAGTGAAGCAGACAAACCCACTTTCCGCGCGGGAATGTACGGCAGGACTACGATTTTCGAGCTCGATGCCATTTCTAGTGCCCCGATCTATCTATCCAGTCTTCGCCTTCAAGTGCCTCCACAGCGTCGTGAACATCACCGTCCCGATCCCAACGTACGCCAGCTGGACGCCAACAAAAGTCAGCATCCCGACCTTGACGCCAGAACCGCCCCAGACGGCGCCCGTCACCCGCCCGGTATAGTTGCTCCACTGGATGAACAAGCTGATGCGCCCGTTCCACTCCCCAGGCAGCTGCTTCGACAGCAACGAGAGCGTCACCGTGCTCGCGACGTTGAACCCGAGCGCGACGAGGAACCAGCACAGCCAGAGCGTGCCGTAGCTGACCGTGTGCGTGCGCAGGACCGCCATCGCGATCAGCAGCCCGGCTGTACCGAGCGACGTGCCGAGCGCGAGTGTGTGCCGGTCCTGCACGCGGCGCGCGAAGCCGAGGTTGAGGAGCAGGAACGGGATTGTGCACGCGCCGCCGAGCGCGATCAGGTTCCCGGCCGCGAACGGACTGAAGTGGAATGGGTTCGCGGGGTCGCGGGAGCTGGTGAAGACGGGGATGTTCGACTCCCAGGCGCCAAGGATGAAGAACGTCGTCATCGCGAACCAGCACATCGTCGCGGACACGCCCCACTGCTGGGGGGTCATTTTGTGAATTGGGGCAGCGCGAGCCCGGGAGACAGCAGGGGCGTCTTCTGACTCCGCTACGCGGACAGAAGGGGTGGCTTCCCGCTTGTCGTCTTTGTCCGTCTCACGTGCGCTCGGGGCGGGCATAGAGCGGAGGGCGACGGGCTTCTGAGGCGCGCGAGGGACGTCCTCGAACCATATGCCCACGGCTATCCAGAATATGACCCAGCAAGCCGCCATGACCCACGCCGGGCTGGTGTACCCATTGAAGATAGAGTTGTTGAAGCCGACTTTGAAGCTGTAGTGGCGTCAATAGGGCGAACAATGTAGTCCGAACGTAAACAGCGACCTACAGGAGACCCCCGAAGAACGGGCCAGAGCTGAAGCCAACTCCTTGACCGAGGACCAGCCAGCCAGCGAGCGTTGTCCTCCGTCGGAGGCCAACGATCCTAGGGTCCGAGCAGTACCGCTTGTTGTACATCCAGAATGTGAAGCCGCAACCGCAGACCATGCGGCCCAAAAGGATGAGGTAGAGCCAGTTGGCGCGATACGCGAGGCCGTATAGGATATTGCCAACAACCATGGATGCACATGCGACATGGATTGGCCGCTTGTAGCCACCTGCAACAAGTTCATTGTCAGATATAGGGATGGACACGGGTCGGGTCAGCCCGCCTCGAGTCCGGGAGTATACCCATGTGGGTATGGAGAGGGGAATTTTCGTTGCCCTGCGGTCAACGGACTCTTAGAGTATAGGTAATATACGAACCACTAGACCATCTACCCGTACCCGACCTACTCGGGTATGTACCCGCGCTGGTACGGGTACGGGTCAGGTTGAGATGCGCACGGGTGGACCCGTGTCTATTCTTATCGAGAGCTGCATTCCTTGCACACTACTCACCTTGATCGAGACGCATCAGGGGAAGGAGCGTGACACCAGACACGGCTGTTGGGATTCCGATGACTAAACCGGAGAATGTCGATGAACCGCCCAGATGTCGCGCGTAGTCGTTGCTCGAAGAAACAATGATGAAAAACGTTATCTATAGGCGGTCAATTTCTGCACTGATGTGACGAATGGGAGAAATGCATACTTGGAGCAAGACATTCGAAATGATGACGATCACCAACGATGCGAGCTTGGGAAGCTTCACTTCTTCGTCGACCGCAGAGCTAATGGTGGTTTCGTCGGCTACTCTATCCTGCAGCCCGCCATCTCGTACAGATGGAAACCTCCTGGGCTGGGAGAGATTCAAAATAGTGGAAGGAAGCCTGAAACCCTGCATGCTCAGTAGGGCTGAATGGCGTATGACTCGGCCGCAATAGAGGGATCGCTGTATAACGTAGTCGGCATCATGGGCGTCAGTAGGAAACTCGCGTGCAGGTTACATAGTATCGCACCGGAATACTCAAAGTCTCGCCGACTGTTGGAGTCGCTAGTCACACTCTCCAGTGAGCACTGGATGAGGATCAAGGGCAAGGTCAGGTTGTCGCTTCGCTTGCCGCCTCCTGGGATGATTGGGCGTCAGGTGGACGGCCACCCGTTATTTGACAGACGCCAAACTATCCGTGCTTCGTCGCGGGGCACCCCAACCAGCACTTGTCTCGAACACATGGATACCCAGTACTGAGTCGCCTAGTTTTCGGAGGTGTCAATGTCTCACAACAGTCCACCATCCTGTTGGGATTTGGTCGGATTGGACATTACTCTCGTGGGTACATGTCCTGTTATGGATGTGCTTAGTCAGCACGTAGTAGTTTCCACTCCCGCTGTACGCTGCTGAGTACTTCTTCCTCATGCGTTTGCAGAGCTCAGCCAAACGCAATGTACTGTGTTCTCGTTCTCTGGCTCCCCGCGAATTCCAACACATCCATACCGCCGAAAAGAAACCGCTCAGGTGAGTCAGGCTTCCGACCCCGATTTGTCGTCGTGTTGACGCAGCACAAGGTTCTGCATGTCAACGTGGCCTCGGAAGGTGCGTCAATTTTATTGACAGGAGTCAGAGTGCGAAGAGATGCGATGCGTCACGCTACAGATCCTGTAAGCTTACACGTAATGGCCGCGCTATCGTGCCATGAACATTTCGACTATAACTCAATAGTAGGACAAGCAATTTGTTCTGGAAACAACACAGCAGCCTCGCATTGCTCCCGGAACAGTACAATATGACCCCATTATATAAAGATGCAAGATTACAGGTGAGGCAAATGTTGCGTTTGTGAACATACACGGACTGATTCTTCGACGAAAGGGAATGTCTCCAGATGATTAGCGGTATGTCCTTGCGGTTCCGATCCTACAACCTCGCCGAGAACAGCTCTCCGACCTGTGCATGCTTGCGCGCGCGATCCGCGTCCGTCGCCAATGGCGACGGGGCCTTGTCCTGCAAGGCCTCTTCAACCATGGCCAGCACATCTGCCGCGCAGCCGAAGGCAAGCGACCACCCCGCACCTCCATGGCCGTACGTGTGGATGATGCGGCTGTGCTTGAGTATAGACTCACCCGCGACGGGGCGGAGCTCGCGCTCGACACGGACGTTTTGCTTACGGAATGGCCGGAGGCCCTGCGCGATCGGATAGTCGGGGTCGACACGAGCGTTTTTGAGCTGCGGCAGGAACGCCTCGGCCCGAGCGCGCATGCGCTTGATGATGGGGGTGTCGAGGGTGTAGTCGAGTGCGCTCTCGTGCGGCTCGGTGATGCCGCCGATGATGAGGATTTTGTCGTTGCGGGGGACGAGGAAGACAATCTCGTTGGCAACGTCTGCGGAGATGCTGAGCGCAGCGTCGATGACGGGGAAGTCGGAGCCGTCGTTGATGACGCGGATGAGCCCGCCGCGGATGGGATAGCACGACGCGTCGCCTGCGAGCTCTGTGCCCGCGATGCCCGTCGCGTTGATGATGACGTCCGCGGCGTACTCTGCGCGAAGGGCCTGCTCTTGTTGGAGGAGATCGCCGTGGATGGTGCGGGTGACAAGTCTAGCCCCTTTCCTCTGGACGAGGTCCATGAGCCAGGTCATCGCGCGGTCGGTGTCGATGACGGGTGCAAGCATCTCGTAGGCGTCGACCGCGCCGTACTCGGGGTTGACGTCGCGCTCCTGTACGATGGATGGGGTGTGGCGGAAGCCCCGGACACCGCTCGCTGCGATCTCCTTCATCTTGGCCAGCTGGGTGGCATCCTCCTCGACGTGGAACGGGAAGAAGAAGTCGGCGGGTCTGACGGAGACCCCGGCCTCTCGAGCGAGGTCAGGCTTGGCGGCGATGGCGTCCCAGATGTGGTAAGAGACCATACACCATTTGCGAGAGTGCTGGAGCGAGATGGCGTCGGTGTGCTGTCCACAGACCGCTGGTGGGTACTCCCAGAGTGCGCCGGCGATCTGCGAGGTCAGTCGCTGCTCCTTGCCGTACGAGGCCCATTCGCTGGCGACAATAGTGACGTGGTAGCCCTTGTCGAGGAGCGCCCATGCGGTTATGAGACCGATGACACCGCCTCCGACGATGAGGGCTCGGGGAGAGTATGGGGTAGCCGGCTCGAGGCAAACGGGGGATGGTGAAAGGTCCTTCCAGAACACGAGAGGTTGGGCGTTGGTAGCGGCCATTGTGGATGGAAGATGTCGAGATGCACGGGCAGAGGACTCGCGAAGTGTCTTTGGAACTGAGGAGACGTAGTGTCGTCCATCCTGGCCTTATAAATCTCCTGCTAACTCCCCACCTCTCCGGTGCTCCGCCCACGAGCAGCGACGCTCCCGGCGCGCCGGTGCATACCCAGGCTTTTTCCAACGCTTTGGCTCTATTGACAGCGCCTCTAGTTTGTAGCATACGTCCCCCGTAAGTCATTTAGCCGACGAATACTAAAGGACATGGGGAGTGCGAGTAGTGGCAGATGATCTTTGGTATGTCCCATAAGAGGAATCGAGACGCTCAATGCCGCGATCGCCTCTGAGTGTCCGGAAGCTGGGTCGTTCTGGAGCGACGGATGAGGCCTGCGCATCAAATTCGGGCTTCAACATCAACCCGCAGGTCGTTACTACGTTTCCACCGCTGACGTGCTCCCTGGCGGTGGAAAAGTGCTCCCGGGTGGTATAGCGCCGCGAGGTTGGCTTGTCAGTTAGGCGCGAAACCGTGACATGTGAGCGGGAAAAAATGACATGACGCCCGCAAAATAACCGTGTGTATAGCTGCAGAGGGCAGCATGACTAGCTCCGTTCCGACACCGGGAAGTTGCTGGTACCCTCCAGACCGTATGGTTTCCCCGGAGGCTGCGAGCTATTGCGTGCTTGAGCGTGGCGGATTGGGATTCACTTCGACAATTGGAATAGGTGTGGGGTCATAACAGTGGCACGTTGCTTCGAACTGAGATCCGTAGCATTGCAAACGTGCCCAGGGCAGGTGCCTGTCCTGTCTCTGTTCCTTGGCCCAAGCAGAGGATCTGACAGCGGCTAAACTCTTCTTGTACTGGTATTCCAACCTGACGGGCTTCGCAAGGTCCACGACTGAATGGTCAGTGTTACCGGACGTTTCTGAGGGCCCAGCCATTCTCGGTCCGATGAGCGTTTCTGGAGACAAGCTCAGCGCCGCTTAGCCTCTGCGTCTTACCGCTCAACAAGCATTGACAGACGATCAAATCACATTGCAGTCAGAACACAGTGCTGTTCTCCCTAGCCGAAAGAGCTGTGTGGACAGATAGGTCGGATACCGTACAGGCGACAGAGCATCTATACATAGCTCGCTCGAGAACCTGTGGATGACAGGAGTACGTACATCGAATTTGTATTGACCTCCTCCTTCTGATCCTCAATTCATACACGCAAATCATTGTAGCGACGATACCGGGACTCTACTGGAAGGGTTCTGGGCTGGGTTGGCCGTTTGACCCAGCAGCAAACTTACGAGGACGTTCAGCATGGCGGGAGACTGAGCTCTCTTATCCGTCCGAAAACAGAAGGTCGAGTGTCACAAACGCTTTCCGCTCTCAGCGGGTCTACGATGGCGAGGCCAGGTCTTCTTGGGTCTGCAGTATGATTTGCTGACCATGCGTCTATAGCACGCTCGTACAAGGTCGTCTAGCCGAAAGCCGAAGGACGCAAGAAGCGACTAGGCATACCAGAACAGTGCATCGGGCTCTGATCCTTCATAGTACGCATTCGATTTACTGCTCAAACGCCCGGAAGCGAATTGATGTCAGTCGGGAGGCTGAGGAAGCAGTCATTGCCGTATCCGCCAAACGTGCGTTATGCCATATTTCCAGTGTATCATCGCTTCGGACCGGAGCCTCGGTCAGTGCGTACCAGTCCTACGGCAATTCGTACTGTACGTCATCGTCGCAGGCCGTATTGCCCGATCAAGCGAAGCCAACCGCTGACAAGATCGAGTGAAGTGGCAAGGGTGCCAATCGTAACCCGGGGTGTTCCGAATCATGTTCATAATTCCCCAGAGAGGAGTCCGAATTGATGTTACTGGAGACACTACACAGGGGGTCATGCAGACGGCATGACCCCACTGTGAGTCAAATCCTGGTCAAACACCGACCGCTGTGGGGCTCCGTACGGAGCTCGGATTCGAGGCTCGTCGCCGTCACTGCGTCAGAGTGTACAGTCCCGGGTCGGTATGCAGGTCAAAGAAGTGGTTCGAACAGTCATAAAGCCTCCGCTCTCATCGGAGACAGACCTCTGAGGAGGCACCGGACTGTTCGATTCGATGCGACTTTGGACACTAGCCGTCTGAATGCAACGTCCGCTAGGGTACCACTGGCCTTAAGAAGCATTGACACTTCAACCTGGATCCTCTTCAGGGCCTAAGTCAGTCACACGAAGCTCAAGTGCACGGCAGCAGCGATGAGTACTGTGTATAATCTGTAATTCCCCAATAAAACGGCCGAGGCGGAGCTGCAGACATTTTCGGCGGTACCCCGTAAAACGAACGCTGACCCAGGTGTACTCCGGAACGTTGCTGTACACTCTTGAATGAGAAGCAAGCTTATAAAGGCAACATGGCATAGCCACAGGCACGAGCTAGGGTGATTGAGTGAAAGAGCTACTGCAATGGAACACGAGATACTATACATGCCAATGATATGCACACTCGGTATACAGGTATACGACTAGACTACGCGGATCCATCCGACTAAATACACCAGCAGGCTTTTCCTGCTATTACGAGACTGTACTATGTTCCTCCATGTCAGTTTCTCTCCTACTCCAGGTAAGTATCGTACAGATTTGTAGATGCGAGAGCAGACAAGAATGCAGGTACGAAAGCTTAGAACTCGAACGCCAAGGAAACTCACTCACACTCTATCACTTGGATCCGACCGGCTTACAATCAAGCCTCCTTGTCCGGACCAACTGTGTCCTTCTCGTTAGGTTTACGAACGTCCTCGAAGGCAGAAGCATCCGCAGCCTCCGACGTGGGTGCCACGAAATGCGGCTGCAGATCGCGCTTCACGCGCTCCGCAACGATGATCCCCTGCCTAGCATCTCCGCCGTTCAGCGGGCTGCTCTTGAACCACCCACCCTTCGTCCCGGCCTGGTTGCCCGATGACGACGCCGCACGGCGCTTGCGCTCGATGAGGATGGCCTGCTCCAGGGACGGTGCGGGCGACGCGCTGCGTGAGGGCGGCCCGAACGCGAGATTCAATCCGGGGGCTGGTATGACGGCGATAGATGGGCCAGGCGTGATGCCCTGCACAGACCTCGCGCGACCCATGTTCGCAGCACCCAAGACGCCCTCCGCAGATGACACGACGGCCGACGCGCCTGCGGCGGCTTTTGTGGCTGCGACAGGAACAGGAGCGAGCGGCGGCGCATAGCGCGAAGCGTTGGGTTCGTCAGCCGGGATCGTCACGGGCTTCTCAGCAGTCCCGGTCATGTCGCAGGTGCACATAGCCGCAGAGTCCCCTGACACCGAGATCGTGACCGCCTGGGGCGCCACGACGCCCTCGGGTACGGAAGGAGGAAGCGGCGTCCCGTCGGGCACTCCAGTCTTCTCCCTTGCCCCGTCCTTCTCCTTCTCGGGTACATCCGCATCACGAGGAGTAGGAGGGGCGCTCCGAGACCGCTGGAAGCCTGGCACCTTGAAATTCAAGCTACGCAAAGCGGGAAGCGCCTTGGGCTTGGCGATGAAACCCGAGGTCGACACGGGGACGTGAAGGGTGCCATCGGAAACGCCTGGGACGACAGCGGTCGCGGCGCTGGAGTCGGAGGCCGCGAGCTGGGGCGCAGAACCCGTCCGCTTGAGCGAGGGCGCGGCGTTGGCCTCCGCCTGGGCGTATGACGACAGATCAGGGTGTCCCTGCGGATCAAATTCGTCGTAGATCTCCTCGCCGATGAGCTCTACGCGAGAGAAGCACGCGGTCGTGTCAGCGAGATTTAGCGAGGCAATACAGTGTGCGGAGTCGTTCACGTACCTTCGAGCACGTCTTCCAGCGTTATGATGCCCAGCGGCATGACGGCGGGATCGACGCTCTGCAGGAACTCGTCGACGCCCTCCTTCGTGAGAACAGCGTCTGCGGGCATGCTCTGTTCCCAGCCCCGCCAGCCGCCGACCTTGGGCAAGGTGAGCCCGTGCTTCTTCGATTCTGGTACCCCTTTGTCAACAACGCCCATCTCGATGTCAGCGGGGCGTCTCGACCTCCCACGCCTGTGGCTCCCTTTCCGGACATGTGCCTCATCCCCCTCTGGCTCAGCATCGGCGGAAGACTCGTCGTGCAGCGTCTCATCGTTGCTACTGTGCCGCTTGGGCTTCCGCGGCCGCTTCTTGTGCGAGGCGCTCTGGGCCTCGTCCTCATCCGAGCTGGAGCCCGAGTCGCTGTCGCCGATCCCGACGGTGCTCCGTAGACGCTGCGTCAGGCCACGCTTGACGGCCTTCTTCACGCTCGTCGCGCGCTCAACGCTGAACCGCGACACGATCGCCATGTGCGACCGGCCCTCCTGGAACTTGTCCAAAATGCCCAGCAGCGGCTCGTTGTTCGGCACGAACGGCACCTTGTTCAGCGGGATCTTACGCACCGGCGTCGCATCTGTCCCGTAACGTTAGCATTTAACCTTTCGGGCGCAACCGCCCGCAATAGGCGCTGGACGGCGGCGCGCTGTGCGACGCACCGTTCGGGTCGAGGAGCACGCACTGCTTGACAAGCAGGATGCCGACGATCTTCTTGACTTTCTGCGTTTGAGTCTGTCTCCCGTCCAGGCTGAGGCGCGAGGAGCCAGTGGCGTCCGCGAGGTCAGCCTCAGAGATGTGGCCCTGGGCTACGAGCCTAGGCACGGGGATCTCGACCTCCTCGTACACCGGAATGCGGGAGTGGCCCGTGCGGCAGATCCTGCGCAATGTCTCGTAGTCTAGCTTCGCATCAATACTCAACATGAACACGTCCTTGATCGGGGTCATCGCCTGCCTCACAACCTGTGGGGTGCTGTCGGCGTCAGCATTTGGCTTGCTCCGGCACCAAGGATCCTAAGCTGACCTTCTCCTGCAAGTCAAGAGCGCCGCCGATGATGGTCACGGTGTCCATCTTCAAGTCGCCTCCAAGCTCGCCACCGTTAGAGTGCATAGCGATGAGCTCCTTGAGCTCCGCTCGCCGGTATATGATGCCGTGATGCGGCCCCAATACGAACTCCAAGAGTTTCGCGACGGGCCAGGCGGCAATTCCCTGCAGTATTTCAGATCAGTATACAGGGCGGAAGATCCGTTCGGACGTCAAGTCAGACACTCACCAAGGTCCAGATGAGCACCTGCACGAATCCAGCCATCTTCGCCCCAAAATACAGTCCGTACCGCGTGCACAGGGACTGCGGGATGATCTCCGAGAAGCTAAGAATTGGGTGTCAGCGAACGTCTTTGACGAATACGCTACCCCAGAATTGGAAATCATAGCGGAAGGGGTGCGCGCTGGTGGAGATGTCGTGCGCATTATTGGAAATCAGCCGAAAAGGCGGAATGGCCCGGGCCCATTGTCTCCCTGCGCCGCAAGCGGTATGACAATTGCGTGAACGTCAGGACACAGGTAGCCGCTGTCCGGCATGTGGCCACTCGTGCGTGCATCGCAGAGCCGCCGAGGTCGGGCCTGGAGTCAGGTCGACAGAGACAGCGTCAGATTTGACGTATCGCACCTTACGCCCCAGCGGTAACCTGGGACGTCGTCTCTGAAGCGCGAGCATCATACAGTCGCAAGGTCCGTACTTCGCATATCAACCCACGCGTACTGTGAACATCCAACCTCAGCGTCCTGGATCTCATGCAATCCCAGCAGCAGGGATTCTACTCGTCTTCGATATCGTGGCGGCCAGAGATTGGGCGGTGGCGACCTTTGGTAGCAACGGCCTCAATTCGTGACCGCCACAACACCGACATGAGTACGAGATATTCTTCCCGGTGTGAACTCTCGTTCCAGGCACTACCGCGTCGACCAAGTCTATATTCGTATCCGCTGGCACAGCCCAGCCCGACAGTTTCCTACGCAGTGCACATATGCAGCGCACGTTCGTAGGTTCGAAAACCTAGAGCGCCTCGAAACTGGACAGACGTCACGTGGGCATAACGCGCGGCCCACGGGAACGCGTTAGGCGCGCCGAAGTCGGGTCATCAGACCAGTCACAGCACTGCCCTGTGTGAAGCTCGGAGCTGGACAGCCAGCGACGGCGTTATCAAAATAGGAGACCAATCAAGCCGAGGGCATAGTGTTCAAGATGAAGTAAACACGTAAAGGAAGGTGCATGCTGACGTAGAAGGATGCCAAGGAAGCAGGGACACGTACATGACGATGAGGACGGTGCTGACGACGACGCTCTGCACGCCGCCGCCGAGGACGGGGTCCGCGATAACGGGCAGCGTCTCGTTCACGATCATGTTTGCCAAAAGCAGCGTGACAAGGAGGAGGTGCCCGTTCTTGCGGATGGGTTTGATCTTGTTGGCGTACAGCTTCTGTTTCCTGCATCGCACCCGTGCCGTGAGCTTATCGCACGCACGTCATATACGTGGTAGACTCACGGAGTGCCACTGACACTGAGCACATTCAGCTGCGTCTCGTCCAGACTCATGTAGCCTAGGGTCAGACCGGCAAACAGACCCGACAGGAGGACGAGGATCGGGATGAGGCACGAGAAGAGAACGAACTGAACACGGTGGTCCGCGTCGTGGATGTCGCGGCGCACGAGCGCGTGTACGCCGCTGCCACCGAGGGTGGAGGGTTCTGCTCTGTAGGGATCATGGACACGCAGAAAGGGAACATGGCGTGAAGCTGCAGATGCTAGGCTGATGAGCAGTCTTGGAAATGGGGAGGCGGGGGTTGCAGGCGGTTGGGGCGGGACCATTCGATAGGTGTTGTGTCGTAGTGGGACGCGGACGTGTGTATGCCGCGAGGCGTGTACTAATACCTCCTAGACGCCTACCCCGCATGAGTGAGCTTATCAGCGGCAACTCCCGGCCGTCCGGGCTCTATCTTATCGGTTCTTCCCAGTGAAGCTTGGTCTTAGAGGTAGGAACACAGGGTTCGAGGAGCTATTGCTATCTGGCCGACTGAAGGTGTGTGCGGCAAGGCTCGAAGCAAACACGGCGAACAAAGCTAGGCAAGGGGCGATGCTCCAACGGGGAAGTGAATGCGACATCCACAAGCCCGCACTGTGTCTTCAACCTCTTGACATAGCCTTTGAATCCTTCTTTGTGATTGATAGAGTTCTTTAGTCACCTCAAGTGGCCCATAAGTCTGGTACAAATGGTCTCATCCAGCTCAAAGCAGCCTCCAGCAACATAACGACGCTACCCCGATATGGAAGCTCCCGCGCCACGACGTCCAGTCACGTGTATCGCGAACGCGTCGCGCGAAGCCCGCAACGCGTCTCATTTTCTCTGCCTCCTACTACTCGCCACCTCGAGTCCTCTGTTCCACCCCTCGACAGTCTACATTTACACCTTTAACACTGCTTATAAGTTCAGTGATGGCCAGAGATGACGTCGACATGCAAGACGTCGCGTACGATCCTGACCAGGACCCGGAGGCCACGCGTGATATCCGGAGAAAGTACAGGCGCGCCGTCCAACAGCTCACCGGTATGTCCTCGCGCGCCCGTTTCCCCTGCCATGTTTTACCGAGGTACCTTCTGCCTAGAAACGCAGGATATCAGCACCGACGAGGTGGCCGATCAGCTACGCCAGGCGGACCTCCTCTTCAAAGAAGGTGTGCAGCGCCCCTCCTCCCATCTCGCTCGCGTCGTCTGACCCTCGCGTTTTCTCTCCGTATACGAACAGTGCAAGGGATACAGGAGGCCACCAATGACTCCAATCTCCTCGTTCAGATCTCCCAGATCGGCGCCGCGAAGGCCCGCGCGATGAAGTCCGGCTCGGGCGCGTTCGACACGGACGACTTCGTCGCCCGCCTCATCACCTACATGGGCGGGCGCAAGCCCACCTCGTCGGTCGACCTCGACGACGACGACGACGAGTACGGGGAAGCGTACGACGGCGCGGGGGGCGCGCCGCTCGACTGGGAGCGCATCGGGCGGAGGGCGCTCGGGAAGAGCAGGCGGGTGCCGGCGATGGACTTCATGTGCGTGCTCTCGTGTTTGCTTCTGCTGCTGCTGCTGTCGCCGCGGCGGCGTAAGTTCGAGGTGGTTGACGTAGACCTGGGCTTGTGTTCTGGGGCGAAACGCGAATGCGATGTGGACGCGGACGCGGATACGGACACGGACGACGGTGCATATGTGGATCCCGGGGACAGGTTGGGGCCTTTGTCGATCGAGCAGAAGAAGCGCACGGCGGCGAAGAGGGCGAAGCTGGAGAAGAACAAGGAGGATCTGAAGAAGCCTCAGGAGATCACGGAAGACGACATTACGCGGTCCGGGAATGAGACGACGAAGAACGTCGCTGCTGTGCGTTCTCTTGCTTCTCTCTCGTGCGCTTCTAGGCGTTGACATGGGGATGCCACACAGCTCGAGCACATCCTGAACAAGATCGAGGGCACCGTGAACATATTCAAGTTCGTCATCAACCCGCACGACTTTGGGCAGTCCGTGGAGAACCTGTTCTATCTCTCCTTCCTCATCCGAGACGGCAAGTGCGCCTTCTTCACGGACGAAGATACCGGGGAACCCGTAATCTGTGAGCCTCGCTGTCTACCAGCTATGCAGCTCGTCTGACATGCATTCTCATCGTCTCCAGTGCTGTGCGAGCAGCCGACGCAGAAAGACTACCAAGAAGGACTGGTGAAGCATCAGCTCGTCATGGAGTTCGACATGAGCACATGGAAGGTCTGCCCTCTTCGCCCTCCTCCCATCCCTGTGCCTTTGTAGTTGACATAGCTTGCGTCTTGTTCTTGTTCCTGCCACGCAGCGCGCGATCGAGGTGTTCAACATCACAGAACCCATGATTCCCCAGCGTCCCAAGTCGGAGATGCGCATAGGCCAGAAGTGGTATGGCTGAAGGGCAAGGGTCCGCCAACCATCCACTCCCTCCTCGTTCTGCCTCCCTATTTAAACGGCGCGACGGTCGACGATATGACGTCAGGCAATGCACGCGGGCGTGTGCGTATGTGTGTATGCTTGGATGCCAGCCGCGGGTGTGTGTTTCTGCCTACATGATTGTAATTTAGCGTAATGTTATGGTACAGCTCTTCTATCTTCCTATTGACCATGGCCGGATTCTGATCTTACTCAAACCAAGTAGCACGGGACTGAGCTGCCCTTATGCAGTCGGCCACCGATGCCTTGAAGTCGCCAGTCCCGCCGTTCTGAGCCAGGGCCCTCGCTACCGTCATCCTGCTCCTTGCGCGTGGAAACGCTATTGGACGTTGGTCCCACACTGCGTAGGCATCATGCACAGCCTGATCTCTTGGAGACATGCCGTACCCACGGACACTTCAGTGCTCCTGTTCAGCTCGTCGTCCCTCCGCGATCTTGAGGTGGCCGTCTCGCGTCTTGGCACCCAGTCCGGCATGACGATCAACTCCTTTGTCCTAGCTGGGCCTCCCAATTTGAACCCCATGTTTATGGCAGTGAGCGAAGCTGCCCCGCTCCTCCATCGCCCCACGCTTTCTGGAAGACAAGGCCCTGGTCCGGCGATCGTACCGCATATCGTCAAGCTCACCCATGTGTGCGAGCTGCTCCTCTACAACCAACCGATAATAATCAATCCAGAGCAGATGAGCATGCTCCTTGAGAATCTCTGCGACCTGGAGAGCCTCCACGCGTTTGTTGTCGACTTCTCCAACCCTGCATCTCAGGTGTATGCCCCCTCTCTGCGGAGTCTCCGCCTCAAAGGCGAATCTCCTGACCTACAAGGCGTGCTATCCGGATACCTGAATGTGCCTCACCTCCGCAGTGTCATTTTACAGGCGTCGGACGAGCATTACACCCAGAAGAGCCACAACATCTTTCATCTCATCACACAAGCGAGCTTCGCGCTGGCATCCTCATTGCGCGCGATCAGCATCACCCAAATGGATGATCCCATCGACGTCGTCTGGAATGATTCCCACAGTACGCTCCTTCTCGAGCATCGTCGAGCCTCTCTTCGCCCTGCGCGAGCTAGAAGACGTCGACCTCTGCCTTGCGAACGCCCTCATGCCGTTCGCAGACGCCGACGTGGAAGCAATTGCGAAGGCCTGGAAACGCGTGCAGAAGCTCCACATAGCCTACGCCCCCTTTCGCGCGCACACTCACCCCCCGCTCACGTCCCTCCGGCACTTCGCTGACCACTGCCCGGAGCCAGTGCAGTTGAGCATGACGGAGCTTGCAATATTCGACACGCTCGGCTTCCCCGTTGTGCCGCGTGAGGGCGCGCCCCCGTTAAGGTTTCTGGACCTGAAGATACCTTTGGTCGGAACTACGATGGGGGAAGGCTGGAGACGGCGAACATTGCGGAGTATATTGATTATCTGTTCCAGAACCTGGTTTTGAATGACGGGGAGATCAATGTGGTAGGGCTGAAGCAACTGCCAGCGATGTTCACATGGGAGGCTGCCGAGAAGAAGGCTGAGGTTCTTGAGGTAGCACCACAGGTCCACCATCATATGGATGCTAGAGGCGGACGGTTTTTGCTATGGGAACCACATCTATTTCACGGATGCATTGTTGCACAGCTCCGTGCTCTTCGCCTGTCATCCTCTATAGGCTGTCCGCTCGGTCACTAGACCTTCTGGGGCACTACATCAGGTGGCGCCCACTGGCAAAGCTGTACGTCACGCTCGTTCTCTCCACGATAGCCACATGCATCCCGATTTGTTCCATGCTGCGATGACTGAGACCAAACAGGCAGGGATTTCTTGACATGCTATGACATGGCCTTGATAATGCCTCAAAGACAAGTAACCCGGAGCACTTGTTAGGCGCGTGCCAGTGGGCAGCTCCACAATTACTCGGCCCAGGTGAACGAGTGAGTCAAAAATAAAAATCAAGAAAGGCTCTCGAGCTCCCCTATCGACTAACGCCACAATATGCGTCAATTTACGCTTTCATCACACGGGCTCTTCTCACTGTCAATTCGCTAGCGGCAATCTGTCTCTGTATCGAAGGGCTGTAAAGGGCGCCGTTTCCCCGAACAGTTACGGATGGGCTCTGAGACGAACTGCGTTTCCTCTCCTAGTCTGTTAGAATAAAGTTAGGCCAGCATCTTTGAGGTGCCAGATGTGGCATCTCCACTATCCTTCGACCGCGTATACCTAGGATTTGAGAGCCGACGTCCCTGCTCTCGCACCGTATTGCTGTAAGGTGCGTTCGTAGACTCAAGATCCTCTCGCTCGCTCGCAATTGAGAGTGAACTTCGGCATCGGTGATCCGCATGAACACAGTGTCAATAATCAACTGAGACGGGTCATTTCGCCGCCAGGTGGAGCACGCACTGTACTTGCGCTTAGGTGAGTTGGTCTCGCTTATACGATTTTCAGTGATCTGTAGACTAATGAAGCTCGACATGCCGGGGTTGTTAGTCCTCCGCGGCTCACAATCGATAAAGGCCATACTTACTCGGACCGTATGTCTTCCCTTGCCAGGCATGGTATGAGACCCACGTATCCATATTGTTCAAACACTTATATGGCCATGAAAGTAGTTGTCAGTCTCGGATCCAAGATGCCATGTAATCGGAGACTTCGCTACTATCCGAGCAACTCGGTCAGCTTCTGCCTTCTTCTAGCAGCGCTCTTCATCGGCCTCCCTATCGTTGGTGCTCAACTTCAAATTGAATTGACACCGAATCCCCCTATGCAATGTGTGCCATGGAATTTCACATGGACTAGAGGAACACCGCCATCTACTCTTCAGATACAGCCTGATTCCTCCAATACCTCGGTATCGCAACAGTACGGCCCGCTCACCAGTCTAAACGGATCCGTCATCTTGTCAACAAACGTCTCTTCAGGAACGACCGTGCGAGTTGTGTTCCACGATTCAGCTGGGGTGACCTGGACTGACTGGTTCACAATTCAACCAGGCTTGGTCGACTCTTGCCTGTTATCGAGCGGCGTTACTACTCCAGATGCTCCGTCGGCAACTACGTCCCCCAGTTCCACCCAGGTTTCGAGCTCTGGAGTTACCTTTTCTGGTACACCATCCAGCGGGGTGGAGACTCGCTCACAACCTGATGTCAGCACAGTGTTTGAGTCCCCGACCATCACAACCATCATCTCGCCCAGTGGATCTAAAGACAATGGCTTACCGCCTACAGCCCTTGGGGGGATCAGTCTATCTAGCATTGTTGCCTTCTCCTCTGCTCCCAGCCTCCAATCAAATTCCCCGTTCCGAACCATAGCTCAGTCTACTGAGAGCTTTTCCGGTGCAGGGATTTCTACCACAGCCTCCTCGAATATTTCGCCCAGTGGATCAGTGACAAAGGACAATAGCTTACCGGCGGCAGCCCTTGGGGTTATCGGCGCTGGCGCTAACGTCTTTGTAGTGCTGATCGCTGTCCTTGTCTTCTGGCTAGGTAGATCGCGGAAGGCCTCTGTGTGCGGAAGGAGGTCAAAGACACCAAGTGCGTCATGAGCAGAACATTCAGTGTTGCATGACCCACTGAACCCTCACAGTAGACTCGGAAGTACATCACCGTGATGATGACTCCACCGGACAGCGTCGTTCGAGCCCACCGTTAGGCCGAACGGTCCCGACAGGAAACTACGAACAAGCTCGTCATACCTATGTAGCGAACCGCCCTGGTTCTTCGGCACCTGCTATGCCTGCACGGGATAGCGACTTGATCATTGAACCGTCGCAGTATGGCGATGATAGGAGGTCCTCTATTATGGTGAGACATGTTGTATGGATCGGAGAGGATTGGTATTGAAACGTTTCTCGGTATGCTAGGTCGAACTATTCTCAAGTGGCCGTGGCTTTGCTACCAGCAGTCGCGAGGGCCCGCTTCGCACGGATCCTGTCAACCTTCCCTCCAAATACGCAGAGCTACGTGCAGAGGCCCAAACTCGCCGACACAACGAGGCTCAACGTGATCTCATGGAGCTACCGCAGTCGGAATGCAAATGCGATACGGGAACAACATCGCCACAGTACGACACAGAGGATGTGATGAGCGAGTCTACACCCCCTGACGCCCCGCCCGCCTATTCTATGTGATAGTATGGAATACTGCACCTGTATCGTAGTCGTTGACAGAGTAGCCCAAAGACCTCGGTGATGACAGTGACTTGAAAGGTAGTGATGATTCAGGATACCCAAAGAGATGTAGTCATAGGCTTTAGATTTGGCACAGAAGATGAATCCCATTTCCGCAAGAGTAGAAAGACAGAGATGCTAGACGTCCAAACCATTGGATTAGATTGGATTGAGGTCAAGCTGCATCCCCGCTGCCGCCATGCAGGGCCGCCTGGCAACTGCTGGGCATTTCGGGCCGGTTAATCGCCTGCGACGGGGCAATCAACAAAACACGTGATGCGGCCCGGCTGCTACCGCGGTTCTGCATCATGAGCGTCCGACGACGCACAATGAGTCCTTCTCTGCTTTTCTTCCTTTGTGCCGACCACGCTCGCGTGCATGCGTCTGCTTGTATGCGCATCTCTAAAACAGCTGTGAATCTCGACAGGCAGAAATCAGCAGTCCTTCTGATCAAGATGGCCAGTGTTCTAGCTACATACTGTACTAGAAGCTGATCATACGCAACCAGCAGCGCCCTCGTCTCACAATTGTTCCGATCTGCCTTCGGACGGAAGGTCTATAAACACAGACTTGGAGCGAGCTTGTCCGAGAACCTTGGCCTCCGACCATGCGCTCCATCTTGCTCGTGGCTGCCCTCCCGGCGTTTGTGGGCGCCAAAACCTTGTCGGTCGACTTTTCGACCTTTGCGTCGTCAGGCTTGACGGTCGCCCAGTTTCTCGACCAGAGCTCCCTATACGTCTCAGCTTATGAGGTCCAGACGTCCTACCCCAGTGATCCCACCGCGGACCCATTCTCGCATACATTCGTCACTGATAACGTAGACATCCAGGATGGATACCTGACGCTTAGAGTCTCCGGACCCACCGGGCAGGGCGCGTCTGTCCTGAGCGCGGAGGTGGGCACCTACGACGCGAACATCCTCTATGGGTGAGTCTTTCGCCTCTCCCATAGATGCCCAAAACGCTCTTCATCGACTTCGACTTACGCCGCTTGCAGGACATTCAAGACCGTCGCCATCGCATCCCCTGTACCCGGCGTCGTCCACGGGTAAGAGATTATCGGCCTCTCATATTGAACCGGAACCTGGATCGTGATTCCATCAGCTTTTTCACGTACAAGAACGACTGCCAAGAGTCCGACATCGAGCTCCTGACGTCGTTTTACACCACGGGCAACACCTTCGTGCAGCCTGGCCTCCAGCTCACTAGCCAGGACCTCCAGTGCGATCACACCCAGAACACTCACAAGCAGGTTGCGTATCCATCTGATCCCACTATTTCTGAGCACGAGATTCGCCTTGCTCATCCCTCGATTCTTTCCTCTTTTCATCTTCGCTCTGCCCCTGTCTGCGTGCTACACAACTTCTGCCTCCTCCGAACATCGTCCGGCACATGCAGTATACCCTGATCTGAAACCCGAGTGCCACCACCTACCTGTTCGACGGCACGGTTGTAGCGACATTGAACAGCAACGTGCCTACTGAGTCGTCGTCTTTCCTCTGGAACTCGTGGTCTGGTGGCAACGAGCGCTGGTCTGCTGGCCCGCCCACTCAGGATGCTATCCTGAAGATCAAGAGCAGCTCGCTCGAATACGAGACGGCTTGAGCCTCGAGAATAGACTCACTAACGTTGTATCGATTGATTGGGAACTGATGTTTATCATCAATATCATATCGGCGCACGGACGACTGCAGTGCGAGTAGCGCAGAATAGCGGTATTCCTACAGCAAGATGAAAGGCATCATTTCTGACTCAATCGGTCTCCTGCGGGCGCACGACCAACTTGACCCCACTGACTTGATCATTCTTCATACGCTCAAGTCCACCTACAATGCCGTTCAACCCTCCTGGGAGCACTTCCCAACGGTTTGGCTTCGCGGTGCGTCCAGTTAGTTCAACCCGGAATCCCTTAGATACGTTTCTGGAACATGCCACCCACCTTGATACCGCCACTCTCCAGCAATTCAGGCAGCTTCGCCAACAGTGTTGTGCTGATCTCGTGGTTGATGGGAGTCCTGAACACGCCATGAATCTTATGCACCGTCTTTCCGTCTTTCCGAGCTTCTTCAACGAGCTTATCTGGAGCAACCTGGACCACGAGCATGTTGCCCCCAGGCGCAGTCAGGGCAAGCGCAAGGGGGAACGTCGCAGCGGTAGAGACAGCGTCGTACACGAGCTCGACGGGCCCGCCAGCGCTCTGGGTCACCTGCGCTTTGATCTCTTCGTCAGACAGCTTGCGGTCGAGGACATGGGTGGCGCCGAAAGACTTGAGGAGGTCGGCGTTGCGCAAGGAACCAGTGGTGATGATAGGCGAGAAGCCGGAGAGACGGGCCAACTGTAAAGCTGTTCGCGCTCAGTAGGCTCTATCGAGTACTTGACACGGCGAGGGTACGAACCGTATTGGCCGTGGGATGTCGATCCGCCAAGGATCACGGCCGACTTCCCCGCATACTTGCCTCGGCCTCCAGGTAGCCAAGGGGCGAGACACCTGGCAGAAGGTGCGGAGTCGGCCTGGTTGTAGATAGAGAATGCCGCGGTGCCGACCCCAAGAGGCACTGTAGAAGCGGCTTCAAACGAGATGTTGTCTGGGATCTGTGAGATACGCACATTTCAGTGAGAATTCTCATGAGTCTTACCCCGGACAAGAGGACCACTCACCTTAGCGACAAACTGAGCAGGGATTGTGAAATACTGCAGGAAGGTACCGGTTCCCGTGCCTGTAGCGGCGTCCCAGTTTCCTTGGAACAGACTGGAGAGAATGACAAGCATTAATCCCAGCAGCGAATGCGAATAAGGGGGAGCGGGGACGTACACTCGATCACCGACTGCGAACGTCGTGACGCCTTCGCCGAGCTCCACAACCGTGCCTGCACCATCAAGGCCGAGTATGACGGGATGCTTCTTGACGAGGACGCCCCAGGCTTGGATCTTCCATTCTACACCGCCAAGGGCGGCTGCTTCGACTTTCACGACGATGTCGCCAGATTCAGGCCTGACAACCTCGGTGGTCCTGACAGCCCATTGGCCTTGCTTTTCCTCAAGGAAAAGAGCTTTCTGGAGAGAGGGTACAGGCATGGGGTAGAAAGAGATTGGAGAGTGATGCAGAACCGCTGTGAGAAAGGTGCGATGTAGGCGGAGTGCTGGGGGACCTTTTGCGAGCAACCTAGCCCTCTATATAATCGGGCTATATGGCAGGGTGCGTGTCCTGACGGCCTGGATCCCAGCGCATCATCCCGCGTTCTCGGAGATTACTGACTAATACTCACGAGATCATGGTGCTGACTTTGGCCGTCGCGACCTATGAAGGAGGATGAAGCAAGCGACCAGCAAATGTCAGTACTTGCGTGGCGGAAATCGTGGTGCATTCGCCCGCATACGGGATTTCGAGGTGGATGCCTTAGTAAGTGTAGCAGATTCTGGATTCGCGAACAACAGACTGGGTCAGGATTGGTGCAAAGGCGGGGGAAGGGAACCGTGTTGTTCAATTTGCACTGAATACTGAATAGTCCGAGAACTTCGGGCCCGATAGAAACGGAAGCCTTATTTCGGTGTGAACGAAGCAGACACATTAGTAACAAGATGGCGTGTCTTGGGGCTTTGGTACCCAGAGGGGAGATACTAGATGTAGGCGCGATGAGTGGAAAGGAAATGCCGATCAATGTTGAGGTAGCCAGTGTGCTCACGAGGGAACAGCTGAGCTAAGTCGACGCCGGAGTGCCGGGCCGCATGAACGCACCCTTCGGTGAGGTTGGATCTCAATGTATCGCCAGGACCTCTATGGAACGAATGAAGACATGTACACCGATACCTAGTCAGCATCTGTGCAGCAGCGATTCAAGCAAGGGTGCTTTCCAGCAAGCTCACAACCTGCTCCCGCGCCTTCATGGAGTCTCCCTCGCTAACCCAGACCAGCAGCTCTGACATCCTTTGTCCCCACGCAGACAGCAACTCCGGCGGGTACTGACCAGCCATGCTTCCCTCGGCGCTCACCTTCTCCCAGCCCATCTCATGAAGGTGGTACATCGAGCCCGTCAGGTCCGAGACACGTTGGATGTTCTGCGCGAACGGACGCCGGACGTCGTCGTATATCTTCAGAGCTCGAGAGATGGTCTTCAGATTGACGGAGGGATGAGCAAGAAGTGACGAGAGTATGAGGCCATCCTGCGCCGCATCACAAGTCGGTGAGCATGTATGTGAAGAGCAGGTTCATGAGGACCGTTACCTCGAATGCTTGACCGGCACCAGAGCCCTGGTGAGGGGTCATCGCATGTGCCTGCGAATGGATGGATTCAGCCAAGGCACGGTAGAATAAGGGCATTTCGGGATGGACCAACCGCATCACCGAGCAAAACAACTCTGCCCTTGACGAAGGTGGGGAGTTCCGCGACGGTGTGGATAGCCCAGACCGTTGGGTTACTCCAAGACTGTGAGTCGGATTCAAGCATGTCAATGCCCATGTTACCATGTAGTCATGGTATTTCGGCTGACATTGACAAGTGTTCGGATGATTGGAGCCCATCCAGAGAACTGCTTTGCGACCTCCTCCGTGGTAGAAGTCGAGACCCATGGGCCCGAGTAATGAGTCCCTCGGCCTCCTGGTGTCTCCACGAAGGCGACCACGTTAACGATTTCCCCTCCAGATATCGGGTAGATCACGACATTCTGCGAGTCCCGTTAGACAGTCCAAGGCGATGCCGTGAGCGAGAGAGAACAGAACCATATACCTTATGCTTGCCAATTACCTGGAAGAAGAAATCGTGCCAGCTCAGACATACATCAGGGATGAGAAAGGGCTCACAATACGAGGCACAAGAGCCTCCTTCCTGTCACTATTCTCCAAATGCCCCGCCGGAATCAATCCGCGGTACGCGACGCACCCTGACCAAATGGGATCATTCATCGCACGAAGCCGTGTGGCCTCTTCGGCTTGCCCGTTCACCTCAGCCTCATCAGCCATGCGAGTGTACATAGTGCGCCGCACAGCTGACTTGATACCGTCGCATCCTACGAGCACGTCGCACATCGCCTCGGTACCGTCCCTGAAATTCAACACAATGGGATCGCTCTCCGACGCAGGATCTGTGTAGGACGCGAGCCGCTTCGCGTACTGAATCCTCTCGTACGCATGAAGGTGTTTCGCAAGGAGCTTCTGCAAATCCGCCCTGTGGAACGTTTGCACTACAAAAGCACCAAACTCGTCGATGGCGAATTCATGTCGGTAGTGCAGACTCAGGTCGCTCACCGGGTGCGGGGAACGTGTGGATATACACGGACTGCGCCTCGTCAGCCTTCTCAAAGACGAAATTGGGAACTGCGAATGACAGTCAGTGGACCGTGGTATCCGTCCCGTGCGAGGCAAACACTAAACTCACCTCCGGCACGGCTTGACCCGCTGATCTCCAAGAGCTCCTCCTCCAGTCCGAGGTACTTGATGAGCTCCCAGACACGTGGCCACATCGCGACGCCTGCGCCAAGTTCGGTGAGCTCGTGCGCGGACTCATAAATGTCGACCTCGATGTCCTCTGCGTGCTTCTGGAGGAAGAGAGCGAAAAGGAGGCCTCCGAGGCCTGCGCCGCTGTATGTCCGGGAAATGTCAGTCATGTCATCCCAGATTTAACAGTGCGTTCTGAGCCACGTACACGATAGCGATGCGGAACTTGCTTGGGATGTTGAGAGTCGTCATGTCTTCTAAGTGACGTACGAGAGGTAGAGGTGAGGGCGCGAACAGGTGGTGAGAGTATTGTTAGTCGTCCAAATGCGTCGTCCTTCCCAGCTGACTTTATACCTGACAAGCCAGTCATCCAACATCAAAGCAAGATTCCCCAATGACGGACACCATAGAACCACTTCGCTAAGTCGAAAGAACAGGCAAACGGAGCCTCCCTATCGTCACTAGAACCCATCGAGCCCCAAGAGCAGGCGAGCTGTAACAGCCGTGTATGTCAGCATGGCTGCGCGTGGAGTACGAACAGGACCCCACGTCCCTCCGGGTCGTACGCTGAAGTCGGACGGCCGGTGCGATCGCTGATGCGTCGCGACTCACGTCATGCCCGACTTCTGCCTACCTGCTTGCCATCTACAGACCGTCATTCACACCGCCGGCCATCGCGGCACCAGTACGGCTTGCGAGAAGCACAGATCTTGCACATGATCCGAGCTAGCATCTGTAAGCCGCGAAGCGACGGTCGCAGACGATATGGCGGGAACAATGGAATCGCAGCGTCTCCGAAATTTGGACGGATACGCCTCGACCCGGTGGGTCCAGCTACTAGTGAAAGAGTATTTTTCGGAGGGACCGTCGCCTGGTTGAAGAACGAACTAGTGCATCGATACTTCCCAGCGTGCATGATCGAGAGAGCCTTCACCGTGAATGAATGCAGAAAAATGAGCATCCAGATCCGCTCTTTCTGCGAATGCCGAAGGTACAGGAGAGATCGACGTCCTAGTCAGGACAAGGAGATCCCAACTGCGTAAGGTACAACCGCCGCCACAACGCTGAGATGCGATGCAGCTGGATAAAATATTAGCACCAAGGTCGATTGATCTAGCCGGCGGACTCACCACAGCAAGCGTTGCTGTTTTACACATCAATCTCGCGCAGGCATACGTCCAGTCAGCGCCTTGCGAGCATGCGTGTGTTCTCTCGCAGCGCTCACCCAGTGACAAACACTACCCATACCCTGATAAGCCTAGAAACGCCCTGTTTGTCAGCGCTCTCGTGGTACTGATGAGCGTGAACACGAACCTCACCGAAGCTGAGTCAACCGAGAAGATGTGTCGACGGGGTCAGGTGTTAGCGCATGAGCACGCGCCCGACGAACTCGAGGAAGCAAGCAGCGGATTCTCCCCTGCCAATCATGATGAAACTTAAGCCGGGTCAAGGCGCGTCGGAACGCATAAGGGGCCATGAAGTAATGACCAGATACTGGTGAACATCGACTCACCCAGAGATGATCCTATCGAGGCGCGTAGTGCTCGCGGTCGAGTGCACGGCAGCCTTTAAGGCAAATACACAGCCAGCGCGCTCGGCTCGCTACCGGGCAAGTATCTAGAATGAACCCAGGATGTCAGTAGTATGTAGTGAGACAGTGGTAACATCAACACGTACGTAGAACCCCGTGATGGGGCGAACGGCATCCGATGGGCAATGATGATGTTTGTATGCGTACAACTCTTTGTCCAAGAGTTCAATCGATTCTACATTTCATATGCATACATGCGAAGTTCGCCTAAGAGGCAAATGTATGGACACCTATGAGAGAAAAGTACATGTCGGAAATCCGAGATGCCATACAAGGCAATACAACAAACAGAATACAGAATGCACATCGCGTACAACGAACAGGCATTTACCTGCAAGAGAAACCGAGCTCTCCTATGAATGTCCCGCAAGCCCAGTCGTACCCACCAGTCTAGCGATCCGTGAACAGACCGGGCAAGTCCTTCATCTCCAGCATATGCACCCCCGCCTCCTCCAGCTCGCCCTCGATCTCCTTCGCGACCTCCGCCGCGCTCGTGATCAGCCCATGATTGTGGTATTCGATCCGGTCGTACGTCGCGTGCGCGCCCCGCACGAGCAGCACCTCGTTTCCGCGGCTCAGCGCCGCGCTGCACGTCGCCCGGATGCAGAAGTCGCTCTGGATCCCGACCATGACGATCTCCGACGTCGCCGGGATGATCTTGCCTAGCTCCGTCCCCGCGAACGCGTTGTTCTTCCGCTTGTCGACCACAAACTCCCCCGGCAGCGGCGTGTGTACGAGCTCCCACCCGGGCGTGCCCGTCTCGTCCGGCTCGCCCGCGTCGCCGCAGTTGCGGACGTGCACGATCCGCGGTGGGGGAACTGCCGCGCGGGCGTAGGCGAGGATCTTTGCGATGTTGGGCCCGACGACGGCGCCCGCCGGCACGCCGGCCGGGGGCTCCGCGAGCATGTTCTTCTGGACGTCGAGCAGGATGAGGACACGCTCTGGGTCGTCCTGCGCGTGCGCAAGGAGGTCGTGATGATCGGTGCTTGGGGTGGACGGCATGTCCGCTGATGCGCGATCAAGGCGGGTGAGTGGGGAGAACAGGCCGGAGGATTGGAGACCTACTAGTACTGCGGATCTGGAACGAAGTATCTGTACCTGGGTAGAATATGGACGTGCAGATTAAGATGCGGAAGGATGCGTCGAGGTCAAGGGAGAGTTGGCTGAGTTCTGTATGCTCTGTTTGGACATGCAGACGCCCGTGTACTCCGCCCATACAATATCGGCGATTGGCGATCGATTAGCCCTTGTCTCGGCCTTGCCCCGAGCTTCGTCATCCGGTACCGTCGTGGTCCCTGTTCTGCTGGATCTAGTCGTTGTAAGACCCCCGTACATCACAACAAACTTCATTTACCCAGACTACGGCGGCCCGCGCATTGAGACTCCACATTTTACTCATAGCGAATCATGCCGTCGTATGTGTTAGGGTCGTCGTAACGCAGTCGCGTGTGAACGCAAATAACTGCAGCCGCGTGTCGCGCGCACCGTGGGCTTCTCGCAGGCCTCGCAAGACTTCCTGAGTCAGGTCCAAGACATAGTCGAATGAGAGAAGTCGCGATGAACACCATTCCTCGTGCTTCACGACGACGCAAAAAGAGAGAATCACGGTGGCGTGTGCGTACGAACACCAAGGAAGTGTCCTGGATATAGAATATAGAGAATTACGAGGCGTCGGAGAGAGAATGGACACGGTATTTCTGATCCACTGTCGCAGGTCTTGGACGAACATCATACGAGCTCGACCTCGCCCCGAAGCAAGAGATGCTCTACGACGTAGTATGGCGTCATCGATATCTGTCCTTTCTTCATCTCCGTCGACGTGCCGCTGAGGTGCGTGAACGTCAGCAGGAGCAATGATCGTCGCAACACCGTGATCGGCTTACTCTGGTAATCTCATAGGCGGGCAGTCTACCAACGCGCGCGCGACCACCGGCCGCTTCTTGTCTGGCTTCGCCACTGAACGCTCATGAGCGCACGCAGCCTGCAAGACGTGCGAGACAACGCACCCATCGGCGGCATGAAAGCGACCTCTTCATCCAGGCTCTGCTGCTGTTCAGGCAGACTCTGTAGGACAGACTGCTTGAAATGATATTCCACTAGCCGCGAATACCTGACGAACCGTCAGCGCGGGCCGAAAGTGCCATTGAATGAGGGGAACCCGACCTTTTCGCGTGCTCCAGCTCGGCCTTCGACAGTCGTTCGTGCACGTCTGGCGCCGAGCTGATGTACCGCGCATATTTCTCTATCTACCCAACAACATTGGAGATCAGCTTCTGTGTGTGCACGCGCGCACGAGAACATACCTTGTGCAGTCGCGTGCGGATATACGACCGCACGATGAACTTGACGCGCTCGACCTCCGTCTGGACGAGCATGATCCGGAAGTGCTCCTCCTCTGAAGAGTCCGGGTCAGCCCTCAGGAGCTCGACGTCGTTCGACTACAACTGCACTCCGTCAGCGTTCGTCCCCTTAGTGTACGTGTCCGCTCCTTGCTCGTACATGCCCATCTCCCTGCTTCCATGAATCCTAGCAAGCGGAGGTTTCCAGAACACAGATGCCTTTCGCGGTCACGCGTACAAAGTTTTCCAGGTTCCAAGTCCGCCGAGACAGCACATCTACTAAAACCTCTCTGTGCAGACGTTGCAGGGCTCGCTCGCATTGTTTTGTTACGGAGGTTGAGGAGCGTAGAGGAGGTGAGACCGCGTCATACGCGGATGTCATGTTCTCTTCGACTACTTTGCCGGCCTTCGCGATCGCGGCGCAGAAACTTACGTTCCCGAGGTCACGCGCATGAACGTCGCGTGCAATGTCAAGTCTTCAACTGTCTCTCCACCCTCATACCGTGTAGGACCTAGTCAGAGGCACCGGGGGCATCAACCTGTGGCACATCGTGTCCCATCGTAGTCAGAGCCACTGTAGGTGCGGCTGGCGCAGGATCAAGGTGGGATGCGGCGAGGCATGGTTTGTCTCAACGTGGCTCAGATCACGATACCTCCACGATGGGACACATCTTCCGATAGTCCGAAGCCCCCAGTGAGGGTTTATAGACTCTTGACCAACTATCCGCGGAGTCCAAGTGGACACCCCGACGCGCAACCACCCTTCCACCGGCTCGCTTCGCGAAGCAGTCGCACGTTCTCCCGGAAACACAACCACACGCTAATATGCCAACCCAAACCGCAAACTCACCTGCTTCCTCACATGGTCCAAGATCCTGCCCAGCAACATCTCCTGCCCGGGCAAGATGTCCGGCGCGTGCCGTTCGTTCATCCAGTGCCTTATCAGCTGCTGGAATGGCGTCTCCTCCGCGACGTCCTGCCCCATCACCGCCAGCCCAGCTCCACCGCGTCCCCGAGCTGCAAAGTCGTCGCCGTCGTGCATAGCAAAGTCGCCGCCTTCGTCGTCGTCCGGGGCGTTTCGCACGCGATCGATGAACGAGGGCCCCGCGATAGGTGCGTCAAAGTCATCGTCCCAGGGTGCCGCCATAGTAGAGGTGCGGGTACAGGACAGAATGTGTGGTCAGTGAAGAAGGAAGGTAACCCGGTGGTGGACGCGTCGCGTCGCGTTTCGTTTACGGCGGTGTAGACGCCCGCAAGCAGCACGGTCCGTTTCTCCCGGCGCTCTGCATGGAAGATGGCTTTGGTCTTATCAGGTCACCTCGTTCTGGAGTCAGACAGAATAAGACAAAAACATACAACAGCGTAAGCATCCCGAATAACAACAAAAGCCGAGCACTAGCTTCACATGTATGTACAGTACAAAAGATGATCGTCTTCCTCCCCCGCTTGGTACTCGTACAACAGAATCAAGTGTTCGCGTTCCCCACATACGCATCTCAGACTTTGCCCCCATTCTCCCCGAATTGCTGCATACCCGGTCTCTAACCCTCCCAATCGTCGTCGTCGTCGTCGTCGTCCCGTTTCCTCCTGCCCTCCTCCTCGTCCTCCTCCACGTCCATCTCCTCCCTCGCCTCCTCCTCTTCCTCTACCACCTCCTCCTTCACCGCCGCTTTCTTCCTGCTCCGCCGCTTCGGCTTTGCCCCATCCCCGTTCTCCGCCTTTTCCGCACGCTCTTTCTTGTCCGCCTTGTCCTTGCCCTTGCCGCGCTTCTTCGCCCGCGCCTCTGCGTTCTCCGCCTCGACGTCGATCGTGCCCCCCGCAGACGGGTCCGGGACGGCCTCGACGATCTCCTTGAGGAAGTCGAGCATGTCCACCGTCTCGATCGCGTGCTTTCTATTCGCCCATGCACGTGCAGAGAAAGGAGAGGGAGGGAAGACAAGACGTAAGCATAAGACACGGAAAAACGACCGGGAGAGGTAGGGGGACGGACAGATGGTATGCCTCAACGCGCTTCGACCCGCGCTCGACAGTAACGTTGCTGGACTCCTCCACGATCATCGCCAGGAACAGTTCCAATGCCTTCGCTGTGTCCGGGCGCAATGCGTGCCCCGAGGTTCCACCATCGAGATGTGCCCCATGGCCGAGCGTCGTGGCGCGATCGGCACCGAGCAAGCAAGAGCCAGTAGAGTGCGCGGTCGGGCGGTCGGGCATGGTACAGAGTAGTAGAAGACGTCCAGGTTAGCGGGAGGACGCGTAAAGAGGGGAGCAGAACAAGACATACATATGACAACGGGAGTGGCCTGGGCAACCTTGCCAACCTCCTCGTCCTTCTGCATGATGCGCTTGATCCGCGCCTGTGTCGTCGAGAGCGATCCACGCGAAGCGCAGCCGCGCGGAGGCGATTCGGTAGGAAGACCGTTATGAGGGCAGGAAAACAAGGGAGAGCGGGAGGACATACGACGGGGAATTTGGTCGACTTGTTCTTGTTCTTCATATTGCGCAACAACACGGGTCAGTACACACGAGAGAAGAGTTCGGACGTTGGTATGCAATGCCAATATTGTAACGGTGGGGAGTGCGGACGGCGTTTATGAATCCCTCCGGAGGCGAGTGTAGTTGGGCGAGGCCCGTTCACGAGCCTACATATATACTACCGACAAGACTAATATGTTAAGGATATAGTAAGTATTTTACGTACACAAACACCACGCCGATGGTGAAGTGGTTATCATGCTTGCCTTCCATTTCATGTGTAGCAAGCGGCACGGGTTCGATTCCCGTTCGGCGTATATAAAAGATAGACTATGATTTTATGCCTACGCATTGAAGTACTTGCTCGAGCCCGTTCGCAGGCGTTCGGCGGCTGGCTGAAAGAGCTTTGCCCGTACGGCATGCTTTGAGTCTTGAACCTTTTCCCAATACCAATCCTCTGCACTACACCTATATCATGGGCCTCTCAGAGCTACCCAACGGATGCAAGATCCACCCAATGAAACGTCGAAAAATCTTCCACTCGACCTCTCCTACGCTGTCGACTTCTCCCTCTGTCTTCGTCCCACTGCAGCTGCAGCCCGGCCCCAAGGCGGTTGTGTGCACCTCCTGCAACCGAGCATTCCCCGGAGCCAAGCAGAGCCAGCTCGTCCAATGTGCCCGGTACGTTGCCTCCACGTCTCCTACCCTGTGCCCTCGACCATTCGAGGTGACATTGCCACCGACGCTGATCCTGCCTTATCCACGCAGGTGCCACGCGCCGACGTGCGCGATCTGCTCGCGGACGTGCAATGGCGTCCCGCCGCCGTCAGTGCCACCGACCCCGGAGCTCACCATGTCGCCTGTGTCTCCTGCGTCCCCCGGGTCGCGGTCCCCGGACGCGCGCACCCCGCCTCTACTGTCGCTCTCATTCTTGGATGCGAACGCGAGTCCCGGACATTTATTTGGGTCTGGGGGTAGGAGACCGGCGCTGGCCTCTCATAGGAATATGGCTCAGAGTCCGGATGGGGGTGGAGGGAAGCGGAGGAAGAGGCGTGAGCACGAGCACGAGCACGGGCAGGAGGATGACGGACGGAGAGGGCATGGAGACGAGAAGGAGGCGGAGCCGGGGTGCGGGAGGGTGGTGTGCCAGGGGTGTTCGTTCGAGACACCGGAGATGTGCGCCCATGTCCGTCCCTTTGAGCCCGTACGACCGACTGACCCCTTTGACCGTGCCGGCAGCGACCTGAACACCTGCTACGACTGTGCGGGGCGTGAGCCCGTCCACGCTTGAGCGCGAGATGTGCTCGTGGATGTGCGTTTCGCAACTCTTTCCCTTCTCCGCTTCGCTGCTGCCACTATCCTGTGTCGTTGCTCGTGCTGTGCTGCAAGTGCCTTATTTACAACCACATCCATCTCCATACATACCATAGGTCCATGTCTCGCACTCGTTTGCACTCATATCCACATCCTCATACATACGGTCCACGGAATGAATTGCGCCCTACCCCCTCCCTATGCCTGCCGCACTCCCGGTGCATGTACAGTACATCGTCATCGCTGACCATCGCTGTATCTTATTTGCTGTATAATCGGCTTTTGCACGCTTCGATTCGCCGTCTGAAGTGGCAAATGGTGCTCCGAAGCTTTTGTGCGCTGAGAAAGGAAGCTCTGTCAGCGGCGCTCGTGAGACATCCTCAGCGTACCGCTCTTGTCCACTGCGGCACTGTCGATTCGCTTTGTCTGATCGATCGACTGTAATCAATTTGGACCCGGTTTTTCTTTGGCATTGTAAGGCCTGCTTAGTACTGCCTTCAGTATTCAGAACTGAGTTCGTAACGTCGATAGGACATACACACATGGTGAACTGTGTATGTCTGCGACTCTGGTGAACAGGGCAACAGCGGAGCGGAGCGGCCGGACGCGACGCGACGCGTGCTGCTCACGAGACCTGGTGGGTCACGATCACATGAGCGTGACCCTCTCGACGCGACGCGATCGGAAGAGACTCGCCCGCAGCTGCTCGCTTCTTTCCTCCGCTCCTCGCACTCGGCCGCAACCGTTTCCTCAAGGTGAGTGCTTTCGAGGCTGCCCGTAGAATTATTCGAGGCGTGGGCACTACTTTTTGAGGCCAGTGATATGACCGTGTGGGCTCGCATTGTCTATATAACAGAGACGGGCTCGCCGGGACTCTCAAGTACCACATGACACCGTCGGGCCGTTCTATCAATATGAACAGAAGAGAGCAATACTACTGATTTATACGGTGCTATCTTGAACGCCTTTCTCTTAAAATCGGAAATCAGGCTCTAACTCACCAAAGACAATGGTAGGTTATGGCAACAGACCACGAACACGACCTTGTCGGAGGTCCCTTTGCGGTAATAGAGTCGGATCCGGGTGAGTTGGTACTCGACTAATCGTTGTCTGTTGTGGGCACTGAAACTGTTGAATAGGAGTCTTTACTACGCTGATCCGCAAGTTAGGTGTCCAGGGACTGGCCGTAACCGAGCTCTACAGCGTCGAGCCATTCGCCACAGACCATCTCAACCCGTACGGCCTGATCTTCTGCTACCTCTGTGAAGAGGACACGAGTGCGAAGCCCGAGTTTACCGCAGAGGACGACCTCGACGACCCGGACGCACGTTCGATATGGTTCGCGAACCAGCTCAGCGATGACGCGTGTTCCTCTCAGGCCATCCTGAACGTGCTGCTCAACTGCCAAGGAGTCGACCTCGGGCCCGTGCTCAAGGAGTTCGCATCCGATACTGAGAAGATGTCGCCAGTCGTGAGTGCATCCACATTGATCTGCCTGGTTTCCACAATTTACCGCTCTGTGACAGATGAGAGGGCTCGCCATCTCCAACTCGTCTCACATTCGCGAAGCACAGAATTCGCTTGCACGGTAAGCATCCCCTCCCCACCCCGAGCGCTCCTCACGCCCAACACTGACAGCCCCTCCGACCTCCGGGGTGCGTGGCACTCGCTCGCCACCACCGCCCTCGAGTCCGCGAAAACCAAAGCCAAAGCAACAGCCTCACCCCCAGCCAAAAAGCGCAAAACCTCCACTGCCTCCTCTCGCCCGCGCCGCAGCAAGTCCGCCCGCACCCCCGCCCAAGAAAAAGTCGAGTCGTACCACTACATCGGCTACGTCCCCGCACACGGGCGCGTCTGGGAGCTCGACGGGCTCCGCGCCGCCGGGCCCCTCGACGTCGGCCCCATCCACTCCCACTCGGACATCCCTTCAGAACAAGAAGAGTCGGCGTCGGACTCTGCGGGCGCGAGACGCGCGGGGTGGATGGACGTGGTGCGGCCCGCGCTGCAGCGGCGCATGCATGCAGTGATGGGAGACGCGAGCGAGGGCCACATCCAGTACAACCTCCTCGCGATCGTGGACGACGCGTACCTGCGCGCGAGCGACGCGCTCGAGCTGCTCAAGCGGGAGCGCGTGGCGCTCGAGAGGAGACTGGCGGAGCGGTTCCCGAGTGGTTGGGAGGACAAGGTGCTCCTTGCTGCTGTCCTGCGGGTCGCGTTCCTCTGCTCTCTCTCATCCATGTTCATGATGCCTCTCTGTCAGGTTGACGGTACGCTGCTCGCGTGCGCGTCCGAGACGTTCGCCACCACCCTCCGGCCGCGGGCATCCGAGCCGGGGAGGGTGTTCGCCGCGGACTTTGGCGCGCGGAAGATGGCGCGGGAGATGGCGATCTTGGACATGCCCGAGCGCGCCCTAGTGCCCGCATGGGAGACGTGTGTGCGCAGCGCGCTCGAGGCCAAGGTTGCCGTCGAGGAGGAGATCGCGAAGGCGCAGAGCGCGCAGGTGCGTCCTTTTGCCGTCTCAGTGGCCTGATGGTGTCGTGCTTGTTTGCGCTGGCACTGCTGCTATATCGCGGGTGCCGTCGTGTGGCATAGAGCGGGGGATGGGTGTTTTATTTAGGATGGAACGGGATGGGACAGACCCTATGTTTTGAGGAGCTGACGACGATCTTCCCGTTTTGTCACTTAGGCGGACCACGTCAAGCGGACGTTCGACTACGAGCCGTTCATCAGGGAGTTCATCACGGCGCTGCAAAACGAAGGCTTGCTTGATGAAGTGTTAGATGGCCGCAGCGCGCAAGCTGGGAACGCGGAGGCGGAGGCGACGGGGGTAGCGGGCGCATCGGCATCATCGTCGTCGATGTCGAAGGCGAAGGCGAAGGCGAGACGGAAGCGCGGGTAGACGTCTGCATCGTGTCTATGCTAGGGCTCAAACGTTCATGCATGGATGGTTGCTCCGCTCTTCGTCTGTGTACCCTAGTTCCGAGGACCCAACTTAAAGCTGGTGCCGCCAGCCACATCTACTCCGCGTGTCTAAGTCGTTCGGCATGGTGGCATGAGTGTTACACGACAAGGTTTATCATACATGAACGACGGACTTTCGCCTTGTAGAGTACTGCATGTACACATAACGAGGCGGCTCGTCGGAAAGCGCTGCAATGCATATAACGGTGACGTTGGGCGCCAACGGCAAAAGTGCATTGCGACCTAGGGTAAAGTTTGAAAGTCGGAATAATGAACCCGGTGTTTATTAACAGGTTATTAACATGTTAATTAACGGTTCAAAAGCCCAGGGGTCTATCAGCCCGGTTATATATTGTTCAGAAGTCCGGTCGGAGGCTGTAGGCGTAAGATACCGAGTTCAAGGTAGATGGCGAGGTTAATCTCCGTGCCTAAGCCTTGCGCATGCTTTTGTGCGACCCAGATGATGGAGACAAGGATTACAATGAGGATAGGGTAGCAGATTGCGAGCCAGGCAAGATGATAGGACGCGTGGTGATCATCGATTCAATACGACTGTTAATAAACCTCGGCGGCGTTAGAAAATCTTCTTAACAGTTAATAACACAAGAGTTAATAACAGTTATTAATCCCGGTTAGAAACGGCCTGATTCGGGGCGCCTGTTCATAACTCTCTGTTCGAAAACGATTCTTTTTCTAACCATACCCTATTGCGACCAACTTCAAGTTGAAGTACCAGTGCCGGCTCCGTACTCGGGTTCAAACTGCCCTTCGCTCTCACAGGCTCTCACCCGTAAGTCGGCTTAAAAGGGACATGTTTGGAAACATCTTTGAGTAGGGGGCTGTCTGTGCCACCACAGGACCAAGATAACGTCGACTTGCTGGGTTACTGCGCAAGGGCAGCCGAGGTACGCTTCAAGTTCGCCCCCATTCCCCCTTCTATGCAACCATCGTGTTGTGTTGTGTTGACGGTGGCTGCTTGAACACCTAGGTATTGGGACTCCACTATGCTGACGTTGAATCTGAAGCGTGCTCCTCCTCTCGAAGGTACGTGCATGAGGTCCAGTGTTGTGGCAGTTTCATTGTCTCGTTTTGAACTTCCCACCAGGAGTTCCCACTTTCTCTGACGGGGCCGTCGCTGCAGTGGATACTGAGGCTGCGCTTCTCATCACTTCTCCTAATGCCGACTTCATCCCGGAGATCGTACAAGGCATCGTGGACGTCGTCCTTCGCTCCGACGGCAGGTACGGTCCTGTGGATCCCATCCAGTGGCCACAAATCTTCACGCGCCGGTATGGATACCTGTCGGCAGTCCCTAAGAGCGTCGGCGACAATCATCCTTGGGTCCCCATTTTCCGATCTCCATCGAAACAAGACTTTGTTCCTCTGTCTGGCACTCCGGTTGCAGGGTTTGGGTTCCTTTCCGCCTCTTTTGTTGCCCCGTTGCGTACTTTAGTGAAGGAGATGTCTCGACGCGTTGATGAATTTGCGGGGGACCAACCTCGCGAGGAATGCGCGGACCTACGTTGGCACGAGGTGGCGATGCGCCATGCTTTGGCCCGCCTCTCTCTCATGCCAGCCACGTTCCCCGATCAGACTCTCCAGGTCAGCGAACTCCAGCGTCATTGGCTGATGGCCGCAGGCTATCTCGAGTACCAACGGCGGCTGAGGTCGCTTCCGTCTCTTGAGGGGTGGCCCTGTGCCTCCCTGCCTCTCATGGGAGCCTGGACATCCGAACCTCAACACGTCCAGCTTCTATATGCGGCGGGGATACCAGTCTGGTTCGTACGCAACGCCCATACAGGAGCTCCTTTCACTCGTACCACCACCTACGGCAACTTTCCCACGATCGTCAGCCAATAGGAGCGGGCTACGTCGTGCGGTCAGTTATCCCTCTGGGCGACGGCCTATAGCGTACATGAAACAGCAGCAATACATACGGACAGTAGGATGCCCCAGGACGCTACCAGGCGAGGACCGGCAGCATCACCACAAACTGCCTCGCAGACAAGAAGGACATCGACAACTGTAGCGACAGGCGCACCGCCTACCAAGCAACTGCGGTCCACACCGGCTACAGCCACCTTTACGGCAGCGGTGGACAAGATTCAGACCATGGACGAAGCTCTCGCTGTCTTGCGGAAAAATCAGATGGTACCGGCGGCTGGAGAACCCACAGCGGAGGGCCTCATCACGGGCCTTCATCATGTAGGAGTGGGACTCTCAGGGAAGATGGCATGGGCGTCGGAGTGTTGCATAGCATTAGCCGTCTATGCCAAGGCGGTCATAGAGAGCGCGGTAAGCAAATCATTGACGGAAGCTGTACTCACCCGCTTTGAGTCGCAGACGAAAGAACTCATCGGCACCCTGGAGGCGAGGGTGGCCGCCGCTGGCGACCATATCGCTGAACTCGCAAATGAGCTGGCAGGGGTTGCGGAATGCGCAAAGGAGAAGATCGAAGGGGCTGTAGAGAACATTCAGGAGGC